GATAGCCTTGACGTCGCCTCACGTGATGGATAGAATCTGGATGAAAGCTGGCATGTGCCTACCTCCCGGCTTGGTCATACACTGATCGAAGGGGCTTGATCAAAACATTGTTAACATGATGGAAGCCACCTCCAAATACCTTAAGTAAGTCAACTAAGTCCTCCATGAAATAAATGGCAGCAGGTCTCATCAAAAGGCCTCAGCAACATGGATCTGGCTCATAACTAGGTAAGTCAACTGTTTGTAGACGTGGATCTACTTCTATAATAGCTTGTTATCTCTACTCCACATCTCTACTCTGGCTAAGATGTTCAAATCCGTGTTCGTGGGCGTGAAACAATCGCAAAGTTCGAGCCAGCGTGGGGTTTGATACGACGTCCCGACATCTAGACGCAGACGATTTCGGAATTTTCGGGGCCTTCAGTGACGCCAGTGAAAGAGGTTTTTTGCCTTTTGCTGACCTTGTGTCTCACAAGAAGGTGTGGTCGGAGTCCGAATTACCGGCACGATCGATTCATCCGAGGAAGTCGCTGACATATTTATGTCGGATGAAAAATTTGGCTGGCCGGATAATTCGGGCTGTCGAAATCTCTGCGTGCTATCGGGGATGCGCTAGAAAACAAAATCTCATTCAAGACATACACAAAATTATCTAAGACTCCTGGATTTTGCTCCAAAGCCGTGATCGTAATATGAGCTCAGCAAAAAGGGTTATCATAGAGCCAGCCATGCTGCTCAAATGAAGGGACGACAAAAGGACGGGACGTGAGCTCGTGGTCGAAAAGCTCTGCCTGCTGCATGTGCCTTCGCTTGTAACCCGGTAGTTTTACGGGCTAGAGCCTCTGCGATACATGATATCAACAAAGCTACAAGTCGGACACTTGTAGTTGTGTATCCTTTGTCCATCTCAAGGTTGAGCCATATGGCCCATTTGGGCAGGTGTTGTTGTTGCCGCTGTTACTCGCACATATGCGCGCCAATCCTCACAGAACCCACACCGCGGACCACGGAACTGCTCAACTTTAAGAGGGAGAAAAGGGAAGAGCCAAGAAATGAGCTATCAAGTGCTTCAGTCTCGCGGACCATCATCAGCAGTAATGCTGGGCTGCTGCCGGAATTTCGGCTCCTCTCGTATTCCGTGCCTGCATGGCGTGATCTGTCGATGGTAATTACTTAAAGGGCTATGATGAAAAGTTTTATTCAAGGGCGCTTCGATATCGCAGCTTGAACGAAACCTTCCAATCTCTCAAGCTGGTTTTCTACAACATTTATTCCAAGTTATTCAATACTTAGAATCCGCAATGGGCCGCTATTGCTCTTCTCTGATTCTGTCCTTGACATGGTTTCTTACCATTACAAAGGTGCATGCCGCCACGGACCTCAAAGATTGTCTTTTAGAGTCTGTTGGCGGCGAAACCGAGAGGGTCAAATTCTCGAATGAAGCTGGTTTCCAGGCCGACCATATCCGGCCATACAACCTCAATTTTCAATACGTGCCATTTGCCATCCTTTACCCTAATAGCTCCTTGGAGGTTGCGAGCATCGTTGTTTGTGCTTCTCAACACGATCGCAAGGTGCAAGCTAGAAGTGGAGGACACGATTACACAAACAAAGGTCAGCTCTATTATTATATCTTGACTAGGCAAGTGTACTGACTACTGACGTAGGGATTGGTGGTAATAATGGAGCTATTGTAGTTGACGTGAAGAATCTCAACCATGTTCAGCTCGGCTCTGATGGCATCGCCAAAGTGGGTTCAGGAAACAGACTGAAAGATGTCTGCGAGAAGCTTCACGCCAATGGAAAGAGATGGATGCCTCACGGATCGTCTCCCACTGTTGGAATCGGCGGCCACGCTACCGTCGGTGGTCTCGGACTGCATAGCCGCCTTCTTGGTACTTCGCTCGACGTGATGGTTGCCGCAGAAATTGTCCTGGAAGATGGGACTATTGCAAATGTATCTGAATTACATCGTCCAGAGGTTTTCTGGGCTTTGAGGGGAGCGGGTGCGAGCTTTGGAATCGTCACCAGCTTCTGGTTCAGGACGCAGCCTGAACCTGACGCGGTTGTTAACTTCATCTTTACCGTTAAGTCTTCAGAACCGACGAAGCTCTCGGATGCATTCAAGGCCTACCACCAGATTACTACCAATGCATCCCTTGATCGGCGCTTGTCTTCTGTCGCAATCATCTCCAAGGACACTCTGCAAATCAGTGGCGTCTATTTTGGCACAGAATCGGAGTACAGCAAGGTCAACTTCAGCAGACTGATCAAAGGAATTACGGAGCAGAATACTGTTACCAACTTGACATGGATGGAGCACATGAACAGGACATTCGACAGTATCTCCAACATATTCCCCGCGCAGTCATATTTTTATGCCAAGGACACAGCCGTTGCCTACTCGACGTTGCCCAGCAACGACACCATCGACGCCGTCTTTGAACATCTTCAGGGTACCGACTCGGGATCAAAGAGCTGGTTCGTTTTAGTCGATCTCTACGGAGGTGCCGTTAACAATGTTGCGCCCGGTCTGACGGCGTTCCCGCATCGGGATCTGGCGTACTTCTTCGCAGTCTATGCTCAGACTGAGTCCATCACGACGACTATCACACACGACTTCGTTGATAATGCTGTTCTCAAGTATCAGAGAAACGAGCCTGAAAAGTATTTATCCTACGCCGGATATACCAACCTGAGGATCCAGGGAACCCCGCAACAAAAGTATTGGGGTGAAAACCTTTTGAGGCTGGAGAAGATCAAGAGCGTCGTTGATCCAAACGACCGTTTCTCAACGCCTCAGGGCATTAAACCACGAGCTTAGCTGAAGGGAATTGCGGCTCTCAGACCAACCTCCGAATCATCGGCGGTATAGCGTTCGCCATTGTAGGTATTATGGTGGGCAGACAGCTCAACTTTCGGGATCTCAAATTGTGTCCCAACATTCAATGCATCTATTGCGTGGAAATGTGGTGACTTCATGAAACGAAAAAGATAGCCATAATTGAATTACCCTCGCTTGATGCTTTGTAACTTCTTCACGAGATTGCAAGGACCTTAAAGCGACGATGATGCCCACATGAATTGAAGACCTCAAAGAGGCCATCCTTGGTCTCGACACATGCACTTGTCACTTGTTGGACAAGGAATGCTTCTGGAGTTGAATGCAATTTCTACCGTATGGCCAAGCTATGGCCGTCTGATTTGCCTGTTTCGATTTTCTGACCCTTTTGAAGACTACGTGGATATAATGTTGGATAACCACGGCATGCCGCTTGTTGGAATAGGTAGCTGGCGCCGATGCTTGTTGACGGTTCTGTTGTGAAGCCTTCTCTAGTCTCGGCAGGAGTGGGATCCGCCTTGGGCGTTCGATTGGAGTAAGTTCGATTCAAGTCAGGGTCTCTCTGCCTTTTAAACTGGGCTGTATTCTTGGCACCTGCTTATTGCAACGTCGACCAACTCAGGCAGTAGCAAGCGTTACCTTCACAGTGATTCACCTGCCGAGACATCCGAAACTGGCAGTACCTTTAAGAAGTCAACCTGGCCCCTACTTAGGTAGGCTCGTTGACCTAGGTTTTACCATTAGACTCAACGACCAATTCTCGTCATGCTATCCAGCCATACCTATCTCGTTACCGGTGCTAGCCGTGGCATCGGGAAAGGCTTTGTTACCGCCCTTCTTCAGCGCCCCTCGACCAGGGTAATCGCCAGCGTCCGCGACCTACTCGCTGACTCCTCCAAAGCCCTCAGATGCCTCGACCGAGGCAAAAACTCCACCCTCATACTCATCAAAATCGATTCCTCTATCGACGAAGATCCCGCGACTGCTATCGAACTCCTCCAGAAGGAGCATAACATCTCCACTATCGATACGATCATCGCTAACGCAGGCATCTCACACACCAGCGCCCCGATCCGCGACATCTCCTCCACTACGGTGCTAGACCATGTCAAGATCAATTCCATTGCGCCACTTCTCTTGTTCAGTGCAGCTGCCCCGCTTTTGATGAACAGCAAGAAACCGATGTTCGTTGCTGTGTCCTCGGTGATCGGAAGCATCAGTATGCAGGATAGCCTGGCGAAATCGTTCCCGCCGAGCATAAGCACTAGCCCGTACGGAGCGAGCAAGGCAATGCTGAATTGGTATGTGAAGAGGCTGAGCATTGAGGAACCATGGGTCACAGCGCTTGTCCTCAATCCTGGTTTGGTCGAGACAGACATGTCTGCCGAGCTAGCCAAGAATATCGGAGTGCCTGACATCAAGAGTATGGGAGCCATCACGGTCAAGGAAAGTGTTGCGAGAATGGTCCGTATCATTGATCACGCTACGAAGGACGTTAGTGGAGGGTTTAAAAATTTTGATGGTGTTGACCTTTCTTGGTGATCATTCAATAACAGACGCTGCTCGTCACGGAATGACGGATTAAGCGCGAAGAGTATACATACTATGTCGCTTGTGGTTTAATAGCGAAATCAGATGCTCATGGACGCGGGGAAAGATTGAAGTCTTATTACTGTTCTCATGGGACGGCCTATGTCTAGAAGTAATTGGCCCTATTGTTCCCGACACTCCAAGAAGGGCTTTAGACTTTGCAGTTCGCCACGTCTGTGTCAAAGTCTCTGTCTCATTACGTCGCGCTTGGAAGGCAATCATCGGCTGTGGCAGTTTGGAAGATGGCATCATGGATAAGAGACCAAACATTCGTACTAGGGCAGAGCACAGCGATCGTTTGAACCTCCGTCCACTCTCATCAAAAGACGCTCCGCTAGCCACGGAAATAGACAAACGCCAGAATGACCAGTCACAGTTCTGTGCTGCAATGAGAAAGTCTTCTGAGGCGAGGTTCAGGTCCTTCGCATTCAAGCAACAAGAAAACCTGCTAGGCAATATCAACAACTTAAGATGTCTATATGCACTGTGATGAAGTTTGGTCGTAAATAAACCCTAAATTGTACCCGAGAGCTTCGAAAATGCCGACTCATATACCCGCTGAAGCCTTCTAGTGAGACGCAGACCCGTGCGTTGTGTTTGACCCCGTGAAGTCACCTGGAAGGGCAGTAAACATGAGATCGCTGGTCAAGTCCGTAACACGGCCGAGAAGCTGTTCTAAGAGACGATAACCGGCTCCCTGAGCGTATTGAGGGAGTTCTATGGATCCAAAGGTTAGTCAATATTCAGTGGGAATCGTCTAGACTACTTTGGTAACTGACCGTGTCCGGCATTGAAAACACGAGCGAAGGTGAGGCCACGCTGTGCAACCCAATCGCCGATCTTTCCAGCGGAACTCTGGGAGGACAAATCGCTGTAAGCTGTAGGGAGGAAGAAGGTCTTGGATGGGAACTCGTCGAAGCCTTGCTGTCCATGCCAAGTCATGTTTTGAAGCACCATGAGAGTACCGTTGGTGGGTACACGGAAGTCAAGGTTGCCACTTGCAATAATGAAGTTGTTCGTGTGCTCAATGACTCGGGTTAGAGCGCCAGAGGCGAAGGGGTCAAGGCTGACATCGCCAGTGGGACCGAATGGGTTCTCGTCGGAGCACTTCTTCCAGTCCCTCTGTCCGGCGGGAATGTGGATGGCCTTGCGCATCTCTGGAAGGTTGAGGTAAGAGTGCCAGTCGGCCTTGTCAAAGCCGAGGGGTACAGAGGCGTTGTCTCCTTCGGTGGCCCAGCTGAGGGGGTCCGATGGGTTGGGGCAGCCTTGAGAGATGTGGTAGATATTGGCGCAAGGGCTTACCTCCGCAAGACCTTCATAGACAATAGACGAGATTGCGCAGTTATCGCTGTTATTTCCGGGCGGGAAGGGCCCCTTGGGAGGAAAGGTGAAGTAGTTCTCGCGCATATCAGCGTAGCCGCACTCTTTATCGGCGGCACTGATCCGGTCATAATAGTTTCCAACACCGGGGTACAGGCCCATAACGTTGTTGTACTCCTCGACGAAGGGCAGGGAGACCGCATGCTGTTGGAAGTCACCAGGGTCAGATCTGATGTACGGGCTGAACATCAGGGCACCGGAGAGGTTGTAGTCGGCGGACTGGTTGGACTTGATCATGGCGTCACCAATGTAGGGGATGTAGTGGCCTGCGTAGCTCTCGCCGGTGAGATGAGTCTTGCGGCCCTTGGTTCCGAAGGTCTCCATCCAGTTGTGGTAAAAGCCAAGGAACTGCTGGGCGGTCTCCTCTTCCGTGTTGACTCCGGGCTTACCGACTGAGAAGCCAGTGCCAGCGGGCTGATCGACGTAGAGCACATTTGAGAGTTGGGACCAGCTGAAAATGTTGTAAACCGGGCGGTAAGCCGAAGGGAACCAGGTAAAAGGTCCGTTCTCCTGGACCAGTCCGATGAAAGAACTACATCCCGGGCCTCCATTCAACCTTGCAGAGGAGTCAGTATGCGACTAGGTCCGAGGAAAGTCTCTTTGGGGGTTCGAGAAAACTTACCAAATGGTGACCTCCTCAGATGCATCTGGGTTGGTACTAGGGAAGTACCTGTTGGAATGAGCATCAACATTGTAACATAGATGGCGGTTTAGACAGGTATATACACTTACCAGAAGAAGAGTTGACGAGTCTCGTTGGATGCTTTCGAGATCGGGATTTGGCCAGCATATGATTCGCCCAGATCCCAGTCAACCAGCGGAATAGACGTGCCGTTCACAAGGTACTCTTTGTGATATCAGCGTACAAACCGAAGGGAGTCGAGGTTGGGTGGCATACTTTCAGTCTTTTCATTCAGGTACTGGTACTTCTCGGTGTCTTGACGACGCTCAAGATGGCGGCGTACAGGCAACCGCTTGGCCTCGGCAAGTTTCTTGACCGGATTGAAGCCGTCGACTCGCCAAGAATCGGCCAAGACGGTGGTGCAAGGCAACAATGCCAGCAACAGGTGACGGATGGACATCGCGGAAACCATGGTGACACAAGGTTGGTGGTTTGAATGATGTTGACCAGAACCTGCTTCAGATGAGGGAGGAACCGATCCTGATAAACACCTCAAATTGGCATCGACATGGGCCAATGGCTTTGGTCGATGAGCTGCCGAGAGCACTGCAACATCGGGCTACCAAAGGTTCCTCAAATCATATATTTCAGTTTGCCCAATGCACAGCAGAAAGCTTAGCTACTAGGATAACATTTGGTTTCCGCAGGCTAAGCTTCTCGTAATCCGAACCGATGAGTGTCTTCCCATGTTAGATAAGGGACTGATTGCTGGCACCGCATGCATGGAAGAATCATTGGTGACTCGTCTCGCTGAAACTCAAATGCAATTAACCCTAATCCATCGTCGATATGCCCCTGAATGCTATGCTTTCCAACAGGAATTGGACCAGGAGACCCTCCTCAATTAAACACCGGTAGGTTATCCCATGGAACCACTCTAGCAGCTCAATTGCAAGACAAACGGAAACTCCAAATATCTTGACATCCGGGTCGTCCGGCGAAAGTGCGATTTTTCGAGAGACCACGGACGGGCATGATTAATAAAACTCTAACCTCCTATACGAACCGCGTCAAACTTTCCGTTGGGCGATCCATTGGGGGCGATCTAGGGACACCCTTTGAGATCCGAAACTGACTCGACCGCCTATTGTGCTTGGACAAACGACGTCGACTGAAGATGAATTAAGCTTGATGAACATGGGACGAACATTCTATCTCGCTTGCCAAGAACGATCGGATGCAGCCTACTCTCCAATTGTCCGACGCAATTGATTGCGGCAGCTTGGCCTCGACCATTGCTTCGACTTTCTTAGCCATGTGCGGATTGAGGAACTTAGGGGGTTGCAGTCTGCAGCTGTGCCACTGCCGGTCTCCGGCGGCCCGTAATTTCGGGAAAACTGAACACCATGTCGCTGTAAAGCTTGCTGAGCAGCGCTATGGCTTAATCAGGAATGTGCTTGGGTGATTTGATTTCGATAAGTGAGCATGTTAAACCACAGCTGCCATTCTTGCCCTAGAGAGCGAGTTTATTTCCAGCCTGAACGTTGTTCATGTGCATCGATAATGGTCTCAATTTGCTGGCTTTTCTTCCAAAATTTGGTTATCAAATTGGGCAACTTTCTGCATTCCTCTCGCAGTTTTTATTGTTTATGATGATCTCCGTAGAAGAGTTCATATCTTCTTGCTGTCTGGCGGTAGATTATTGTACCAACATCTATTATTTCACAAGTCCCGTTATCCCGTCTCTGTTTGCTCCACGTTGTGGCGCGATTCTCGGTCTGGAAGTTGCACGCTCGCTTGCTCTCCGCTGGACCGAGCAGAGCCCACGATAAAGGCTCACATTACATTTGTATCTGTCTTAGTTGATCATGGCTAGCGCATGTCGTCGTTTATGCATCCCATGCCTCATTCGTGATCCTTCATCCAGTGCATCAATTCCTGCCAGTTTACGCACTGATGCTCAGTACCAAACCCCGTTACACCGCCCACCGCAGGGTCGCCAACCTCCACAGTCAGGTCAGGTCTGCAAAGCATGGACTGGCGGACAAGATCCAAACAGTGTCCTATGTGATACATATCTTTGACATGATTGTGATCGGGAGAAGCGTCGTGGCCTTCCTTATGGTCTGCCTTGTGGTCTGCAGGATGCGACCCATTGTTGACTTGCTCCATGATGTCAGGCCGCGCCTCATATAGTGCTTGGCGGATCATGTCGAGACAGTGAAGTTGGTGGAACACCGCTATGCAGCTTTTTTGCGGCGCAAGCTTGGAGTGTTGAAAGAAGCCACCCTGCTTAGGAAGAAGCGAGGCCCAAGCTTCATCGACTTGTGCGGATGGTGGCATGGCATAATTGAGATCTAACTCAAAAGTTCTGCTTATGGTTGATACTGTGCGGGATTAGAGTTGTGAGAAAGGAGCGTGCATGTGGACGCCGGGTGGTCTCTTACATCGCATCTCAGACTTAACGGGCTCAACGCCGTAATAATCTGGCGTAGCTTTGCTAGGCGCGGTATGTCTGCTGAGCCCCGCCACTAAGACGAGGAGTATCGCGTAAAAAAGGTGGACTCTGACCTTCTGCCAGTACTCCCTCAGCCGCGATTCTCTGTGTTGGACACTCTCGCCATCATCAATGGCTTGGTCAACACGCGCGTACTGATGAGATTTGATCCATGACGACATCGTGTAGCTTGGGGGTTATTTTGGCTTGAGCGAATACCGAAAGCCAGATGGAAGAGATAGGGCAAAGAAAGGAGTTTCTCAACCATCTTTATGAGCTGGGAGCACGGGGAGGGCAGGATATTGATCCTCCAATCTCTGTCAGGGCGATCCTCCTTGAGCGAGTCCCGCCATCACGACTCGTAGCGTGCAAGGTGCTTTGAACGTCGAATAGCATTCGTTCATTCGGGCCTTGACTTGTGGTCAAGCGGTTTAAGATTCCCCACCAATTCATTAAGAACGGGCAGAACCACCTTTCGCTGACTCGCACAGCTCCCCGCTGTTTTCATTGTCCACTCACTCCCGGACAGCTTCAAAGAGGAAAGATCATGATCAGGCGAAGGGAAAGCGCAGAATATTGACAGCGGCTGACGACATAGCCACGAGGTCCTGTCTCACTTTCCCTTTCCGTGTTTCCGGGTATTGATGTTGCCTGTCGATCGTGCGCGCTTGGCTTTGCGGGTTGCATCGGTCGTGCGTCCATCCGAGAACCATGTCCAGGGGGTCATCGGGGCAACCACTCTGCTGAAGCTGGGACGAAACGCCGAGGTTGCAAGCATGCACGTTTGGTGAGCTGTTTAAGCTACATCCCCAGCATATAAACTTGCCGTTTCCCCGGACTTGGAATTGATTGGGAAGAGATGCGGAGTTTGGGGCTGTTGACGAGTACCCCTGGCCCGGATTCCCTCTTCGACATCCAGGTTTCGCCAAGTCTTGCAATATCGACACCCAGAGAACGATTCACACTTCAAGCATCTAAGTGCACTCATACTATGAGACGCTTCACTACTGGGGCCGATTTCAGAAAGGCCATGCTGAACTGAGATGCGTGACAATATGGCCACTTGAGATATCTTGAGTGGTACATTCCAGCTACAAAAAGGTGAAAATTCCTGACAATTGCTTGACTATTGATTATTGGTTGCCGAGAAAGACAGCCTGTAAGTTTTCTTACTTTGATATGAATGCCTTCCCGTCGTTCATTTGAGACTCACATCTTTATGTGACTCACTGACAGTCAAAAACCTGCATGTGCCCGCCCAGTTGTCTGTTTCAGGCGCAAGAGCTGCATCCATATCGGGAAGGTCAACAAGCTCTCATCCTTCGGCCGATTAGAAACAACATGACACGCGGCGTAGCGGATCCTCAGATGCAAACATGAAGACCGGAAAAAGTCAACATGTGTAGAAATATTGCTTATTTAAGTCGAGGTCTTCTGCGGAGCTCTTATTGCAGAACTGATGGCCCGTAACTTCATTAGCGAAGGTATAACTTCAAACGCAAAACATTATAGCGTCACCGTCTGTCCGCCGCGATGGCCTCGCCTCATTTTTTCCGGGCTTCGTACGAGATTGTGTCTCCGCGACTGGTAGTTAGGACTGCCAAGGAATCTGACATTGAATCTTTCCACGCCATCATGACGGCCCCAGAAAATTTCCCATTTGAGGAACCTGAAAAAGGTCTTACGATCGAGAAGCTTCGGGCTCGAATTCAAAAATTTGCCAAAATGTCAGCGAATGGCAAAAATGCATTCTTGGTCGTTGAACTGCGCGGTACAAATGAGTTGATTGGATACGGAGGGTACAACACTTTTGAATCTGTCGACCCGACCGAGTTCCTTGACCAAACGACACTACAAGGAAGCAAAGCGTACATGACGGACATCGGTATCATAATCGATCAAAAACACTGGCGCAAGGGCTATGGTCTGGAGTTGGTCAGCGTCCTCATCGAGTACGCCCAAAACGAGCTTGGTTGCGAGGTTTTCAGAGCAGAGACAGGCGACGACAATGAACCATGGCGAGCTCTCATGCAAGCGGCAGGTCTTGCTAAGTTCGAGGGACGGCACAAAGCAAGCTATGACGAGAAACAGGAGGTTTGGGTCTGGAAGTTTGATGCAGGACATTGGAAACAGGAAAAAGAAAGGATGCAAATGGAGGGAAAGTGGCCACTCTAGGAGCTTGTCTCTCTCCGTGACTGTAAACTCTCGATATGATAGTTCTATTTACCGAGTGGCTCGCAAGATCACTCATCAAAGATGACGCAAACAACTTCGCCCGCAATAGAAATGTTTGCGGCGAACCCCTTCAGAAGACCGGTGCTCACTTCGCGATCAATAATGACCGCCCGTCCGTCCTGCTGCAACCCTACAGCAACTTGTGTGCCAGCCTTGTTGATCGAGAACTGCCGGGGAATCATGCCACCTGACGGGAAGATTTGAGTGAAACCCAGGTGACCGGTCTGGTGATCGATCTTGAAAGTAACAAGGGCGTCGCTCTTAATCTCGGTGCTGTTGGTGGTGTCAAAGTTGGGAATGCTGAAGGTGCTAACGTTTCGTGAAGAGACAATGAGATACTCAGAGTCAGGCTGACGTATTGTTAGCAACAACACACGTCTCAAGGCGAATCATGTTTGTCGAGGAATCAGCTTGACGGAGGTACTTACCGAGATGTGGATCTCAGCTGCGGCAGCCCCAACAGGTACCGTGTTGTCGGGGCCGTGGGTACCGACGCTGAAGACTTCGGTGAAGCTCAAGGTCTTGTTGCGACCATAGTGAACTTCGTACGTGGTGACAATGTTTCCAAGCTCGGCCAGAACAAAGAAGTAAGTCTTTTCCTTGGTGACGAGGAATCTGGCGTGTCTGGGACCACTGCCAACTGCAACGTTCAGTGGGGTGACCGGCGTCAGTTGGTAGGATTCCTGGTTGATTGCAAAAACCCGAACCAAATCCGCTCCCAAATCCGGCACTAGCACGTACTGCCCCGTGGGGTCAAGGATGGCCTCGTGGGGATGCGGGGCATTCTGTGCCGGCTTCGGTCCTGGCTGGCTCAGCGTGTACGTCCAAGACTGAAGTCTTTTGATGTCGGTCGGGTCCTCCACGGAAAAAACTTCAAAGGACGACGCCGGACTGTCAATTTTGTCAGCGGAGTTCCGCGTTATTGCGCAGCGAATTCTTAAAATCCCCCCCAGAACGAGCTTCTTCGGTGACGGAAGTGGAAATCTCTCCGGGGCCAGTGAGTGGGACTTACTAAGAAGCCAAGGCAATGCCTCCACCATTCTTGCCATAGACGACGGAGCTCACAGCCCCCTTGATAGTAGGGAGCTTCCCAAGCAGCTCGAGGGTCCCATTCTCAGACTTTTGGAAAGAAACGAGCGTGCCATTGGGGTTTGTAAGTCCTCGATCGGCACAGTAGAGCAGGGACTTTGACTGATCGAGAGTGAGCCAAGAGGGGTTCGCCGCGCAATCAGTGTTCGTGGCAATGGCCTTCAAAGTCGTGCCGGATTCCGAAGTCTGAAGATCGAGAGTGGTGACGGTTCCGGCGTGCGAAGCGGCGTATAGGAGGGTCGATGTCACTGGCTTGACAGACATGATGGCCATGAGCCAGGCGGCAGAGAACTTGTCGAACCCCAACATTGCGGATAAGTCAATTAGCGATAAAGACCGACACAGACCGATGCTGGCATTTACCACACTGCTGGCGATTCAGTGTCTTTAAAAGCTCCTCCGAAGCCATGGTCGGAAATGCGACCCTTGTACATCATCGAGCTGGGTACCGCATCGTTTTCCGTGCGGGGTTGGGATATCCCTGAATGTGCTGCGGAAATTCCACCTATTAATCTAACTGGCTTATGGTAAAATCGATTTTACCTTGGAAGAGGAAATTCGCGCTAGCCCACGTGTAGAGTTGGAATAAGCCGTTTGCCGGCGAGTAGATTGAATTCTTGGCAGGGGTTGCGGATAAGGTTTGAGAAAGGATGCTCTTGGCACTTTCGATCTCAAGGGGGAACAAGAGACGAACTGAAGCTTTGACTGATGCAAACCAATGATACAACAGCCGGATGCTGCACTAAGGCTTCATCCCACCGGCGCTTCTTGAACAGCCACTTTCTTACTCTTGGATATAAATCAACACTCATCTTCAAAAGGATTGCCAAGAAGTCGGTGAATATGTATGGGCTGAACTGTAAATGTTTTGAGTGATTCATCTTTGTGACTATTATGTATCAGCAGTCTTCAAACACTCTTTGGGCAACGTTTCAACGTCCGAAAGTCCGTCGCACACTTTTGAGTCGTGCCCGGAAACTGTCAATGATGTGGACCCCATCAGTTGCGATGATGAATGGGGTTGCCGTGTCTTAAGTCAATCGTCAAGACAGTCGCGCGGAAAATAAGTGATATTGTGCCTCACAAGACAATATGCCTGAAAGTTGGCAATATCGTCTATTCGTATGGATGCGTCGTGCCAGCAGATCAATCATCACATGTTTCTTGGCAGCATCATGTACAGTTTTCTGTGTTCTCCCTGAACTCTCCCACCGGCATTCGAGGGATGCAGGCGAGGATAGTCAATGAGAAGGGCACAACTCGATGCTTGGCACCAATCTATGAGAAATCGTGGGGGCCCCCACAATCGATAACTTTAGTACTTATGATTTTGGAGTGCGAACAAACATATTTCGTATTGATCAAATTTATCATAGGGTGCTACTTGTGGAAACTTGGAGAAGGTAAAGAAATTGGTATTGACGCACACGCCGCATCAACCCAAAGCATTAAGAATCTCAGACTCTCCTGGTCCTTCCTCGCAACAATTCGCAAATCATAGTCTTGAAGGGGGTTACGTTTTCCTCAAATTATCTTGAGCTACGGCACTTGAGGGTATTACTCCAAGTGAATGATGTTGATCCTGCCACCACCTGTGTAATTGTGTGTCACAAACTGCTCAAAACCGCCAGTCTCTGAGACGATGAGCGTTCGGCCTTCCGCATCCTTTGCCCAGACCACTGATGTAGGCGCCAAAAGAGCTGTGCTGTTAATGCCGCCAATAAGAGTCTCCGGGACGGTGGTGTTTGCCCCGCGTGGCACAAAGCCGAGAGCGTTTCCGGTAAGTTCGGCGAGATAGATGTCGCCGTTGTATTTGTTGACAATCAAATCATCAATTGGAGTCTGGGTTGCCACAATTTCCGGGGTTCCATGGAGGACTTCTTCCTTCCCTGAAGCTTTCACGCGGGCGACCAACTGTTGGTTGGTGTTGCTGAAATAGAGATATCCTCTTGAGAGCTTGATGCCGTTGACGCCGAATACCACGCCGGTTGTAGTACCAGGCTTTAGCAAGGGATCATCGTAGTAGACGCCCAATTGGAAGGTTTTGGTGTCGAAACGGTAGATGAATCCCTCGCGCGTATCTGCGATCAGAACATAGGGCGTTCCAGGAACCGCAATCATCCCATTGGGCTGAGAAATAGCATCCAGCGACGCCAGTTGCTTGACGACCGGCTTGTCGCACTTGTCGAATGACAATTTGTGGATTGCGTACGAGCCTGGGGTTGGACTCAAAGTCTGGAAAGAGAAGTTGCCGGTAATGAGGAAATATTCATCCGAGCTTGGTGATTTGGCAATACTGGAAACGCCAATGGTATTCTCGAAAGTGTGTACAAGCTTTGGCTCAGCATTTGCGACAGGAGCCACTTCGTAAACGCGAGGGAATGTGTAAACGACTGCCAGAATGGAACCCGACGGCCTGACGGCGAGGTTTTCGATCTCAGATCCTAGCGGAAATTCTTGACTCTTTTCCACTCGCAGGGCATTCACACAGACCAGAACGACTGTGAAAAGCCATAGGCAGGCTATGCTAGAAGTTGTCATTGAGAGGCTGTTAAAGTGCAAAATTAATTCGCATAAGGTAGTAATAATAGCTTGATGAGGCCTTCAGAAATGTGATTATCGAGAAAGGTGGCTGGCCTATTTGTATGCGTCTGATTCCCATAGATGCGGATGAACTTCAATCCATCTGTACAGGGCAGGTACAATGGATGAGCCGAAACCCGGGGGTTCGGGAATCCTACCAAGTATCTCGATCTTACCTTAGTGTGATCGCCTAATTTGCGCAACTTATGGCGGGGGCCTGTACTTCTTGGTGTCAGCAATGAAAGAAATCAACGTGGAAAATGTAGTATTGGAAATAAGAGCCATGGACTTTTGCCGAACATGTCGGAGTCAGGTGTATTGAATTTGATTCCCTTCCTACGACTACCGAGTTAAGGGCGGAGGTTGCCATACTCTCGAGAATACGAGTGGCCGGAGACAAACCTCGCCGGTCCAAGTCATCAGTCTAACCAGCGACTCGACGAGGCATATCGGATTTCGGACGTATAGGTACATGAGCGTTGCAGCGTGGGTAAGACGATTGCAGAAGCTTTGTAGCTACATGTACTTGACTTTTCGCGTACCGTTGTTGAATTCTGACTAGCAGGTTACACTATCATCAATCAGACTGTGTTTGCCTAGGCTGACGTGGGATAGCTTGAATCAATACTTGCATGTACGCTAAGCACTATCCTCAAAACGGTCTCCGTAAGCCAGGCAGATGAATTGTTATCCCTTGTGTTAACTGCAGGTCGCCGGAATCCTACATGTCTAGGGATCTGGTTGCAATGTGGACATATCAGCTGGCCTGTCGTGAAACTTACGAGTAGGCGTCTAAAAGACTCGAATCTGGTCTAAAGATATTGGGAATCACGCATGCTCGATGATCCTGCAAAATGGCTTCCTTGAGAGATTGAAATGTGCAGAGAATGATTACATTATCTAGTAGTGCTGCATTAGGACCTTCGTTCCCTACTTCCTTTCGACCTCAAGAGAGGCCAAGATAAAAGCTGACTCTCCGAGAAGACTGTTCGGCAAAAGCGGTTGGTGAGTATAGTATTCGTATGATGCCGTAGAGTTGAGACTGCACACAGCGACTGTCTTGTTGTACCCGATCGTACCGTTACCAGTATCAACAACAAAGTTTCGGGTGGTATAGTCGTAAGCTTTCAAAGCTGCCTTCTTGAAGTTCACCTTCGAGTTCGACAGAAGTCCAAGCCTCTCGCCCTTGAGCATAGAGAACATAAACAAGGCGGTGCTCGAGCTCTCGAGGTAGTTGCCACTGCGTCCAGGGAACGTCGTCAATTGCCACCAGACTCCGGTCTCGGGGTCTGCGTAGCGAATGAGAGACGTAGCCAATTGCGTTGTCATGTGTTGTAGTTGCTTGCACACAGCCTTGGCCTCGTGCTTGCCGGCGGGACAGTCGAGGGCTTCCCACGTCTGAACCAAGCCTGCTACGAACCAGCCTACGGCGCGGCCCCATACATACGGGCTCGCACCCGTCTCTTTGTTTGCCCAGACGGAAGTCTTTGAGTAATCGTACCCGTGGGCGACCAAGGAGGTGTTCTTCTGGAAGCAATGCTCGTAGAGCAGCGAAACCTGCAAGCTGATGTCGGTGTAGTTGGGCTGGGGTTGCGCAGCCATGAACGGCAGTACAGAGAACATGCCATCCAGGTAACTCCATTGAGGGTAGACATAGTACCAGAAGCCTCCAACAGGATTGCGAATTTGAAGCGACAGAGATTCGTTGATGGCTTTTGATGCTGCTGATGCCGTGTCCGAAATCGTTGCGATTCCCGACTTGGAAATAGCGTTGATGGCGTTTGCAACCGAGAAGCGGTCCAGAGGTCGGGTTGCGACGTAAGTTGCGTTGACCAAATTGGGGGTGCCCTCGTTTAGAACTTCCTCCAAGTAAGGCACGTATTGGTCCTTAAGCTCCGGGTATTGCTTCAGTGCAGCCTCCATGGCGATGGATAGAATGCCCGTTTCTAAGAAACTGCTTGATTCACCAGACGAGATGATGCCTTGCTTGCGCGCCTTGATGCTGTCCAGCATCCAGGTCGAGTATCGTCGGTCTTCGCAACTTGCGACAGTCGCCAAGCCGCAAAGGGCCAATAGCCGGATCGTAAGGTGACGCATCTTGAGGAGTATGTAAGATCACGACTGGGAACAATTCGGGATCTGGCAGACGCTACCACCGAGCTCTATTTTTCCTTTCAACCCCGCTACCGGCGTCGCTGACGCTTTATATGCTGTTGCTTTTCGTATGAGTCAAGCTAATTGCACTGCTAATTATTGCCGAAGCCTATTTGTTTACCCGGCTCGTCATTGGGCCTTTCGCCAATGCGTCAATCATTCCCCTATTGAATGTTTCCCCCATGTCTGCCGGTACTTCCGCGGGGAACTTCTGGACCCATAGTGCATTGACCATGAAGATTTGATAGCTGACGACTTCGCGTACCAAAACTTTGTGATGAATGCTGCAGGCAACCGCAAAAAAGTCTTGATTGGTTAAGATGCTACATGTCCTATGTTTCTGCATTCGCATTTTGATCAATTCAGGACGGCTGAGCGATGCTAGAGTAAGATCAAGAAGCAAACTTGGTGGCCTCACTGCAGTACTCAGCAGATCGAGTTCGAAGGATCCATCTCTGTGCTGGGCAGCAAAGTTTCAACGGCCGGGGCCACAATTTTGGACGCGAAAGATTTCCCGGTATGGATTGAGCAGTGAGCACAGAGGGGTAAGTTCGCCAAGGATCCATGGGGCGGAAACAAGAAAATCCTTCCTTCACCAAAGGCTGGGCCGGAAGCTTTCCGTCCACTCAGCTCGAAATGAATGCAACAGGTATCCTTGTTTGAATGGTACAGAGCTTATAGGCGACCTTGCTTGGTGGTCAATTATGGGTAGGTTTCCTCCGTCTCTACTTTGCTCTGCACACGCAATCTTCAAGACGTACCGCCAATGTGGGACGGATTCTAATCGACCGACGCTCAAAGCTTTAAAGGCGAATGTGGAGCAACCATGCGCAACGTCCCTGTCACCGAGAAAATCCCTAGACGTCAGCTTCAGAGAGTGAACGAGACAACCAAGTTCAGGCCAGTGCCAAATCTCAATTACATGGGCATCCTACTGAGTTATAGACATGTACATACGGTTTTCGAAATTGGCTTTTTCAAACATATATAACCTATTTTCACTGGTTCAATCTTCAAGTTTACTCGTTCGAAAATAACCTTCCTATCGCCCCATTACCTGCTCAATAGGTATCGCAATGTGACTCGGCGGATATTTCCATGGAAGCCGACTTTGGTTTCTCTTGCACAGAATGTATTATTGTTGGCACAGCAATTGCTCAACGGATTTCAAATGCACAAACGACAAATATGTATATTTATGGCAGTTGTAACAACACATCCAAGAAGCGCCAATGGCAACTCGAAGTTCGGGCCCCCACCTGACTGAGCCTGGTGGCTTGAATCGGAGACAACAACTGGCCGATTGGATCCCTGGCTCCTGCAAGTTGTCAGGAGTCATCAGCCGCCGACTCAATTTCGATCGACATGTAAGTCAGCTCGGTAAGATAAGCAATTGGATTGGCCGTATGAATATGGAAAGAACCCTACAGTCAGAGCCTTGCAGTGAAGGAGGCATGCCGCAGCATGCATCATCCGCTCACCCTTGCAGCGTAGCCAGGGTGATCAGGCTGCGACAGGAAGACGCGAATGGTTCTATAAAGGCTGCTATCCAGTCGAAAAGCGAGCATCAGCAAATGTTCGGGCACGACAGATTCTCTACTTTTCTTTTGCCATGCCTGTTATGAGATCTCACTTGGTCGTACTTCTGGTCGTTGTTGGCGTCGCGCGGTGCTTGCAGACGCAGACCAGTGCCGATATCCAGAGCCAAATCGAGGCGAATGAGAACGACCAAAAGGCATTAAACACCATACATGCTCGTGCCTGGGTCGATTCTCCATCTGTTCGAGGGACCACCGACATTTTGTGGACTTGTATCATCACCCTGACCAGTTGCGTTTATACGGTCCTTCATCTGAATATCAGGCACTCTTCGACGTGGAACAAATTGCAATGGGTTGCCATAACCTTATTCATACCCGAATTCATCCTCTTGCTTGCCTCCAGGCAGTTCATCGAAGCATTCTTGCTCAAACGGAAGCTCAACCTCTTGCTGTCAGAGCAGGCCTGTAACAGCACCAGCACTCCCAAAGTGAGCACCGCAACCCTCAATCGAATCCGGAAGAAGAACAAAGAATCAAGCTGATTAAAAATTTGCATTCTGCTCTCAGAAGTCCTACGACCTGAAGACCTGCTTCTTCGCGGTGATGGGAGGCTTCGAAGCTCCAATTGCCGACATAGAGCCAGGAACGGGAGTTATACGAGACAATGACTACAATTGGCCACTGAATTTGACGCTATCAGCAACAGGCATCCTTGAACTGGCAAGACTTGGTTATTTCATCGAAGTCGATACGGCAAGCCTGGAAGATCGAAGCAAAGCAACCCTGTTACAAAAGTTCCTCGTGTCAACCCAAGTAATATGGATGGCGATACAGTGCATTGTAAAGAAGAGACTTGGGTTGCCAATAGCGTTGCTCGAAATCCATGTGATGGTACATGTGGTTTTCGCTCTGCTGCTCTATGGATTCTGGTTTTACGTAAGTGCTAATTGCCGCATGGCTTCTGGTTCAAACAGAGGTTTACAAAGTCATATAGAGTACTAATTTGGTGCTAATAGAAACCCTTAGATATCGAGTGGACGCAAACTATCACAGTGGAAAGCGAAGAGATCAAGAATGCCCTTGCTTTCATGATTCAGTGCCAGTTCTGCCACTTGCAGAACGAGACTGCAATTCTGTATCCTGACCGAGGAGATGACCGGCCCATGGTTCCGAGGATAGTGGCCAAGAGGAGCTTTGGAAAACAAGACCCTCGAAGTAGTCGATGTGAGGTCGCCACCGACCAACAAGGTGAACACCTACCTGTTCAATGGATCACTCCGACAGCGGATGACGTTCGCATTAGTGAAGGCCAGGCTTTGTCCTGTGGAGTAGGTTACCTCCATATAGGTCTTGTCTTGGGGCGTGAAAAGAGTCGACTCGCGGAGGAGAGAAGCATTCTTCTCAATGCTTCAGACATAACGAGGACTGAAAGAGCCGTCTTGCACCTAAACTCGACGCGACAAAATTCCTTGGCAGCTCCTGATGTTGACCCATTCTGGGACAAGACTTACAGTCAATGTTTTGTGTTAGGGGGCAACATACGCGAGACTCTTTCGATATTCCAAGATAGTTTCAGTCACCCCGCAGATGGTGGCGCCGATGAAGGAATGGGGTCAACCACAGAGGTTTTCCGCTTCATTCTCTCCGTTATCGGCGAGGAGCTCACTTGGTATAATTTGCTAAGAACCGGTATTTTTCCTATAATCTACGGAGGTATCCATCTTTCGGCATGGAACTATGACTTTGCCTCGCGACAAGAAGAGATCATGTGGAAGGTATCCTGTCTGATCATCGTCGGGTTTATACCTTGGGTGGGGCTTTATTTCTTGTTCTTTGCATATGTTGGAAGGCCATTGCGGGTTTACATCGACCCTGACTTACTTGCGGAAGAAGTTCAGAAATCACCCTTGTCAGTAGGCTCTCGCATGGCGGGGATTTGCATTCTGGGGTTTACAGTTTCGTTGTTTGCTGCAGTTCACTTTTTTGCCCGAGTTTTCATCGTTGTTGAGGCTTTCATTAGTCTTAGGCAGGTCCCTATCGGTGTCTACTCGATGCCGTCTTGGATTCAAATGATTCCTCACCTTTGACACGCTTGCGAGGACATTGAGACTTCGGTATAATAGAATTGTCCAGGACCCGAGTCGCCGTTCTTTGTCATTTCAAATCAAGAATCGTTATTGATCACAAATACAAATGTGCTTAGAATGCGGGTGATGGGTCAAGATTTCGATTATATGAGTCTGAATTTCTAACCATCTGATCCGCCGGTAATCAGCTATCTACATCTGGCTTCTCTTTAATGTTGATGACACAAATCTAAGTCGGTCCTGCAAATTGCAGACAGTATGTCTATGTATAGGTCTTCCGTTATTATCCACCGTGTGATACAATCTGTCAACCAGGAGGCCCAGTCGCTTAGCCCGAACACGTACTAAACTTTGAAGCACATGAAGTTCGTCCTCCTTGTCCAATGTCCCTTGGCTCAACCTGAACGCCGGCTGCGACGTAAACTTGACGCTGCCGCTCCTACTGCTAGAGCGTCTCCCCGAGTCTCCATGGGAACTGGATGTATCCGAATCATCATCTACAGAAATGATGTCATCGTCTACGCAAAGCTTGGGCACCAGATACTCAACACCACCAAGCATCATATCGCACATGGATACGAGTAAGGCGACAAACTCCGGTCGTGTGGAATGTGTGTGGCAATCGAAGAAGGAATCCAGGCCCTCCATAGTTCGCTTCAAGGACCGCAGCATTTCTGCGGGTGGCGCAGGGGCTTTGCTTCGTATACTCCAGAGAAGGTTGGAACTAACGTCCTCATGCTGCAGAAAGACTCGCGCGTAGCATGAACATGAGAGACTGTCTTGTTCCGGGTGTTGCTTCGATTGATCGTGACGAGAATGCTGGCTATTCCGAGGCCACTCCTGATTATGGCTTGACGGCTCCCGTACGTGCTTCCTCCGCCTTTCGACGTGGGCTACAGGTCTCTCTGTATCTGAGCCTAAAGAAACCACCCTGGGCCAGTCTGAGGCATTGAGACAGGAAAGTAGCGGGTCTATTCGAGGTGAGGTCGATGGGCTGTTGAGTGTTGCCTTCATGAAAGGCTGATTCCCTGTACGACAGCAACGTTAATGTTCGAACGGTTTCAATGCTGGCCGACTAACGGCAAGCGGAATAAAGAATTGGCTCACCACTAGCTTTCATGAAGCTATCAAGGGCATCCGTTGATAGCATGCCATCTAATGTCTCGGCTTGAAAGGGAGAAAAGGCTCTTGGCTGGAAGACCAAGTGACCAATGTTTTCCGGGTCATTTGTCTCTCGGTCTTCCTCCGCGATTATGGCATTGTCGGCGGTCAGACTATCTTCCCTTTCCCAAGGGGACATAGAAGGTGTGAAATCGGCAATCGTCAAGCGCCTCTTTGAATTGGGATTCGAGGTTTCATAATGGCAGTCGAAGCCGTTGGCTCTGCACCGACCGCACCCTTGTTTCTCGCCGCTGCATTTCAGCTACAAGTCCACAAGCAACGTTAGTCTCTGCCATGCTTTCTTTGATCGATATGTTCAGAAAGAAAAACGGAGCTCCGCTCACCTTTTTTATCCGACAGTGTTTGCAGGCGTTGCGGGTAAGCGGGCCGCGGCGTCGCTTAGTTGTGGTTGTTGAGTTTTTCACTTCCCTAGAGTCGCCTCCATGACAAGTCGTCCGAGACATATCAAAGTCAAACGGAAAATCCTCAATAGGCAGAGACTGAGTTGCGGTTGCCATTGTTCAATGAGTCGAAGTTGAGAGTGCGGCTAAGATCGATGGAAATCGAATCGAGATTGCGGCGGCTTGTGTTAGTCCTTTTGGGTAGGAAGACATTGCTTTAGACAAAGTCAATCCGCCGATAAACCGACGACTGGCTACCGGTCAGGGATGGAGGGCCGGCAATATTCTAGAAACGGCAGAAAATTGGCGTGAACCTGTCTCGTCGGTAAAATGGCATCTTAGTAGTGTGTCAATATAGTTTCAACCTCTGAAGTCTGTTGGCATGGCCCAATAAAGCATGAGCGGCGCGTAAACGCCCCACCGGCCGATAGGGCAGTTAGAACATGCGGAGATTTAATCTTGGCATCCCGGGGAGTTTTGACGGCAGGGCCTGTCATTGTTTCTGGCCCGGCCACTTTCAGTTGACAAGACAAAATTTGAGACGAGTCAGAGTTATAGACGCGTAGAAGCTGCTACGCGACAGGATTAAGCGATGTAGCTAGGCCTGATCTCTGAATTATATCTCAGAGCAACATATGTAATGTCATGGTGCGAATAGTAAGGACAATGAGATCTTCGGCAATGTAGAAGTGGGTTATCGCATATAGTACAAGTTAGGTGGCTTAAAGCAATCCTGAATACAGTTGCGAGGTATCAGAACCTAATTGACATGATCTAGCAAAGTATCAACTTCGGATAGAGGGCTCTTGCGAGCAAACGAGACGGCGGATAATATTCGAAAAACACAAGCCTTCAGCGGCATCCCACTGCAGGGCCCTCTTCCGCGCTTCGCCTCAACGCAGTCCACATAATGCACCAGCCGCGTCACAGAAGTTAAGTCTCCTACGGTCAAAACTTGCTTGGCAGAATGTCTGCCACCGGCAGCATTGAGCAATAGCCAGAACAAGGCCTGCTTCAGCCTTAGGACAAGTCTCAGCGGAAGGTACTCCAATAATGTCAGGGTCTTCCCCGCAGTCAAAGTTGTACGAAGGGTCGTTTCAAGCCTAGGACCTCGGACTAATGCATTGTATTTGCACAAACGATGAGGAGACAAGATGCTCTGATGGGTTTTCATGGTTCCGCCAAGCTGATGTGCATGCTGCCCACCTTCCCGTGTTTGGTTGCAATATGTCTATGAAGTGCATACATAATCCGTGGAAAGCCTCCACTACGTGCACGGCTATGTTTTGCCACAAGCTTCAAGGCTGGATGAAGGTTTTCCTCATCGCTTGACTGGCTTGAGATACACATTTAAAGACGGCTTTTGCCACACGATATAAACTTTTTGACCCTTTATCCAGTCACTGCCCTCGTCAACTAGCTTCAGATCGAAGCTGAACAAAATCCTTGCCAGGATAAGGCGCATCTCAGAGTATGCGAGATTGCGACCGACGCAGTCGGCGTGGCCCATGCTGAAAGGTTGGAATGCGTCCAGCCTGTCCTTCGCGAAGCTCGGATCTCCGAGGAAACGCTCGGGATGATATTCCAAGGGTTTAGTAAAGTTCAGTTCGTTATGATACATCGCCCATTGCCAAGTACCGACAAGGCACTGTGTCAGAATGAAAAGAGTCAGAGATTTCCTAGTAATGAAGTAGGGTATTGCTCAGTAGCGGGGTCACTTACACCCTCGGGCACGACATTGCCATCAATGATAGCCGTGCCATGCGTGACTCGTCGGGGCAACCAAGAAGGAACTACCGGGAACACACGCAGCGCCTCGTCCAGGCAGGCCAACATGTAAGGGAGCTTGTTGACGGATAGAAGAGTAATGTCTGACGGATCAGAAAATGAAGATCTGACCTCTTCTACGACTTTCTGATATGCTTCAGGATTCGATAGCAGAAGGAACGAAGTTGCCGTGAGCAACGTCGCTGTGGTCTCTGACCCGGCCGCGATGAGAAGCGTCGAATTCTGGACAAGGCGTTCCATGTCAAGCTTCTGCTCCCTCTGGTTAGTCACGCTCTGCCATGGTATCTGAGACAGTATGATCGCAAGTCCAACACTGAGCAAAAGTAGGGGCAAGAAAAGGGTCGAACGTACCATTCCCTCTTTGTTATTGAGCAGGGACTCGATGATATCTGCTTGTTTACCCGACTGAATGCGACTTTGTAACTTCTGAATCGTGTAACCCATAAATTCCAACTTGTTCTTGGCGAGTACCTTCATGATGATAGCTGTGATAAATCTCAATCCCTGTCGGTTCAGCTCACCGATCCACTCAATCTCTTTCTGCTGAAATGCAATAATCTTTACCCAGGGATGATATTCTGCTGACTCGAGGCATCCAAAAGAGCTGGAGAAAGCAAGTTCGCCAAGGATGTCGAAGGTGCAAAAGTTAACTGCCAGCCTAATGTTAGCATCAGACGGAACTTCGGCAGATGTAATCCCAGCACTCACACCAGTCGCGGAGATCAAGCGCGCGGGTACCATCATCGCAGTTCTCATGAAGTCGCTTGAGAAGCAAGTCAACGTAACCGCCAATCATCGGTTCTTGCTCCTTCATGCCACGATCTGAAAAATACGGCGAAACCCACTTGCGTAGTCTCGCGTGTTCCTCGGGCCCAGCGTTGAGCAAGCTAATGGGTCCTTCCGGTCCTTCACGGTAGTATTCGTATGCTTTCTCAAATTGACCGCGACGGCGCATGCCGTAGATGTCCTTCCAGGCGTTTCCTTCGATAAAGCCAAGGTTATTCGGTCCCATTCTGACGACTGGGCCGTACTTTTTGAACAAGGATTCCGCATAGAATGGCAGCTGCCCTTTCACTCCTGCAATCACGAACGGAAGGTTTGTCAAGCGGTTCAGAATTGGACCTGGATATTTGTTGAGCGGATGAAAGAAAGCCCTGTAGACCGCTAAACAGGACAAGTACGCCGCAACCTAATTCTATCAGTCAAGTATACACATGGAGAAATTGCGGTATCTCACTAGACCGGATATCAACACCGCCCAGCGGCTGATCCCTTGAAGTTCAGCAATGCATGAGAAGAAGGACATCGTGAATAAGGACCAAGAGACAAAAGGTTGTACATGCAACACGTCGCAGGTTTCTTGCCCCTATAGAACTTATTGATTGAAGATACTATTCGTGAAATGTCAATTTTACTCAGTTGAGGTGAGGTAGGTGAGCACGAACAAAAGGCTATCGAACGGCACAGGACCCTTTGGCATGATAACATCAAACTGCATTTGGACACGTCGAATATGTTTCAACTGGCTAAATTCGCTGTCCTCCATGCTTGCCGGAGGCTTTCGCTCTCTTACCACACGTTCCCATCCTCAATCGCTTTGGTACCGTATCAGCAACTGAATCTGCCCACCATGCGGGAGGGCTTTCGGATTTGAAACTTGGCACCGCGTCTCCAGAATGTTGTGTCGATCGACTCCGGCATCTTTCCAGCCAACTCAACCGGCATATTGAACCAAGATGTCGGTGCACCGTAATTTGGTGGCCAAGGATTATGGACGAACAGAAGCCGAATAATGAGAGCCTAGGTATGGCCTGCCCACGGCTTGTCTCAGAAACTATAGGCTAAGATCTGACAGGATACGGTAGAGAGGCCTTTCTGATTCATAGCAGGACAGACAGAGGTCTCCGATCTCACGGACTTCTCCTCCGGCAATATATGAGCTGTCTCCGGCAAGTAACCCGAGTCGTGAGATGCCTAACCGAAGCGAGCCACAAGCATAATGAGCCGGCATTTTAGGTTAGCTGTCCGCATATCATAGTTGCGTGCTTGGAGACGTAGCATGTTCGCAGGTAAATGACTCGTTTACATTTCACTAGCAACTATACTCATTGGCAATCCCACAAATGCCTAACCCTCATTGGAAACCTAATGCTTGACTGAGGAGCAAGATCCAAGTACGGATGACGGGAGGTCTTGGCGTCCCATAAGCTGAGGCGTTCCGCAGGCTCGGGCGCCATTCAGCCTCTCGCTTCGAATTCTGGAACATTGACTTTGCTTATGGCGGATGTAGATCATATTTGCCATGTTAAGCATCGATATTCTAGTTTCGTCGCGTCACCAATTTCTCTGTACGAGCACCGACCTAGCTCGTGCCCGGCGGAGGAGTCCGGAGCCAGGCCTTGGCCACCTCTCGAGCCACATACGGGCGTTCGGGAATCGCCGCCGGCTGGCTGTCTCAACCTGAACCATGATTCTCAGAAACCTTGGTCCGGTCGGAGGTTTCATGAAGACAACAGAACGGCACTCCCTACCAGTTCCAAATCACTTTCCTGATTGGGACATCGGTATCCGTACAGGCTCTACCTTTCGTGGACATTCTTACGTAGCAGGGTCACGAGATGTTGACAGGTAAGTGAGTCTTTCGGCGATAGTGAAATGGCTGTCTTGGATCACAGCTTAAGGTCTCCGGCAAGTGTAAGAGACTACAGATACACATGAATACCACCGTAGCTCCTTATCTCGGATATTGCAAAAGGCCGGTTGTGTCGTACTAGCTACTCCACCCATCAAAGCGATTCTTTTTACGCTGCAAATTAAAGACGCTTCTCTTGAATGACTTCAGGAACGCAAGTAATTTCTTTCCATGATTGATGCCCAAGATGGCAGACTCAAAGAAGACTATTCTATTCTTCGGTGATCAGACCGATCCGTGGGTCGATGGCATCGACTACATCATGAAGCAGGCTGGCCTGGCGCCATGGCTTCAGGGTTTTATGAGTGATCTGTGCAAGAAGGTCAAATCGGAGCTCAAGGATTTCGAAAGCGCTATTACAGAGAGTCTCGGAGACTTTTCGAGCATCTACGAATTGGCTGAGAAATACCGCCACTCAGTCGACGAGACTGGTGTTGCTAATGCAATCCTCATCTATACAATGAGAGCAGCAATGCTCCTCCAGTATGTCCCAGGTCTTCAATGATGTCCAAGTACGATATACTGACATAGAGTTCACAGATGCATCAAGCGTGAACCCAATCTCTTAGCAAAGTCTGATGACGGGCCCGAGTGGCTAGGCATTTCAGGAGGTCTTATGAGCCTATCACCATTAGCAGCTGCCAAGGACTTTGATACTCTCTATGCCGGCTGTCTTGAGGCGGCTGGTCTCTTGTGTAGGGTCTGCAGATTTTGCTACATTCGGTCAAGAGCCACAGAAGATTGCTCTGGAACATGGGGTTGGGCCGTCCTAGGGATCTCGAACGAGGACCTTCGCTCTGCCCTGGAGCAATTCCAGACGAACCTGGTAAGTCTAAATGAATATTATAATCGAATTCTCATGAATCAATTCACTAACCGATTTGGAAGGGTATTCCATCTACGAAGAAGGCACAAGTTGGTGTCACTGGAGACCGCTGGGCTAGCATCATCGGTCCACCATCCATCCTGGAGCAGTTTCTAAAAGAGTGCCCAGCTGTCAGTGGCCTCCCAAGGAACAAGCTTAATATAAGATCCCTTCAACACGCTATCCCAATTACCTCAGCTGATCTCGACTACGTGGTTGGAGAGTCTGCCCTTGTCAAAAGTCAACTCGACTCGCAACACAGAGTCTGGGGTACCGACGATCCGTCAGCTACGTATGAGACCTTTGGCGATTTGCTACGAACCGCGGTTTCGCGATCTGTGTCTCAGTCTCTTGACATAGTAGAGGTCGTTGCCGAAATGAACAAGCATCTTGGATCTTGCCAGCAAGTCGACATTAAAGTCATCGGCACCAGCAGTCACACTTCCTACCTTGCAACAGCATTGAAACAGCAGGGAAGAACAATTAGTGTTCAGCATGAAATAGGCGCCAACCAGAGGAATCAGCGGCAAGATCAACAATCTGATCGTATAGCCATCGTTGGCATGGCTGGAAGAGGCCCTGGTAGTGATGACCTCGATGAGTTCTGGAATGTTCTCATGACTGGTCAAGATCTCCATCAAGAAATCCCTCAGGATCGATTTGACCTCGACGAGTTCTTCGCAGCAGAGCATAGCCACGATGGCGTCAAATGCACGACAGCGGCCAGATTCGGTTGCTTCATGAACAAGCCCGGAGAGTTCGATGCTCGGTTCTTCCGCATCTCTCCTAGAGAAGCCATGTTCATGGATCCCGGCCATCGACAATTCCTCATGAGTTCATATGAGGCTCTTGAGACAGCTGGCTATTCTGACGGCAAGACCAGGGATATTGACCCGAATAGAATTGGTGTCTTTTATGGACAAAGCAACGATGACTGGAATGCTATGGCACATCATCTGAAGGGATGTGATGCATATACCCTGCAGGGAGCACAGAGAGCATTCGGAGCTGGCCGTCTTGCCTTCCAGATGAACTGGGAGGGACCAACGTATTCCTTAGACTCGGCATGCGCGTCAACCTCATCTTCCATTCATCTAGCCTGCATGAGTTTACTATCAGGCGATATCGACATGGCTGTCTCTGGTGCTGCAAATATCGTCGGATATCCTCATTCCTGGACGAGTCTCAGCAAATCTGGTATCTTGTCCAACACTGGCAATTGCAAGCCGTTCCGCGAGGACGCTGATGGCTATTGTCGAGCTGACTTCGTCGGGAGCGTGGTGCTCAAGAGGCTTGACGACGCCATCGCCCACAATGACCATATTCTTGCTGTCATTGGGGGCTCAGGGAGAAACCATAGCGGGAATTCTCCGTCCATCACGACCTCGGATGCCGGCGCGCAAGAACGGCTTTACCACCAGGTCTTGAGGCGGTCCGGTGTCCTTCCAGACGAGATATCTTATGTCGAGATGCACGGGACTGGAACCCAGATTGGTGATCCCGCTGAGATAGGCGCGGTGTCCAACGTCTTTCAACGTCGTCGTGGCGACCCTCTGATAGTCGGATCTATCAAGGCCAATATCGGCCATAGCGAAGCCGTAAGACCACCCGAATGTCTCCAATTATGGATTACTTGAGACTAACGAGAAATCAAATAGGCTGCTGGAATGTCGTCCTTGCTCAAGTGTGTCCTGATGTTCCAAAATGATACAATCCCCCCACAAGCAGGCATGCCGCAGAAGCTGAACCCAAAGTTCCCTTCGCTTGAAGCCTCCAAGATGTCGATCCTCTCCGAGGCGAAGGACTTCAAGCCTGTGGGAAACAACACGAGGCGGGTGATGCTGAACAATTTCGATGCAGCGGGTGGTAACGCTTGTCTGCTTATCGAGGACTACAGACCTACGCGGTCCATTGACGAGGGCGTGCAAGTACCGTGGTCGAATCATGTCATTGTCACGTCCGCTAAGACGCAAGCATCGCTGCGTTCCAACCAACGCAGGCTTCTTCAATACCTTCAGGCGAATCCCACCGTCCGTATTCAAGACGTTGCTTACACAACTACCGCAAGGCGAACGCACCACTCACTCAGATCTACATACACCGCATCATCGACATTAGAACTCATTGACAAATTGAGGTCAGACATTGATGCCCAGAATGATGTCACAAAGATCAAGCCTTCCGCTCCCAAGCAGGTTGTCTTCGTTTTTACCGGTCAGGGCTCGCACTATGGCGGCATGGGCAGTGGGCTGTACAAGACAAGTCATGTCTTCCGAGAAGTGGTTGATCACTGCGTCAGAATATGCGCTGACTATGGCTTCCCATCGTTCTTGGACCTCATCACGGAGCGTGCCACTGACGTATCCACGAAGCTCTCTGCCCAGACCCAGCTTGCCGTCTTGACTTTGGAGATTGCCTTGGCTGCTCTGTGGCGTTCAGAAGCTGGCATTGTGCCGTCCGTTGTTATGGGCCACTCCCTCGGCGAATATACCGCTCTTCACGTTGCTGGCGTCCTCTCTTTGACCGATGTGCTGTATCTGGTCGGGAAACGCGCAGAGTTACTCAGTGAATTATGCGAGACTGGCGCTTGTGCAAGTAAGTAGTAGACTCGAACTCGGAGCAGTACGCCGAAAGGGTAACTACTAACTCAATGGCGCCTCTAGTGTTAGCAGTAGCTGCATCCTCTGAGGTCACGCAGGACTATATTGATGCCAGAAAAGACGGATTCTGTTCGATATCTTGCTCTAACAGTCCACGCACCACCGTTGTCGGTGGATTGCAGGATGATGTTGAGCAGCTTGCAGCGGACATGGCAGAATTCCGTCCAAAGTTGCTACCGGTACCATACGCCTTTCATTCCTTCCAAATGGATCCCATTCTGGACCAGTTCGTCACTCTTGCTCGAGGAGTAACGTACTCGCCGCCCAAGATCCCAGTTGCTTCCACTCTACTTGCGAAGATCGTTGATACCTCCGGAACCTTTGATGCAACCTACATGGGCCAGCAAACTCGTCAGAGAGTGCAGTTCAAAGACACTGTTGCGGCTGTCAAGGAACATTTAGGTGATGTGGTATGGGTCGAACATGGCCCAAGCCAAGTCTGCGGTTCCTTTGTACAGGCAACCTTGGGTTCTGCCATGTCTGCCAGCTCCATCATGTCGACGCTCGACAAGAGTGCTGACAATTGGACGTCTATCACAAAATGCCTTGCGAAGCTCTACGATCAAGGTTTAGGAATCGACTGGCTCCGACTATATCGCCCTTACTCAAGCAGCGTCCAGCTGTTGACGCTCCCGACGTACGCGTGGGACTTGCAAGATTTCTGGATCACCTACACCGAGAAGGGCGACGGGGTACGCGGAAGCCTCGCAGCTGATTCCCAGGTCAGCCCGAAGCAATTATCTACCTGTGCGCAGAGCATTGTTGCAGAGAGGTCGATGAGCAGTGAGTCCGAGGCTACCTTCAGGGCCCTCATTGCCGATCCAGGGATGGATGCCCTCATCGAAGGCCATCGGATCCGCGACATGGCAATTTGCCCCGGAAGCGTGTTCTGCGATGCTGCTTCTACTGTCGCCAAGCACGTATTCGAAGGCATGGGCATAACGCGAGATATGAAGCAGCCCGCGCTGACGATCTGCAATCTCTCACTCCAGCGTCCACTGCGCAAGAAGGCTAATGGCTCGACTGAAGAACTCATCACAACTGCGAACGTGAAGAAGCTCTCTAAAGATCTTGCTACAGTCACCTTCCACTCATCTGAACAGACTCTGGGCAGCTGTACGGTCTCCATCTGCGAGGCGGACTCCATCAAAGCTGGTTGGGAGAAGATATCATTCTTCATTCAGGCTAGGATGGACGACGTGATCAAAAGCGCCAAGGAGGGACGTGGCCACAGGATCCAGCCCGATATATTCTACGCGCTATTTTCAAACACAGTCAGGTACTCTCCGTCCTTCAGATGTGTCAAAGGCGCGTATGTCTCCGATGATTTCCAGGAGGCTGCTGCAGAGATCGTCCTGGGCTCTGATCCTATCGGAACCTGCTTCACCTCGTCACCATATCACGGCGAAAGCCTGGTGCACCTGGCGGGTTTTGTGCTTAACGCGAACCCAAGTCGACCGCGTGCCGCTGATACCACGTTCATGATGGACAATCTTGAGAGCGTTGAGCTACCAGATTCCGGAGCTCTGGTGCCAGGTAAATCATACCTTACTCTCGCCAGAGTCTCACGCAGAACCGAGGACTCTGCAACTTGCGATGTCTGGGTCTTTGACTCTGACTCGTCGGAGATGGTGATGCAATGTTCGGGTTTGCGGTTTCACGAGGTTAGTAACACCGTTCTGGACCGGCTTTTGGGAAAGACAAGAGTATCGGTTGCAGCACCTGGCGACTATCAACTTCCGACGAACACGAATGTAGCAGCAGTGAAGGCTCCACAACCTTCCGCCAAGAAGCATGCCTACAGTCGCTCAGACGCCTCAGAGATGACCAAAGTTGAAGAGGGCTTGGGCTCACAGAATGAGATCTTTGCTTCTATTCTGGAGAGCATCTCAAGAGAGACAGGCACAGACTCGGCGCAACTCACGGATGACACTGCTACAGCAGATGTTGGGGTTGATTCCATCATGGCCATCGAGATTACCGCTGCTGTCAAGAAGCAGACCGGCATCGATCTTCCGGTGTCAACTCTCATCGACTATCCGACGATCGGTGACCTACGCAAGGCGTTCGGCGATGCGGTTGGACCTACCGAGACTAGTCACTCATCGTCATCCTCACAGGCGTCCACCTCTCCGCCGTCCGTCAGCGAGGAGGAGATGTCGGATGAGAGTCTGTCTACCAGCTGCCCGACACCGGAGATCCCCTCTCACTGGGTATTGCTTGATCAGAAAGAAGTTGAAAAGCCAGTCGTTACTTCAATCTCGATATCGAAGAGTGAATCACTATTGCCAATAAAGTCAGATTCGCCTTCTTTGACGAAGAAGCAGCAAACAATTTCTCCAACGCCGAAGGCGCGAGTGATCCTGCTTCACGGCCATCCGAAACCAGACCAAACGCCACTGTACATGATCGCTGACGGAACTGGTACCATTGCTAGCTACATTCATCTACCACCCTTCAACACTAAGACGGCAATTTATGGTGTCGATTCACCTTTCATTCGCTGCCCAGAGCAGATGAACGCCGAGGTTGGCATTGAAGGAGCCGCGAAGTTGATTGTTGATGCCGTGATTGAGTCTCGACCTCAGGGCGCACTGTACATTGGCGGTTTCTCTGGTGGCGGCATGCTCGGGTATGAGGTCTGTCGTCAATTAGGCGACCTCGGTCGTCAAGTCGATGGCCTACTGATCATCGACATTTGCTCACCACGCACCAAGACCGAAACGAGTCTTGTCAAAGTCCAGCCTGAGGCAGGCTGGCAAATGTTCCAAAAGATGGCCGCACAGGACGCGTTCTGGAATTCGACGGCCGAATCTGCGCCAATGCAGCACCTGCTGGGGATTTTCAAAGCAGTGGCAACCTACCACCCGGAGCCTATGACTTCCCACCAACGCCCCAAAAAGACTAGCATTATTTGGGCAGAGAAGGGTATGGGCGGTCGCTGCGAGGGCAAGCCTGAACTGAAGCGCGAGATGGTGGGCATGGGATTTCCAGCAGAAGCCTATCCTGGGTTCATGGAGGATCCAGCTTTAGGGGCCCTTGCCTGGGGCTTCCCTGACAAGCGCGGCTCTGAGGGCGCCTTGGGTCCTAATGGTTGGGACAAATACGTGGGAGAGGTTGGACAATGCTTGTCTGTTGATGCAGACCATCTTGAGATGCCGATGCCGGGACATGTGCACCTCATGAGGGAGAAGATTGAAGAGGCTCTCGCCTACTTTCAGGAAATCAACTAGATAGTATTATCAGATTCGTAGACCTGTTTGTTCGATGCTTTTCAGCTTCTTCGTCATTCCCGCTATTCACACAAATCGCTCCTAGATTACCTAGTACATAGTGCAACGAATTGAGATTCTGTTTTTCGAGAGGTTTTTGCACAAACTGAACTAATCACACACAAACAAGATCAAGTATTTCCATAATTGGTCGAATACCAGAATCTGCGGCGTCCCTGATGCTGAAAGTAACATTTTCAAGCCATAACTTGGCTACAACTACATGTGCAGCCCTTCGAACCAAGGATGTTTCATCTCTCCGAACCGGACTGAACCAGGTAAAAGTGCCTAATCGCCCGCCTCCGCTGCTCCGACTTGACTCGAACAGTGAGGCACACACCACCAAGTTAACACAACTCCAGGTGAACACAGCGGTCCTCCTCGGCATACGTACTAAAGACGCAGTTTTCAACCCGTGAGCGGACTCGCAACCTACCTGATGCTGTTCCAGCACTCAAGCTTACCTTACAACACATTGTTCCCGCCCTCATAAGAATACTGTAGCTTACCTTACGCCAGCCGTCGCAACATCATCAGGAAACACTCTCTTCGATTCGGTCAACATGAAACACACTCTCTCGAATCCATCGGTGCAAGAACAAGACTTGGCAGGAAAGTTCGCTATCGTTACGTGAGTTCGAACCTGCAACTTAATAAACTGCGTGCTGCAGCAAAGATCCGAGGCCACTGAATTTTACCGTAGCTGATCTTATTTAGTGGCGCCTCGAGAGGTCTAGGGCGCGGCATAGCCTTCCACCTCGCTTCCCGGGGCTCAAACATATTAGCGACATGCTCCAGCGAGACCTCACTCAAGAATGTCGTCTCCTTGCAGGAGGAAATCAGGTTGCTCTATCAAGAGAAAAATCCCCAGAATCATGCGACTCCACGAATCTTCGGTGTGGTTGCACCTCTCACAGAGCCGAGCAAGTGTTGCGACAACATTGTGGCTGCAGTGAAGGAACATTTCAGCGGCACTGTCAATATCCTGGTACAGAATGCTGCCCTGCAAGAGACCATGCCAATTGAAGCCATTGATGACGGACATGTGCGCCGCATGCTGACAGGGAATATATCGACCGCCGTTCAACTTATCCAGGCTTTGTTACCGCACTTTGTCCCAGACAGCCGCATCGTTAATATTTCGTCTGAGGGAGCGCGCCAGAGTCAGCCAGCTCCGGTGACATTGCTCTACGGGGCCTGCAAGGCAGCGCTAGAGTCCATGACGAGGGTTTGGGCGGATGCTCTGGGGACGCGGCCTGGGATGGAGAGGACAACCGTTAATTCACTGATTGTCGGAGTCACGAAGACCGGTGATACAGCCAATGGATTGCCTGAAGGACTACCTGATATCGAGCCTGTCCGCCAACTCATAAAGTCTAAGATGGAAGCTTGTAGCGTGGACAGGAGGCTGGGTGAAGTAGATGATATTTCTGAAATTGCTGGCTGGCTCTGCTGTGAGAAGAGTCGATGGGTGTCCGGGAGCGCTGTGTGTGCCAACGGAGGAACCGTCAAAATACTGTGAAAGGTTAGATCTTTGCACTGAAGGAACAGCGAACGAATTGCAATTCTGCCATTAGGTTTCTGATAGTAAATCGTCTGGCTACTTTGTAAACATGACATCCGGGAAAGTCACTGCGGTCTGGTCTCCTTTTTTGAAACTTGGCTGCTCAACATCTCATCGACATCGAAGGTGAGCGTAGGACTTCGCAGTTATCGTAATTCAATGGCCTCTGCGAACAACCAATTCACTTAACCCCCCTCCCCCGGATTAGACCATATGGATGCAATTAAAACCAGAGCCCCAGATGGCTAGTCATTTCGCTCATTTTCTGTCCATCTTTTGTTCACCCCTACTTGCGAAGCAAGAGGCCTTACAGAATTCAAGTGGTCCCTGTCAGCCTGACATTGAGGCATCTCTCTGGCAAGGGCTGCAGTCTAGACTTGGGTTTGCACAGGGCCGTACTTGTGGCCTATGGCTAGAAGCCAAGTGCCATTCTGTTAGCAGCAATTCAATTGGATGATTTCAATGCAATCACTGCTCAAATCATATGAAACAATCCATTCGCGCCGGAGTCTACGCCGGAGCTGTCTCCGAGACGTCCGATGCTCTCCGAGCCGCTTACAACCACCCGTGCCGAAATTTCCAAATGACTCGGTCGCAGAATTTACCCTAGCAACAGGCATGGGCCAAGATGTAGTGCATCGCTGGGGGTGAGCAGAAACAGTACTGGGACCTCAAGCATTGACCTTCACTGCAATGAGGATTGTCGTCAGTAGTGCCTCGATGGCACGAAGTCAACTTTGATTCCCATGTTCTACAATCTACCTAGCCACACAACTATCCTCGTCTTAGAGGAATCGATTTTTCGAATTGTTTTGAAGTCTACGCAAGATCAATTGTTCTCAGCCCTATTTTGTGAAGGTTTGCGATTTTAGGCAAGAACCAAGCCGCTGCCAAAACGATGGATAAGATGACGCCGGAAATGAACATCAACACGCTTCATGCTGTATCATGGGAAAGAATAAGCCAGTTTACCATGGAACATCTCAAAAACGCATCAATCAGCTCATGGCTTTCAGTCATCGCTTTATTGGTTAGTCAACAAGGACTACGATCTCTCCAATCACGGCTTGGACTTCGCTAAGAATAACCCAGTTCACAGCATATTGGCTCCTATTGATAGGATACCGCGTAACCTTACATCCATATGCAAAGTATCCTGGCCCTAAAATTGCTGCGATGTCTGAATTGTGGTTTGCGTATTACTGGTAACAAACTTCAGTCCATAGATTAATTCCGGTATCTGACAATGCGTAGGCTGCGGGGTCGCTGGCCATGGGCAGTTGAGAAGGGGTTTGAAGATTACGGCGATGTCGTACGAATCGCACCCAATGAGATCGCCATATTTGGGTACAAGCCGATAGTTGGTAAGTTTTTATTCTGTGAATATTCTCGCATTTATCAGAGGCTCACAGGATATCCTTCATCGTAGACGTCTTGTTGCCTGGAAAGACGGATGACGCGCTGGCCTTCTTGAAGACAGAAGAGCTTGGAGCTCTCGCAGGAAAGCACAAGGGTTTTGCTGCTGATACAGATCCAAAAATCCATCGTCATGTCAGAAAGGCCATGGAACCAAGCTTCAACATGAATGCGATCAAGCGATGGCAAGAGCCGGTTTTGCACAAGCATTACGACCGATTCATTCGAAAGGTCGATGAGGCTTGCCGAAGCGGTCCCATCAACTTGACGGAGGTAAGTGGCAATACATCAGTGCAGGGGGCTGCATTCGAGGTTGGGTTCAAACTCAGGCTAACCTTCCAGTGGAATGAGTGGCTAAGCATGGATCTTGCCGGTGACCTGACATTTGGACATGACTACGGCAACATAGCAAAGGGTAAGTTATGGAAATCAAAGATGAAAGGCACTTCCTAATCAGTAACAATCGAACTATGATAGGGAAAGCCGGAGAGTTCCTTGAGACATTTTCAAAGTTGAGCTTCTGGGGCACCGTGAACCAGGTCTCTGCACGCTTCCCCCTTCTTTACCCGTTCGTGCTGCTTGCCTTGAGTCCTAGCTTGGCGACAGTAGCGCCGAAACTCCAGCGCATCAACAGTAAGTATATTAATGATCGGATCCGCCTCAGAGATTCCCTCGAACACGAAGACTTCATGTCGTCTCTTATTAAAGAGGGCGGAGAACCGCCCGAAGTCGACTTTCTTGTTGCACAGAGCATGAACGTGGTCATAGGCAACGCTGAAGCCACTTCGAACATGTTCACGGTGTCAGTACATTTTCTCGGCATACATCAAGACAAACTCGAAAAGCTGAAGATGGATATTCGGGATCGATTCACTTCCTATGAAGAGATCAAATCCGACAATGTGCAGAATATTACATGGCTCAATGCTGTCATTAATGAGGGTCTTCGACTAGCCACTCAGGGCACTTCCGGTCTACCTCGCATCAGCCCTGGAGGTTTCGTTGATGGTCACTACATTCCGAAAGGGGTAAGCTTAAGACCTTGGTAGCTAGTTAAGTTGATCGATTTCCGCTAACCCTCATCTGCCTTCAGTACCGCGTTCAAACTAGCTTCTGGGCAGTCTTCCACTCGGAGCGTTACTTTGCGAAACCACGAGAATTTCACCCGGAGAGATGGCTTCCGAAAGATCATCCAGATTATAAGAGGGAATTTGAGGATGACAAGCTTTCTGTATTTCAGCCGTTCAGCATTGGTACCCGGGGCTGCATTGGTCGCAAAACGGGGCTGTTGCAGGCACAGCTGATGATCTCCAAGATGGTGTGGGCCTTGGATTGGGAGCACATAAATCAAGACGAGATGGACTGGGAACGTGATCTGAGAAGATACGCTATGAACCAGCTGCCCAAGGTCGTTGTTCGTTTCCAGAAGAGGTCTACATAGGTACAAACTTAAGGGGCGGGGTGTATTTTCACAAGAGAGTGACAAATCTTGTTATTGTAATCATCGTAGATATGCATTCATACATAGGTACTTATACATGACTTCTAAAGTCTAGATTGAGATTCCGCTGGGGCTTAAAAGGTTCATTTAGGTCCGTTAAGCAAATCGTACGGACAACCGCCTCACATCATAGCTGCGTGAAGAGAAGTTGAGCCAAAGCTCCTTGAAGATTGAAAACGTAGTAATTTAAGATAACTTCAACCCAATTTCGCGGTAAGATGTGTCGTCGTTTAGCTCGCAACTATCTCAAACATCCTCTAGTTAGCTCTGCCATGTTGCCATCTCTCAACCTAGCTTCAGGCGGAGGCACGGTCAAACATATTCTCCAGTCTTCTATATCTACGTGCTTCCCTCCAATGCGTCTTATCATTCTTTGTAATAATACTGCTTTGATCTTTTACTCAGCAAGTTCTCGGAGGAAGCGGTGTTTGGCGTAGAGACTGGTTATCCATCTTCTATTCAACTTTCCCAAGATGTCTGTTTGGGATTGAATATTAGAATCTTCATGAAATCCGGGGAAAGCCTGTTGCTAAATACTCACACATAGGAATGCAGGTGGTGAAAAGCCCGAGGGAGACAGTTCCTAGGACCATAAAGACAGTCCCAGGCCCAGCTTCAGTAGTCCACGTATTGATGAATGTTGAAAAAGAATAGAATAAGAAGTTCTTAAGCATCATCTGTAGAATGAAAATCTCGCTGGATCGTTGTGGGAATGTGTCCCTAATACCCCGCCGTTAGCTTGATATTCCGGCAATCTTCCAAGATAGAGATGAGGCTCACAAGATATAAAGCCCAGCAGAAGTCGAGGGGACCGAAATACTAAAAGCCATACAGCCTAAGCAAAAAGCCCCTAGGAAGTACCCGTTCGTAGAGGGGTGATCAACCACCCACATAAGCAGGAACCAACCGAGCCCACTCAGGGCGGCACCCAGTGTATTGACAGGGATCCGGAATTCTGCCTCATAGACGCCGCCATTCCATTTCGACATGGTCATCGCAGACCAGTCACATAGTGAGCCAACAGGAATGGCAAACAAACCGCCAATCAGTGCGCCAGCCCAGAAAAAGCCATTTTGCTCGATGTTGAGGTTGTAAGGTGGCATCGACCAGATCTGAGATAGAATGTAGCTGGATGCTACAAAGCATGCATTCAGAACCGCACTGATGGTCAGAATCCAAAGCACAGCCGGGTTGATGAAGTTGACGAAGAGTTCGGCTAGCAAGCGAATGATGTTCTTATCTGTGTACGTCTGACGAGACCATGGTGCTAGCATCTGCGCCAAAGTCTTCTTTGGAACGGTGACGACACCAGTCTCGGCAATCGTGTTCTTGGCTGCTGTGACGTCGATGTCGAGATGCCCTTTGACGGCCGTAGTCTCCGCGTCGCTGTTAGATTGAGAACTTGGAGCCATGTCTTGTCGGGCAACAGCTGTCGTTTGAACTGCATTTCAGGCAGCAAAGCAACCGTCATGATGAGCCCCGCGAGGTTGAATGGCAGTTCAGCGATGAACAGGACCTCGTAACCAAGACGCTCTGCGATGACTCCGCTAATAATTGATGTCATTGAAACAGTGCAAGCTGAAGAGGCGACCACCATTGCAATCCTCCAGCCGCGTTCATGAAGATAGAATAAATCCCCAATCGCCGCAAGTGCTAGACTCTCCCAAGCGGTAGCACCCAGTCCTTGAATCATACGACCAGCGAATATTGTGTTGTACTGGGACCTCTGGGACCCTGCTATACAGACTGCGGTGCCGAGTGTTCCAGCTATGGCGGCGAAGAGAAACTGCGGGCGTTTTCCATACTTTTGTGCAAGGATTGATACCAAGGGCCTGTGGCAGAGCCCACATCATATTAGAAACAAGACTCAGGCAAAGAGAAGGCTTGAAGTAGAAACGAGGGGCTACGAACCCTACAGCCGCAACAACGAGGAGGTGGTAACCAGACAACTCAGCAACCTTTGTGATGCTAACGCCGAGGATGGGGGCAAGGGCAAATGTGGCCGGGCTAAGCATGGGACCAGGAAGCGAAGCGAAGATGATGGTGTTGAAAAAGATAACCCAAAAAGCCGCTTCCTTCCGCCAGTTGGTCCAGAGCTTCCCGCGTCATGTGCATCAGAGAAATCTTATTATTTACGTTGAAGGTTTGACTTACCAATGGGTCATTTGGATCGTTCAAGGATGGTTGAGGGACCAAGACCGTGTCAACTCCCTTCCCGGATGTCAGTATGATGTTTGGGGTGATCATGGAGGTTACTCGTGGTATTACCATGTAGATCGTTCTTTTAAGAATACTACTCTGGCTTTGGGCGTCGTGGTCTGGATCACTGGTACTAGATGTCCTGACAAGATGCACGGTCCCCGCAAGAACTGCATCCTCTCCAAGTTTCGCGTCAATAACACCAAGAGGCATGTTTGGATATGTGTTGTTGATTTGTTGGTTCTCAGCTGAGCTCAACGGCATCAGAAGCTTCATCAATTGATGGCGCCTGTTATGTTTTTATGACGAGCGATATCTCGAAATATGGATATCTCAAAGTTTCATCGTACAGAACAGCTTCTTACGGCGTCACGATTATGTCTCAAAGACTTCTGCATTTCACACTCGGAGATGAGCTTTTGTCACTGAGCGGTCTCCTCTTAGATCTGAGGACCGCCGATTGTATGAAGATCGAATAACAGCCATTTTGAGTACAGGGCCTGCACAAGCCCATCAAGCCGATTGTGACATGTTTTACAAGGCTCGCACACGCCAGCTTCAAGCTATAGAACCTCAATCGTGCGGTGAAATTTCTTGAAAATGAATATTTGATGTTGATAAGATGCGGGATGGAGGTCGTCCTAGCTTCTTAAATGTAACCTCGCGCTTCCGCGGGCGTCCGCCGGCGCTTGTGCCAAGGGAAATGTCTCCGACTGAGCTTCGGAGGCTACCCCACCGGCCCGGACCTTTGTCGTGGGTCTCAGATTAACTCTCCGAGCCAAGTCCCAGTACCGGTTTCCACACCTGTCGTACCATACGATATCTCAATATGCTACATTCAGAGATCGGCGTTGTGCCGCAGAGCTAAACAAACCGTGTGATTTGTTCGTCTCGGGATAGTCAGATAGCAAAGCAATCCGTGCATGTCGCTGCGAAAGTTGTGGCAGGTACTGGATTTGGATCACTTGTGATGCTCGCCATGTACATTGGCATGGGGTGTTGGATCATACTGATCTCCAGTCCGTAGATCTTAATCCTTGCTCAAGCCTTGAAAACTGAGAACGAATTTTACGCTCGCCTGGTGCTAGAGTAAAATTTGAATCAACCTACCATTGAATATCCTCCACGAACAGAGTCCAAACCTGCAAGATGGACGCCGCAAAAAGTCAATCTACGAAGGTGGATTCTTGGTTCTTCCAAAACCTGGATGATAACACAGAGCCTTACTTGAGGCGTATTTCGACCGGAAATAACACACTCTCGGATCGTTTGCAGTTCAACATTGACGATGGACAAAGGCTTACGGACCCTATCAAGCCTGATGAAGATGAAGGAAAATACCCTGAGGGCATTACGCTAGTGCTAATCATACTTGCACTAGCACTAGGTCTTTTTGAGGTAAAATCCCAACAACAATAATCGTAACTGCGAAAGATCCTTCAATCATGGCAAAACTTCTCCGGCTAACAGGTTTACTCAATGAACTAGTTCGCTCTCGATGCCACCATCGTTGCCACCGCTATCCCCGTCATTACCACCGAATTCAAAGCCCTCGCAGATGCCGGCTGGTATGGCTCTGCATATCTGATGACGATTGCGAGTTTTCAAGTGCCATGGGGCAAGCTGTATAAGTTCTTCATTCCAAAGTGGATCTTCCTGGCAGCGCTCATCATCTTCGCCGTTGGAAGTGTCCTCTGTGCCATTGCCCCCAACAGTGCCTTCCTCATTGCCGGGCGTGCGGTTCAGGGCATTGGGGCTGCTGGTTTAACTGGCGGCGTCTATGTAATCCTGGCGCTCGTCACGCCTCGGAGCAAAACGCCGATCTATCTAGGCGCATTCGGTGCCATTTTTACTGGTGCGAGTTCACTTGGGCCTATTATCGGCGGCTTCCTCACAGAAAAGTTCTCATGGAGGTGGTGGTGAGTCCAATCAGCGTCTAAGATGCACAAAAGAGAGGAGCGCTGACAATTTGCACGTCGAAGCTTTTGGATCAACATACCCTTTTCTGTTCTTGCCGGGGTTATTGTTCTGTTCTTCTTCAAGATTCCAAGTACTGTCAAAACCGTCAGGGCACCATGGAAGAGCATTGTGCGTCAGATGGATCTGATGGGTGTGGTTCTTATCACCGGCATCATCGCTCTATTTGTCACTGCAATGGAGTCCGGAGGCATCAAACACGAGTGGGACTCTGGCTTCGTCGTCGGTACGCTAATGGGATCGATCACTATCGCCATGCTCTTCGGGTTTGAGCAGTACTTCATGAAAGAGGACGCCCTTTTGCAAGCAAGGTTCTTGGCCAACATGAAGATCGGCTTCCTCTGCGTATTCGCATTCATGTAAGTGGACCACCAGCTCTATATGTACTCGGGACTTTCTTTTGACATCTTCGTAGGCTCAGCTCGGTTGCGTACTCAATCCAGTATAATCTGCCAGTCTACTTCCAGGCAACCAAAGGATTTACTCCCGCACAGAGTGGTGTCAACGTTCTTCCCCTGTTGATTGGTGGAGGTGAGTCATATTGCCTATGATCCATTCTTCTTATACGACGTCTAACATGTAGATCGTAGCATTCCTCACACTATTGTCCAGCGTGGCGTACTCTAAATATCGGAATGACCGGCTATATTGTGTTCTCTCTGGTGCTCTTACAGTTCTAGGCTCTACGCTGATCCTCACTCTTGACCCGGACTCTACACCAGTTCAGTACCTACTATACCAGCTCATAGTGGCCTTTGGCTATGGCTTAGGAACCCAAATTCCAGTCTTAGCTGTCCAGGCTACAGTCGATGTGCAAGACGTGCCCCAGGCCACAAGTATCGTCCTCCGTAAGTCTTCTCTGAGGCCGACATTCAAATCGCTATGGGTATCAAAAAGCATTGTACTAATGGCCTCGAAAACTCACAGTATTCCAACTTCTCAGTGGTGCACTTGCGGTATCAGCAACTCAGAACCTCTTCAACAACATCATGTTGCAGAATGCTCTGCGAAACGTCCCCAGTCTCACCGCTGCCCAGATCTTGGCCGCGGGATCTACGGATTTGAAGAAACTCTTCTCCGCGGACATTGCTCCTCGAATAATTGCAGCGTACACGGAAGGTCTTCGAGCATCATGGGCTATGGGGATTGGATTCGCTGGCGGTGCTTTGATTTCTGGGGTGTTTGTTGGAGCTTGACTTGGCTTACATGTTTGCACACCAAACACTCATTTAGGAGGGGAGTTTTGTTTCTAAGGCTCTTGCTCTAGAATCGAATCTCGGAGTAGATTCACTTGGCAGAGTATAGACCCTTGATGGAGTCTCCAATTCAATTAGACAGGGTACACTTATTCCTGGGATATTGTCTATGAACATATTGCTTCTTCAAAGTTCAAGCAGACATATCATGTCATTCTCTGAAGAGCGCAAGTTAATTGGTTGTACAAGTTCATGCGAGATGACAAGAGGCGACGCCGTGGATTGGTATTCTACCCAACCCAACCTGACAGCATGATATAGGTAACAACAAATAGATGCTCAAGATGAACTCTTTCTTCTTGTGCACCTTACTTCATCCGTTAAGATATAAGTTAACTTCGAAGTTGTGTCTGGTCTCAATTTCTTCTGAAATGCTTTCTAATAACAGCGAGGATCGCTGGCTTCGAAAAGAAGCATACACCCAACTACCTCATATCGTACCTCATTGAACATCTTCTGGAGAGGCACCAAGATACCCACAGCATCGTCCTCATGATTATCAAAGACCCCCAAATAGTTGTTCAACCACAACACAAGCCGCGCCAGCGGATTACGGTTCACGCCCTTACCCAGAATAGTAGCCCCGAACACGACCCCTCCAGGCCTCAACAAGCGACCCATGCGTCCCAAAGCCTCCGCCTTGCGTGCCGGTGGGCCAGGCAGGCAATGCAGCAAGAACATGAGAGATATAGCATCGAAGCCGCCTTCCGGCAAACTATTTCCCTTCGCAAACAAACTCTTCGGCTCGTCACCTTGAGCCAGGAAGTCACCGACGACCTTCGTAGCGTTGGTGCCGACCTCCGGATGTGCCCTTTCAATGACGGGTAGAGTAACGTCCAGGCACGTCTCGTTGAGGTCGACAAGAACATACTCGGTCCATTTGGGCAAAGGAGCTCTTGCGGGGAAGTATCCTGTGCCAACACCAATGTCGAGGATCCGAGTGGGTGGGGGACCGCCCGGATTGGACTTATACGGCTCTGCGGCGCGAGCTATATTGCGGTTGAAGAAAGAGATGAGTTTCTCGGCCGAGCAATTCCAACCGTAAGGTGAAACGACACCAAAGACGAGAGTGTCGTAGGTTTTCAGGTTGCTTGGATTGTATGCATCTGCACCTTTTGCTGTGTCCAGCTTTTTTGTTTGAGTCTGAGTTGTGGTTTGTGACATTTTTTCTAATGCTTGGAAACTAGCAATTCGTGGACCGTCTATGAAATGAAGGTCTTGCGGCAGGGAGTAGAGCATATTGGTTTCTCAAAATTGATGAGAGTGGAATCTTTCAGATGACGGGTCCTGAGATACTAATCTCGAGTTCGAGCATTTGTATCAGTGCTGAACCCATCTGTGACCACGCCGACTTATTCCACTTGAAGGTGGTCTGTTCCTAGGCTTGACTCCTTGCCTCCTTGGATTTTGGTCAGACTTCCAATGGAGATATTGGTAGGGTGTACCTCAAGGCTGTTTCAAAATTGTTCGACGACTCCGAGGCATACTCGAAACAATCGGCAAGCAACCGCAGAGATGAATATTCGGACAGCAAACGGGACGAGTCGGAATGAGCTTGCGACCGCTGGAGACTGGAGACAAGTCCGAACTGCCTCTGAGGCCCATGCTCCCACCATGGTCTCCGAAAGCTCCGGGCATTTTTTGCAAGGTCGAACCTAGGAGCGTAGGTCAAATGAATCCAGAACCAGAGTTCACCTTCAGTTTCCGAGCGCTCTTGTGTTTTCTGGCGATTGATGATTTAGTAGGGTCTGCGATTGTCAAGGCTAATTTCTTCGTTCAAGGATGCGCACCAAGAATTTGCCTCCGATTGTTCTTCGTGAAGTGCACACGTCTCTTTGTGTCTGTCAAGAATCCTCTCAGAACAACCATCCTCAAGAAACGAACTATGGCGGCCATCGAATCCATCTTCCAAGAGTATGCAGAGCGCCTCAACCGCCGACTTCCCAGCGAGAACATGGCGAAGTTCTCGTCTCCTGGACACTCATCCTCTCAGCTTTTGAGTTTGCCAACCGGCTTCGAGCACCTAGAAGTGTCAAGTGACGTGAACATCACCATCCTTCACCAAATTGGCGACGCTTTTACAGGCGATTTAGCTGCAATCCTCCTCGTGCGGATTTCGCCCAAGAGCGTCTTTCCTGCTTCAACCGCCACTACGGTAATCGAGTTCCGGCGACACGTTTTCTGCCAAATTCAGGGCACCACTATCTCCAACATCATGATTATAGACGATGTCGATGCGTTACGCAACAGCGAATCACAGGCGGTCCGACCCCCAAGCTGGAGCGCTAAAGCTCCCCCTTCAGGGTTCTGTCTCGCTGATGCGTACCGCGCATACTTCAACTGCGTCTCCACCAGGACCATGGAAGAGAACCTGTCGAACTTCACCCATGACCACATTACGTTCAATGGGCATTATGTGACCCGTGAACAGTACAGAGGAGCCATGGAAGAGTGTCACGATGTCATGACGGATTGCAAGAACACGCTCGAGAAGCTTATTGTTGATGAGGGAAAACAGCAACTCGCAGCTAGAGTGGTATTTGAGTGGACACCAGTTAAGGCTTGGAATGGAATAGAACCAACGGGCAAAAGAGTCAAGTTTACAGAGCATGTATTTGTATGGTTCGACGAGGGTAAAATGCACACAAGTGTCACATTGTTGGATATGGAAGCTTTCAAACAGCAGATGAGAGTCTAGTTTACAAACTTTAGGAGTGACTAAGTATTCGATAAATGCTTAGTTGAAGTTCAAACCTTTGATTTTGAACATGATCTGAAGAGCTGTCACTTGACATTCGCTGTGGAACTTGAATCAGTTGGTCTAAGCACCGGAGGGCGTTTCGGAAGCAGCACTTGGCCTTTGCTGCTAAACCGGACAGTCTCGGAGCATCTCAGCGTCCAACGCTGGCCATTGGAAGAGCTATGGAAGTAGGTAGTGGAGTAACAGCAGCAGTTCCCCATCCATTGAGGTGCACAGAAGGTTGACTGATCGCTGTCGCACTTAACGAAACCCATATCTGAGCACAAGACACGGCGGTCATTACTACCACCGGTTTGGTCTTCATCCACATTAACAGTCACTAAACCACTAGCAACATGGAGCATGGCCTTGCAAATGTCAAGATCTCAGAGCAAGACCTCGTCGGCAAAGTGGCAATCGTGACGTAGGTTTCTTCATTTTCTTTTGTCGTTCAACCGCCAGACTATTCTCATTCTGTGGCTTCTGCTAATATGCGGCTTGTTTCCCAGGGGTGCTTCGCGCGGCATTGGACGAGCCATCGCCATTCACCTCGCAAGCCGTGGTGCGAATATCATCGGAACATGCTCTGCGCCATCGTCTGTGTGCAAAATCGAAGATCTGAAAGCCGAGATAGATTCACTATACAGAAATGCTAATAAGCTTTCTGTACCTCAGATTAAAGGCGTGGTTGCGCCTTTACTAGAGCCTCGAGAGTACTGCACTGCCATTGTCAACGCCGTCAAAGAGTATGGGAGCTTGAACATACTCGTGCAAAACGCGGCGGTCGTGGAGGTTGCGTCAGTGGGCATGATCACTCAGGACCACATTGATCGCTTGCTTACGGCCAATATTGAAGCACCTGTGTTTCTCGTGCAAGCACTTCTCCCGTACTTCCAGACGGAAAGTCGAATCATCAACATCTCTTCTGAAGGAGGCCGAGATCCTTCTCCAGTTGCTCGTACGTAGCTTTGCTCATTTCTGCTCCTGCTTCCTAGCCTACTTGCATCTAGTGTTTTGGTTCTGATCAATCGAGGCTACAGTGGTTTACAGCGGTTGCAAGAGCGCTATCGAATCGATGACTCGCGTGTGGGCTGACGCTTTGGGGACGAGGCCTGGGATGGAGCGGACAACAGTGAACTCAGTTGCTGTTGGCAGTAAGTTTTTTGCAGCCTCCTTGAACCGAAAATTGCAAAGAGCCTTGTCGAAACCTGACCATTTTCCATCAGTTACGCAAACCGAATTGGCATCACAAATGCCGGACACCCCGGAGATCCGCCAGTTCCTTAAGACAAAGAAAACCGCATGCAGTGTGGAAAAAAGGTTGGGGAGGGTCGATGACATAGCTGAAATCGTAGGCTTTCTGTCATCTGAGAAGAGTCGATGGGTCAGTGGCAGCGTGATCTGCGCAAATGGTGGCACTGTCAAGATACTCTAGGTCAAGAAACTCAGGCCAAGGTGTCTGTCCTTGCCAGGGCTTCGTTGTTCAGCGCCAGAAATTCACGACGAAGAATATTCCAGATAGGCTTTTACGAATTGATTAAGTACTATGGTCATCGAATCAAACTAGAGTTGAACACATGCATATACGCCGCTTCGTGTCGATATGGGCATCTCCTTACTCACCTATACCTTGTGATACTTGCGCAACATAGCTGGGCTAAGCAGAGATGAGCAAAAACCTGACAGAGCTGACGAGCTTGGGTGATCCAGTTGCCAGGAGGGGAAGAATCATTGCTTGAACACAATTTTCCAGATGTTACATGAAAGTCTATGAAAACAACATTCAGCCCGAGTATAAACTAAACGCCAATCCAAAAAAAAAAAAAAGTTTGAGATCCCCGTGTCATCCTTTGAACGCCGGCCCCAGTCCCGTGCCCATACGAAATCATCACTCAAACGCCACCAACTTACTCTTGTCGGCTATCCTAGCTGCAAATACTTCCATAGGAACGGCAGCCAAGACCTCCAAAAGAGCCACAGTTGCCTTCATCTCCTTAGTGATCCAGTTTCTGACCTCGAGCGCAACCAGAGAATCAACACCATAGCGGTACATAGGCCGGCCCGGATCAACTTCCGATACGGGCATCTGCAAGATATCGGCCACCTTCTTTACCAGAGCCTCTGTGATAATATTCAACGCTTGCTGCTTGCTACTTGCCTCAGATAAGCGTGAAGAAAGAGAAACGGTATCCAACTTTCCAGCACCCGAAGCACTTGTCGCTGAGCTCGTCACGGCGAGAGGTCCGAAACGTGGGATGCTGAAGTATCCTGGCTGATCGAGACCGTGTGCTGCCATGATGTCTGCGGTGCCCAAGCCCGTTGTCACTTGAGCTGGCGGCCATGAAGCCGGGTTTTCGCTCTTCTGCCGATTGATGAGGCCCTTGAAGATGGCATGGAACGCTGGCTCTCGAATGCCCAGGGTCTCTTCCCACAGCAAGAACTTGCCCGTCGCACCTTGCTCTGCCAGCACACCAACGTCACGCATGATACCCAGGTTGACCGACACGGCCTTAAGCCCCTGTGACCGGCGGTAATGCGCCAAAGGGTCTTGGTATGTGTTGCCGGCGGAGTACTGTGCCTGACTAGGGTAGCCGTACATACCCGAAATGGACGAGCAGATGATGAAGAACTCTAGGGGGCGTTCATGGTTGAAGTACTCGTGGAGGTTCCATGTACCTTGCACCTTGGGTCTCAACCCGGTCTTCCACCAGTCGTAAGACATCTTCTCGAAAACGATGTCGCGAAGAGCCATAGCCATTTGGACGACACCTCTGACGGGCGGAAGTTCTCGTTCGCATTGACTCAAAGCGGCCCGGAACGAGACAGGGTCCGACACATCACCGCGGTAGGCCTTAACGTTGGCGCCCATGTCGGATAGCTCTTTGATCAGAGCCTTGGCATCTGGGGAGCCGTCTCCAGATCTTGAGAGGAAGGCAAGGTTACGTGCGCCACAGGCGATGAATTGCCGCGCCAGACTGCGGCCGAGACCACCGAGGCCACCAACAAGAAGGTACGTGACATCAGCGTTGAGCTTGAGGGAGTTCTTAGCCTTACGCAAGATTGGCGCCTCTGCGTTATCAGTGAATGACATAACCATCTTGCCGCGGTGCTTTCCTTGCTGGATGGTGCGGAAGGCGTCTCCCACTTGACCCATGGAATGCACCGTCAGGGGGCTCGGGGCACGAAGCGTACCCTTATGGACCAACTTGAAGGCTTCGTCGAGAATCTGTCCTAGCGCAGCGGGATCCTCCTCGTAAAGCGTGAACTGATTGAAGAATGTGAACGTCGTGCTCTTCCCGAATGGCCTCATGTCAAGCCGAGTATTGTCGAGAATGTCGCGGAGACCAATCTCGACAAAGGTGCCAAAGGTTGCTAGACACTCCCACGATGTCCGAAGAAGCTCTCCTGAGAGTGAGTTGAGAACGCAGTCAACACCGCGACCACTCGTGATGCGCATCACGCTCTTTGCGAAGCTGGCATCGCGAGAATTGAAGATGTGCTTCTCAGGAATGCCATACGTGTTGACCAATAGCTTCCGCTTGTCTTCGGAACCAACGGTGACGTAGACGACCAGACCTAGGTGAAGAGCAATCTGGACAGCCGCTTGGCCCACACCACCAGCGGCAGCGTGGATCAAAACCGACTTGCCCTTGGTAAGCTTTGCGAGGTTGACAAGGGCATGGTACGCAGTGGTATGAACGACAGGCAGTGCAGCGGCCTCCTCGAAGGACATGGTGTCGGGAATATGAGCAACAATGCGATGGTCAACCCGGATCTTGGTGGCGTGTGTGCCGACACCCAAGAAGCTCACGCGGTCACCAGGTTTGAAGCGGCTTGCTTCACTGCCAGTCTTGACAACGACGCCGCTGCCTTCCTGTCCCAAGACAGACATGGGAATGAGTCCCATAGTGGCCATGATGTCTCGGAAGTTGATGCCCGTGGCTTTCACCTTGATTTCCACCTCGTGGTCTGCAAGAGGGGCATTCAGCCGGTTATCCTCAATAAACTGCAGTGTGTCCAACAGACCGGGTCTCTCAATCGAAAGCCTCAGGTCCTCGTCGGCGCGAACAGATGTAACCCGGGTCGAATCATGCAAGTGATGCTTGATGGAGTCATTCTCCGTTAAGCTCCTGTAGATACGGGTCACCTGCAAGACACCATCGCGTTCATGGAACTCATCATCTTTTGTGGTTTCCGAAGACAAGATGCGAGATGCCAGTGCCGGGCCGTGTTGCAGGCCCGTCTCTTGACTCAGATGCAGAACCTGGAACCGAGTGCCTGCAATCTCGCTCTCAACACAGCGTGACAAACCATCAATCACGCCGAATGATGGGTTGTCTCCACAGGTGATCCAGAGAAGGCGCTGGTATGCTAGAGATAGAGCCTTCACATTTTCGTACTCCTTCTCCGACAGGTCGTCGAGTAGCGGCTTTTCAAGTTCCAACAGAGAAATGAGAACTTCGCTCTCTGCAACATCAGACTTCGGCTCGTCGGTCAAGGTCCTCGTTGACACCGTGTAGTTTTGAGTGATAAGAGATTCTTGCAGAGCCTTGGAGAATTGCCGAGACTCTTTGGACATAGTCGTCGGCTCCATGATTACTGCCTGCCGAGCGGGCGTGCCGTTGGTCGCGGGCTTCGCATCTGCGTTCCTAGCACCCCAGTACAGCGCAAGACGCTCATCTCCCTCAACTCCAAAGACAAAGTCATAGCCTCTAGCTTCTAGTCCTCCAGGAGTGGGCTGCTGTTTGGCAGCAATGAGGACCGTTGCCTCTGGCTTGGTGAGGTTGAGAACCCGTTCAAGGAACTGGTCGCGCTTGTCAACCTTTTCCACGTCGCTGGAGATGATCAAGAGATCGGCCTTCGGAATGTTCTCCGGCAAAGGGCTATCTACTGCGCCGAGTTCAAACGCCTCGCCGACGAAGGCTGTCTTGTCGGTCGACGGGTTCTTGGCGGCATTGATGACCGCGTAGCGAACTTGACTCGGGCGTACGATGTCCCCAGGTAGGCTAGCGATAACTGAGTTGCGTGCGGCATCGTGGTCCGGCACGAGCTGTAGGAGCGTAGCCGCCGGGTTCAAGTGAAGTGCCATCCGAATGATCTGCATCGTCAATGTTAGCATCCCAAATAAAGTCTCTGGCATGGATTACAAGCGTACCTCAGCCATTCTATCCTTGGGTTTGATAGCAGAGACCACTCGGCTGATTTCCTGTGGCTCCATAACATCCAAGGCATAGTTCCAGCGAACTTCTGATGTGATGTCGGTCGGATCAACCTCATTATCTTCGCGACCTCCGCCATCATCCATGTTCAGCTCAGCGACTCGGAAGTCCTTCACCACGAGGTAAGGCTTGGAAACATCCTTGTCGAACATGAACATGTCCGCAGACAAGTCCGTAAAGCCATATCGCTCCGAGAGGCAAAGTCCAGGCATGACGTAGCCCACGTCGCCGGGAATATCAGCGGAAATTTCGAGCTCGGTAAAGTGAACAGGCACGAAGGGTCTCGTGAAGTCGAAGCCTCCGTCCTTGTCACCTATCCACGTGCTGCTCAGCCAGCTCTGGAAGACTGCATCCAAGGTACCAGCGTGAATGAGAAACGGTCGCTCAATTTGCCCCTTACTGTAGGTCTCGCCGATATCAGTCACTCTGATATTGAATGTGCTCTGACCGTCGCCGACATGGCATCCCTCAATGCCCTGGAAAGCTTCTCCATACTTCCAAGAGGCGCTGTTCATGTGGTTGTAAAAGTTCTCCTTGGCGTACTCGAGATTCGACTCCTTGTGAACACGATGATAATCCGCTACTCTCGAGGCTGCGATGATGGCATCCTCCTCTGCCATCTGCGGAGTTGTGTCTTCATGGTAATCGATTGTCATCAGCCCACGGCAGTTGTCCCTCAGCTGATCACCTCCGACGCATGAAGACATGGTAAACTCCCACCACGCCGCAGGGGTTGAACCCAGCGTGGATTGGAGGTAGGGCCTCATGTGAACAATGACCTCTGTTGCAACTCCTTCGGGGAGAGCCATGGCAGCGAAGAGAGACACATCGCGTAGACGGAAAGCTCGAGCAGTCTTTCCCGGTGCAACAAGCTGTTGACTAGCTTCGAGAATGATACTAGTCATGCCAGCACCAGGGAGAAGCACGGTGCTGCCGACCATGTGCCCACGAAGCCAAGGCTCGTCTTCAAGTCGAAGGAAACTGCGCCATACCCTCTGCGTCTCATCCATCATGGGTACAGGCGCTCCCAGCAGACTTCGAGTGGGGAACTTTTGTGCCAAAAGTTCCTTTGCAATACGCGAGTCGCAGCGGAAAACCTTCGAGTGATTCCAAGGATACGGCGGCAGGTTGGTGAGAAGCTGGCAGTGAGAATCTCCATTTACCTTTTGGAGTTCCAGAGAGACACCTTCAGCGAAAAGCTCGGAAGCCAGCTGCAAACTCGTATCGACGGCGCTTTGGAGTCTGGTAAGAACGGACTTGTAGCTGACATCGCTGATTCCGTGGTGGGACAATATCTGCTCGATAGGGCCACCGAGAGCGCTATGAGGACCAAGTTCGATCAATAGGTCAAGAGTCTTGCCATCTGCTTCTGCTGCTGGAGAAACCATCTCCTTGATTGCTTGCTCAAAGAGAACAGGAGATACCAGGTTGCGCACCCAGTAGTAACCCCCAAGCAACTCAGGGGCAGCTTCACTACCAGTGACACTCGAGACCATGGTCACACGCTTGGTTTCGTCCTCCTCTGAGCTATGCGGCTCAATGTCTGCGATGGAAGCGGCGTAGTCTGCTGCAGCACCCTGCATGTGGCTAGAATGGTAGGCGACATCAACCTGAAGCATGCGAGCAAACATGCTCTCCTTCTCGAGGATGGCTCGCAGTCTCTCCAGAGCGGCTAAGTCACCCGAAATGGTGACGCTATTCGGAGAGTTCACACAGGCCACTGTCGCGACACCGCCGAGGTGCTCTCCGTGCTGCGCGAGCAGTGATCGTGCTTGATCATAGGAGCAGCCGACAGCCATCATGCCGCCCTTGAGGCCGACCAGACCGGAGGAAGCCTTGCCCCTGAAGTAAGCAATGGCAATTGCATCACGATGCGTGAGCGCCCCGGCGCAGTACGCCGCTGCAATCTCTCCACTTGAGTGGCCGGCAACCTTCTTGGGCGTCACGCCCCAAGAGCGCAGCTCGTCAACCAGGGCAATCTGCAAAACAGTACAGATGGGCTGGCTGATCATGGGCGCCTTGAGACGTGATTCTTGCTTTGACCTCGTCAATTCTTCGACAGGATCCCAGTCGCAGCCCATGGACTTGAGAAGGGCCGCAGACCGCGTAACGGAATCCTTAAAGACCGGGTGGGACTTGAGCATCTCGACGCCCATGCCGGCCCACTGCGCTCCCTGGCCTGTGAAGACGAATCCGATCCTCGGCTTGCTGTCCGGGGTCCTCGTAGTCTTGTCGCCAGCCGTGGTCGAAAGCTTGTGATGGAGCTCAGCAGCATTTTCAGCCGAACAACTCCATCTCCAAGTCAACCCCGATCTCGCGACAGAGAGGGTGTGTGCCAGCTTGGCGAGATACTCTGGACTCGAAGCAGCGGGGCCAAGGGTGTCCATGTGCTCGACCAACTTATCGCCGATGCGTTTGAACCCAGCTTGATCGTGACTGCTGAAGACAAAAAGTCTCTTCTTGTTGTTTGCAGTCTCGTGGGCGACACCGTTGGCGGGCAGCAGTGACTTCCACTGGTCCGAGTTGAAAGACTCCAACACCACGTGGCCGTTTGTGCCGCCCATGCCAAAGCCACTGACACTCATCCGCTTGGTCTTGCAGACAGGCCAAGGTGTCAGCTTTGTCGGTACGGCCATATTCCATTCATCGAATGGAATTGCGGGGTTGGGCTTGTTGAAGTAGATATTTGGGGGTATCATTCCGTTCTCCATGGCCAGGACGCCCTTGATAATTCCCGCTACACCAGCGGCAGCTTCCAAGTGACCGATCTAGGAGCTTGCGTTAGTCTTCCAACGGTGCAGCGACCAGAAACTTTGAAATCCTTACATTTGGCTTAAGACTTCCCATCCAGAGCTTTCGTGACTTCGTCGCACCTGATCCGATGGTTCTCGAGATGGCTCCCGCTTCCAGGGGATCTCCAGCCTTTGTGCCTGTGCCCTACAAGACAATCGTACTGTCAACATGGCTATCTCTTAAGTCCAATTGTTTGAGTTTGGTGGTAATGACTTACATGAGCCTCTACATACTGAGTCGCAGGATAATCCAGTCCGTTAGATTCGTAGACATATTTGATGAGCGCCGCCTGTGCCTCACCAGACGGCAGCGTCACACCTTGTGTCCATCCGTCCGAGTTGGCGCCCGTAGCCCGGATGACGGCACGGATAGGATCTCCATCGGCAAGCGCCTTGTCCAGCCGTTTGAGGATGAGGGCGCCAGCACCTTCACCGCGACCATAGCCACCAGCATCTGCATCAAACGACCGAGAGTGGCCCTCGGGGTTGAGGAACGTCAAGTTGGCAAGCTGAATGTTACCGTCGGGGGTGAGCGTCAGACCGACACCACCCGCGATGGCCATTTCCGACTCTCCGGAGTGGAGACTTTGGCAAGCCAAATGCGTGGCCACCAGACTTGAGGAGCACGCCGTCTGGATGGTAGCGCTGGGGCCATGGATGTCGAGAAAGTGCGAGATACGATTCGAGACCATCTCCTCGCAGTTTCCGAGGATGTAATACTTGGGCCAATTTGCGAAATCCCTCGTGACCATGTCTCTATAGTCGCTCGTCGAGGAGCCGATGTAACACGCAGTCTGCGAGCCCGCGACCCTTGGCAGGGGCATGCCGGCGTTCTCGAGCGCCTCATAAGCGACTTCCATCATGATACGCTGCTTCGGATCGAGAGCCATGGCTTCGGCTGCTGTGATGTTGAAGAAGGATGCGTCCCACAGATAGGGATCCTCCTTCAGGAAGTGCCCTCCTTTCGTGGCCAAAGTATTGACGCGATCTTTGCTGTTGGGGTGGTGAAAGGCGTCCGAGTTCCATCGATCCGTATTAGGGGAGTAGGCGTCTTGACTTGAGTTAGAAGAGGTTTTCAATACTCAGTCCTAAAATGACCAGTTTCTTACCTCTTCCATTTCTCAAGAGATCCCAGAACTTGGACGGCGATGTCGCATCACCTGGGAAGCGACATCCCATTCCCACGATCGCAATCGGGATGCGCTCATCTTTGCGGGCTGTAACCATGTTGAGTGATATGTCGTGGAGATTTTGCCTGTTGTTGAAAACTAGTCTATAGCGCTCGCGCCTTGTATTGGGTATTATCTATGAGAGTGGGCGTGTCTAACGTGTTCTAGGCAAAGTGAAAGGCGAGCCAGGTCTTCGATGATGATCATGGGGAGTGCCAGTTCAACTCCATATAGATGCGTGTAGTGTTGGTACACAATCTAGCAATAGCAACGTCTTTCCTAAAGTCAGCATAAGCGGTGTTCTCTGAATCGGCGCTTCCAGCCTTGCACGGAGGCGCGGACGGCTACCAGTTGTTTCGGCACTTTTGCCGTGCGGAGTGGATACGGGGTGGTAGGTCCGGCGATGGACCGTGTTTGATTTCGCCGGTGAACACCGGCGGCCTGGATCGAATATCTCATCGAATACCCATGTCTGGGCTGGGATCACCCGTAAAGTTACTGAGTGTGCAGCGGAAAATGCTGTTCTGTAGTAGTGGAAGAGCGTGTTCGGAGGGAGTAAGTTCAAACTGCCCATCTCGGAGCTGGCGTTTCGTCTATTCAACTCCGAAAGAGCCGGGATCATCCTCTTCGACTGTGCTAAGTCTCCTGTTCCGATTCGCCGAAGCATCCAAAGTCAAAGTCGCTTTCTGCCCAATAAAACTACACGATGAAGTCTCCGAACAGGTGAACTTTTAAAACTGCGATTGGATTGTACTCCGACCTTGAACATCGTCTTCAAATGGCATACCACATCCCTGCATTCACGAGGGCCGGAGACGGTGTCTTTCTGCATTAGAACTGGCTTCCTCAAGGTGCCATCGGCCCTGTCTCACAATGACGGGACCACTGTAGCGATATCCCAGGGAAACTTTGTGGTTCGTGTCTGTCAACCTAGCTTCTTCCCGGCACATGTTTTAACCTCAGCTCAGCGTTCGTAATCCATGAACTGCGATCCTAGCCTCCGACGAGGGTGCCACTATACTAAAGTCACCAAGCAAACAAAGGTATGAACGAAGCATTCTGTTCCTTTATCTCCTGATATACTATGCTCATCGGCTCCTCAGCACTAACGTCCTTGTCTCATCACTAACTTCACCGAATCTCTCACGCCACCCTCCTACATAAGTCGCAATGGCGATTGGCACCACCCCAAAGTCGGTCATCGTTACTGGCGGCGCCAGCGGCATCGGCCTCACCATAGTACGCCACTTTGCCTCGCAAGGCGGCAAGGTCGCCATCTTCGATGTCAACGCAGCTTCTGGCAAGTCCATTGCGTCTGACGTTGCTTCAGAGTATCCTCAATCTACGGTGACCTTCCACCAATGCGATGTTTCTTCGTGGAACGAACAGGCTCAGGCATTCTCGAATGTCTACGATGCATTTGGCAGGATAGATATTGTCTTTGCAAATGCTGGTATAGCCGAAGGGATGTCGAACGCCCTTGCAACTATCCACCCCGATGCTCCCCAAGAGCCGAACCTAAAGGTTGTAGCCGTGGATTTGAATGGTGTCATCTATTGTGAGTGAATCCCAGTTTGGATTTCACTGCTAGTTTCTTCCAGTTTGTGCATGACTTCGAAGCTAACGTCGCCTTTCGTAGCTGTTAAGCTTGCCATTCACTACATCAACAAGAACGAAATATCCGGAGGCTCTCGTGGCTCCATCATCTGCACTGCGTCAGATGCCGCTCTTTATCCGTTCCCAGTCGGACCGATGTACGCAGCTGCAAAGGCTGGCGTGATTGGTCTCGTACGGTCGACAGCTCCCATACTTGAAGATCTCAAGATTCAAATCAATACGATGGCACCAGCGGCTTTAGGTAAGAGACTCAACAAATCTCAAGGGACAATGTCATCATCAGATCACTAATGCGACGTCAGTCACAAATATCATCCCCGATCCAGAAACGTACAAACACATGGTAGTTACGCCAATGTCTACCCTGATCAAGGGCGTATCACAGATTACAGGTGATACAAGTCTCAACGGCAAAGTCATAGAGATTCACGACGCAGAACCGACCATACGCGATGAGCCTTATCAATTCGTGTCTGATGGAACTCGACACAACCAAGAGAAAGCGTGGGAGATGTTCAAATTCTTCAAGGCTTCGACGGGAGGTCTTCATGCTCCTTAGATGTGCCACGTTAGAAGCGTTTGCCGTTGAAATACCAAGTTTCCAGTGCACAAAGTAAACGTGCCCAGGGCTTCAGCCGCGCGCATTCCCAAAGACTTTGACTCATTCACATCGTGAGATTGACTCCAGTCCTGAATGATGTGACGTCAAATCAGAAAATATTTACTACCGCTTACGGAAAATCACACCATGTATCAACCCCACTGCAACCAACCTTCGGATGGCGGGCTCAGGTTTGTTACTTCGTATTCAATACGCGTAAACTCCAACATCTCAAGTCGTGGGCGTATCGTACGCAAAAAACTGGCGAGTGCCACCCTAACTGTGGAGGAGTTTCCCCCGCCTCCAAGCTACTCCACGTCTAGTTCTCGGAAGGACTCTGGCTATCTCCCTACCCTGACCCCGCGCTTCACCATGGCTTGACTTCCCCGTGGGGAGATCGCAGTGTTGGCAACCAATTGGAAGGGTATTCTGCCACACTATCCAGATGTACGGATCTTCTTCCTACCTTGTATTCGACTCCGCAATCCTGCCGACATGCCGCCGGTCCAAGTCAGTTGTGATTTACCAGCACGTTGAAAGACTACCTGAGGACTCTCGGCTGGCAGGAAGAAGCCATGCCACTACGAACAAACATCTGTACCAATGGCGTGAATCTGGTGGCTTTTCACAGTTCGGCTCTATAACGGGGTCAATCGGAACTAGTCTAGGTTGAAGACCGCCGACTGTGAAGTCAAGTCCGCATTCATCATAGTTGCTATAAAGGCATCCTCCTGGCTCCTTAGCCATAGGGCTCAGAACCATCTGGTAAGATCTCTCAAATGTAGAGGAACAGTCATCATGAGGATCCAGGCAATCACCCTCCAGCGGATGTCGATTCTGGCTTTGTAGGTTATTCTCATTGCGTTATCATCGGCCAAAAGCCTTGATCCATTGCTGACATTCACGCGGAAGCTGTCTTGTCCAGGTCGCTGCTCAAGCTGAGTACCAATGGCCATCCTACAGACCTCTAGAGTATGCCACTCCCGTCTCCGCGGCGGTGGAAGCGCCCACACATGCCCGCCCCTACTCAGAGTTATCTACCCTACTTGACCCACGATCTACCACAACTTGGGATGCTCCTGGTGTGACTCCGACAGATCAAGGCGTGAAGTTTGGCAATGCCGCCCTATCTTCCCTTTGGGCCCCCATTCCCGTCCTCTCACCACCATTCACCACAACCGTCTCACCAACCCCGATCCCCAGCACTGAACTCATCAAGCCGCCCCCTCTACCCCTCCAACCAGCACCAGACACAACACTCAATGGGACCCTCAAGTTCCCAAAGACCTTCCAATGGGGATTCGCCGGCGCAGCCCTACAAATCGAAGGCGCCATTAAGAATGAAGGCCGCGGCCCCAGTATCTGGGAGAGTCGCTCCAGAGGAAACTATTCCTCCTCTGGCCGGGCTGGCGCCGGCCCGCCCGACATCGCAGCAATGAACTACTACCTCTACAAACAAGACATCGCCCGGCTTGCCGCCGTTGGAGTGCAGTCCTACAGCTTCAGTATCTCCTGGTCCCGTATCGTCCCCTTTGGTGTCCGCGGATCTCCCATCAACAAGGAGGGTATCGATCACTACAACGACGTCATTGGCACCGTCCTCGCGTATGGTATGAAACCCGTTGTGACACTGCATCACTTTGATACCCCGGCCTACTTCCAGTCAAACACCTCCTTCTTGTCCTTTGACCACCCAGAATTCGTTGATGGCTTCGTATATTATGCACAGACGGTACTCGCGCACTACTCGGATCGCGTAGGCACATGGTACACCTTCAACGAGCCGACTATCGAGGCGGCCATCACTGGTGCATGGCAGCCCAGTCGTTTCGTACTTGAGGCCCACGCCAAGATTGTGCGGTGGTACCGGGACGTCATTCATGGCGATGCCCTCTGGAGCATGAAGTTTGACCTTAGTGGAACCGGGTTCGCGCTGCCCTTGAACCCGAGCAACGCATCGGATGTCGTAGCCGCAATCAGGCGTAACGAGTTCACCATTGGGTACTTTGCACGGCCGTTGTTCCTGGGCGAGAACGTGCCGCAGTCTATGGTTGATACCGTTGGTGACAGGGTTCCTTCGTATACATCCGAGGAGCTTGAACTGTTCAATGGGACTGCCGACTTCTTTGCGTTTGATATCTACACTGCTTCATATCACTCGGAACCTGAAGGTGGCTATGAAGCATGTGCAGCTGATTCGAAGCATCCATTGTACCCAGAGTGCACCGTTACTTCCACCTCACGAGGAGGATGGGAGGCAAACTTCCATGGTAATGTTGACAGGCCTGCGGTAAGTCATTAAATCTCAGAATCCAGCAGAACACAACTGACTCGACGTCAATAGGTGCCAGCGGAGCATGTCCGGGCGATTCTCGGATTTCTGTATGCCACCTACCCGACCAAAGGCGGCATCACCATCGCAGAGTTCGGCCTCCCGGCTTTCAAGGCGTCCGACATGTCTGTACACCATATCCGGAGTGATCTAGCGCAGTCCGAATTCTACGTCCCCTTCTTGAATGAGGTTCTGAAGGCAATCAATATCGATGGAGTCCACGTCAAGGGGCTGTATGGCTGGTCATATCTCGATAATTGGCAATGGGGTCAGTACGATGACAAGTACGGCGTGCAAGGATATAACCAGACCACCCAGGAGCGGTTTTACAAACGGGCAATCTTTGATTACGCTGGTTTTGTACAGGAACACAAGGCATCTTGAAGCCCTCTAGTCACAAGGAATCTCTGCTTCTCAAGCGCGCTTGTAATATATCTATTTTCTTCGGGAATCAAACCCGCAGTTATGTGTTTATGCAAGGTACTTCAAGATGAAAGGCACAGTCCCAACAACATCCCAATCCTCCTCCTTGCTCGCATCCCCAAAGATCCTCAGCGCGCGTGCAATGAATGCATAGCTTCCCTCGGGCACAACAGTCCGATCGGCCAAGAAGCCGCCAAAGTTCCACGTGTACCCGAACCTATGCGCATACGCAACAGGCGACTGCGGCAGCGCGCCGAGGGTCGGGTACCCGAGCACATCAGTGACCTTAAGCGTAGAGTTGCCGCTTCTTCCGAGGGCAACAAGCTCGACGTGCAGATCGGTAGTGCCGACGGTCGGGGTCACGACCATCTTGGGGTAGATGGCACTGCCTGTAGACCCGGGGCGCGGGATGGTGAAGGTCCGGTTCGCGGCGACGGGAATGAGGAAGTGGTTGTCCGTGGAGGAGAGGTAGACACCGTTCAGGCCGAGGCCGGGGACCAGGATGGGGGTGTCGCGCATACTTCCGCCGACGCCAAGGTATGGCACGGACAAGGTCTCGCCGTTGCTTCCTTCGAGGGTGATGTAGCCGCTGTACACGGGCAAGAGCGTGGCATTGAGGCCGGAGGGAGGTACGGCGGTGAACTTGACGTCAGCGCTGCCGCCGGCGGGGACGGTCAGGGAGTCAGTCTCGAAGTTGATTGTCGCCCACTCGTCGACGGTCGGGGGCGGGGCACGGGCGACGTTGAGCTGGGCTTCGCCGGGGGTGAAGGTGTATACGGTTACGGACTTGGCGTGGCCGAGCTTGTAGGTGACCTCTTCGGCGGCGGTGTTCTTCACGCTGAAGGTGTGCTCGCCGACAAAGTGGTCTGTATCGTTGAAGGAGATGCCTGTCGAGCCGAGAATCGTAGTGGCGTGCGCAGCGTCCCAAGCCTGTACGAGGCCGGCGCCCTGCTGCGGCACAGGAGCGAGGATGTCATCGTAGGCAACGGTGCCATCGTTCCAGGCCTTCGGCTGAGCAGTGGCAGCGATGACGGAGCGGAGCGTCTCCTGATCGAGGGTACCGCGGACCTGGCCGACGAGAGCGTAGACGGCGGCGACGAAGGGAGTAGACATAGAGGTGCCAGGGTTGACCATGTACTCGCCCTGGTCCCAGGTCCAGGTGGAGAGAATGCCTCCACCGGGAGCGGTGAACTGGGGTTTCACATCGAGTTCCCAAGTTGGGCCATAACTGGAGAAGGGGCTGGTGTAGCCGGCGGTCGGGCCATTTGTGATGGGCTCGGCGAAGAGGCCGGAGGTGTTGGGCGGTCCGATAGTGATGGTGACATTTTCGGCATGGGCTTTCCACTCCTGGGCCTGACGGGGCATGACCATACCGATACCAAGGATGCCCTCGGTGTAGACGTACGGAGGATAGAGCCTACTGACCTCCCATTAGCCATTTCTCTCCTTATGAAGAGGACCTCACCGTGAGGAATGGTAGACTTACGACTCGCTAGCAGGATAGAAGAGGATGTATTTGGCGCCTCTGGTGAGGAGGTTCGCAGCCTGGACATCGGATTGACATCCTGCGTCCATAGAGATCAAGGGAATAGAATCAGTCAAGTCGATATCTGCCGGGATCGGGTTGCAGGCCGTGATGTTCGCACCCGGAATCCACAGACGGAGAGTCACATTCGCAGTGGTGACGGGGGTGCTGTCAGCCCACCCAAAGGCAAACTCGCCTGTCTCGTTAACGAACGTGCCGCGCTTCATGAGGTTAGGCAAAATGGTGTTGTCAACAGACCCGATGCCAGCAACAGCCTTTCCCGATGCCGGTGAGGCCACAGCCCAGACACCCAAGTTACCAGAGTTACCAGCCGCAACGACGACGGGAATACCAGCCTCAGCAATGCGCGAGACGGCGACACCAGCAGCATCGCTTGCCCAACCCGAATCGTCGCCCGCAGAGCACGAGATGACGTCGCTCCCGTCCTCGTAGGCACGGTAGAAAGCAGATACCAGGATCTCGCTCGTCGTGTACCCAGCGCAACCGCTGACCTTATACGCGCCGAGCGTGACATCTGGCGCAGCACCCGTGAAGCCAAGCTCGTTCTCCTGCGCCATAATGATACCCGCGACGTGCGTACCGTGGCCTTGGCAGGTGTCGAGAGGATCCGCGTCAGGAGTAGGCGCGTCGGAGCTCTCGTAGTAGTTATCCCCCGTAAAGTCCCAGCCGTACGCGACGTGGCAGCCCTCGCCGAAGCAGCCTCCAAGAGCGGGATGTCTATAGTCCACGCCCGTGTCGACGATGGCGACCTTGATGCCCTTGCCCGTGAACCCAGCCTCGCGAAGCTTGTCAACCTGCGTCATGACGTGGGTGCTGTAGGTATCCTTGGCGGCCTCATCGCGTCTGTCCTTGAGCGATCGCAGGAGTGCGGCGCCGGAGGCGGTCCCGTTGCGGCCGATGGATGTACCCACGGGCTTGGGCATCTTGATCTTGCGGACCGGCCAGACGCTCTTGACGCTGAGCTTGTCTGCGATCTTGGCGGTTGTGATATCGGGCTCGCCGGCGTCGTCGACGCTGAAAGAGGCGCCGTTGAAGAGGCCGAACTTGAGGTCCAGACGGGGCTTCACGGCAAGGCCGTCGGAACGCAGCTCATCGTAGAGCGCTGAAGGGTCCTGTTCGCCGTTGAGCTCGACGATGTAGGCGCCTTGGACGAAGGCATCTTCGTTGACCGCGGGTGCAGCAGCAGCATCATCAGCTGCAACAACAACATGCGATGCAGAGGCCAGAAGCCCTAGCAGGAGGGAGGCGTTGGAGAAGAACCTCATGGTGATGGCGGTGGGCGCTGGAAATGAAACGAATGACCGGCGGTAACGACGGAATCTCCATCAACAGACGCGAGTAGGCACATCATGAGCGTATATATAACAATCCTCTACAAGTGTCTTTCTTTCCGTGTCGATGCGTGGAGTTAGGTCTGGGATTGCGATTGTGCGAGCCTGCAAGTGACGGGCTACGGATCGTGAGTGAACACGAGAAATTGGGACCTTCCCGAATGGGTAGCGAAATTTCCGGCCCATTGGGGTTCGTGGAGATCTTTGCCTGAGCTTGCTTTGACAATTGAGTTGCTTGATAGTTGCCAAGCCGGCAAAGATATCCTCGCTTTCGCGTCTTGTCTGCTTTTCAAATTGTCATAATCGGTCGAGAAGTATGGATCTAGATGGAATCCAGTGACGCTAGACCAGCCTTGGGATTCATAAAGAGATTCAGAGTTGAAAAGGGATATCGACAAGTCGACAACAGCAATCGCAACTCTGTACCATCACCGCCATACCACCCTCGGCCGACAGCCGAACTCAAGGTCGTGGGGCCGCAGGTCGTATTCGAAGATCACAGTGGGCCGGGCGCACGACGCTACAGTCTTGGAGCACGTCACAGCAACAAAGTGAGCAGACGAGCTTAAATTAATCTTCATCCTGGACGCTGTTGATGTGCTCTGATATCCGTATCTCTCAATGCCCAAAATCCCCGCCGTAGCCGACGAAGCCGGGGGCCGTTGTTCGTTTTAGCTGCCGGGTGTGGCACTTTTAACCTCACCCGCGTCCATAAGCTTAATCTACCTTAAGTTTTGGTGGACTTTATTTAGCCTTAGGTGGCCCGGAGTTTGGCAAGGGTGCGGCGTCCTGCGTACCTTGAAGATAGCGTGATAGAGGAGTGCATCGACTGTCAGCCACCTACAGCACAGAATCTCGTATTCCAATCTGCAATGATATTGAACGCTCCCGACGCTTCTCAAAGAGGCAAGTTGTAGAGTCTGAACAGCTCATGTGGACGGTTCAATTGGTGGGGTTGTTGAAGAGAGTACAGCGGCAGTCAACAGTTACTTTTGGATTTGGGGAAGCCGTGGAATCCGTGGAACCCCAACTCCAAATAACGCGTTCAGAGGCCAATTGATGGCAACAGAGTCCAAATCCCCAACTGGCGCAAAAGAGCGACGACTTTCGCCCTTCGAAGCTCACCAAAGCAAAAGAATATAGCACAACCTGGTTTCGATCCAGGGACCTCTGGGTTATGAGCCCAGCGCTCTACCCCTGAGCTATTGTGCTTGACGAATTTTGGGGATGGGTGGTGAATCCACATCCAGTTGCGCGACTTTTCTCGACCAAGTTGCACCATCGTGAGGTTTCGACGCGTCTTCTACCAGCTACGTCGCGGTCGTTACCACCGATGAGAGCTTCAAGGACAAGTCTAGGCCGCCATTCACTCAGGTTTTTCAGTCGGCTGGCTTTGATATCGTGTCTATATTTACGAAACCTTACAAGGCCCAGCAAGCGCAACATTGCAATGAGTGATAACAGATGCTCTAAAGAACGCGTAAAAGTCAATATCAACCGATGGGAACTCGTGAATCTAGAAACTCAAGAAACCCTCCTCGTTTGAACCTTGCCTTCCTTTGCCAAACTAATCTTCAGAAATCATACATCTTCAATCCCTTTGCACAGGATGCAACTTCACCCACAGCGGCGCCTTCTTCCAGACCATGAACACCTTCTGCGTTCCAATCCAGTCCCCTTCAGTAGCATTCTCAATATCGAACTGCCACACCAACCTCGCCATGATGATCTTGATCTCGGCATAAGCCAAATTCCTGCCAATACAGTTACGCGGCCCAACCTGGAACGGCTGCGACGCATCACGCTGGTCTCCAGCAAACAGCCGCACATCTACATCCTCATCGCCTGCCCCCTTCTCGTTATCACCATCCTTCGTAGTCATCCATCGTTCAGGTATGAACTCCTCCGGCAGCGTCCAGTTCATGGGGCTGTGGGAGGCTGCGTAGATGGGGATGCTAACGGCCGTGCCCTCGGGCAAGAAAACGCCGTCAACGGTCGCGCCGCCGGCGGGCACGATGCGGTGGTGCGGTTGCGGGGAAGGTGGGTAGACGCGGAGAGCTTCTTCAATGCAGGCGAGGAGGTACTTGCAGTTGTTGACGCCCGTGAAGGCGATTTCGTCTGGGTGAGAGAAGGTTGAGCGAACTTCAGTTGTGAGTTTGGCGAGAACGCGAGGGTTCTGGGTGAGGAGGTATGTGAGGCCTAGGTGATGTTGTCAGTCGTGAGAGGCCTTTCCTTCCGTGAAGTGCTTCACGCAGTCCCCCTTAGGAGTGGCTTGGCTGCGGTGACTAGAAACATGTCAACTAACCTGCTAGCAAAGTCGCCGTGGTCTCACTCCCCGCGGCGATAAGGATCTGCGAGTTCCCTTCGAGCTGTTTATACGACATCTTTCCCACGTTGTACGCCGAAATCAACTTCTCCATGAAATCAGGGACGGTTGCTTCCGTCTTGAGCCGGTGCTGGACCTTCTCCTGAAAAGTTTCAATCCAGACATTAGCATAGTTCACGAGGCAGAACCACTCAATCTACACCGAGGAGCTGCATTCAGTGGTAAACCTACACTCTGAAGTTCATTCAGCGTCTTCACGTCCTGAGAAATGGTTTTCGGCATCGTCAACAGCATCGCGGGAAGCTGGACCAACTTGGGCAGACGGGAGATGGCCTGGTGGAAGGCCATGAACTTCGCCAGGGCGAAGAAGATCTGGACCCAAGTGTGAAGGGTCGACGTTGTCAAGCAGTCGAACGACTCGCCAAAGGCTATGAAGAAACAGTGTCAGAGAGGGAGCTAGAGTTAATGACGTACGGAAGATGGGATGGCAAACGTACTGAGGAATCCGATGAAGTCGAAGGTGAGAAACTGCAAGACATGATCAGCATCACACTCCCTCTCCTGCCGCGCTCGCTGTCAAACCGCCGATGTCAACGAAACTTACATTATACCACTCCACAACATCAACAGGCCGTCCACCCTCCCCCACCTCTCCAAGCTTCGCAAATAAGACATCAACGAACCCCTTCAACACCCCCTCCTGCTCCCTCATAGCCTTCTCCGAGAAGCCATGCGCAAACAACCTGCGAATATACGAATGATACTCTCGGTCCGCGTTGATAATCACTGCATCACCCTTGAGCGCAGAATGGTACTTGCCATCTTTACTGAACTCAAGCTGACCGGGCGCCTTGTGCCCGTAGATCTCCTTCCACTGCGGCGCCTTGATGTACGACAGGGAATCCGGGGATGTGCGCACAACGGGGCCGTACTTGTTGTGTAGCTCGAGTAGGTCGTAGGGGGTGCGGCCTTTCAGGTAGGAGAGGGCTGTCCACCATGGTGTTGCGGCTGCGAGGCGGGGGCCTGGGAAGGAGGAGAGGGGATGGAAGTAGATGTTGTAGATGGCGAGGATTGTGTAGTAGAGGATAGTCTTGTGAGTGATTAACTATGTTTCCGTACAGTATCTCAAGCCAATCTGACACTCACTATGATGATAGCACACGGGATGAGCAACAGCCCATGATAAATTGTCACAGATTCGAAAGCGATAGACATTATTGTAGGTTGTTTTCGAATGCAGAAGAAAAGACGTTCAAAAATCCAACGCAAGTCAATAGAGACCGTGAGAATGAGGAAAAAGAGCAAAAAAGAAACCGCAGATTCTGAAAGCGCATGCTCCAGATATACTCATGTCTTTTGAAGCATAAGTAGTCCACCAGATCACGGACGAAGAAGAAGCCGTCCAGAGTTACACGACAGGCGGCAGAGCTACCACAGCAGCAAGTTATGCAGAATTGTGCAGACCATTGGGACGCACAAGTCATGCACTTCGATATTGGACCAATAATAGCGCTACAATCCATCAATCTTGGCGAGATATGCACAACGCTCGCTTTATGTACCGGGAACTTGCATCGTTTCACCCTCCCGCAATGTGGGGTCGGGCTTCTTAAAGAACCCGAAGGCTCTGGCGATGATTCCCCGGATATCACGACTTGGGGTCTCTCAAGCCTATCAATTGAGCTATCAAACGCCATGTAACACTCGAATACGCGGAAACGACAGCTCCAATCTCTGACAACTTAAGTAGAGTGTAGTCAGAACCTTCAAGGTTCAATGTCTACGGAGTTTAGTCCACGACTCTTGTCCCTAAAGCCGATTCAGTGGTCAATCCAGACAAGATAAACTCGCGCCTTGTCAGGTTGCGGCTATTGATATCGAGTTGAACACCACCATTCCACTCAACCTCTTCCATCAGGTTCAAAACAGTACTGGGGCAGTATACTTGCGCATAACGTGAGACCAAAGACATATGCTTTTACATCTCAACCCGCCGCCGATGTTTTGTTCCCCCACAGTCTGATTCGCCACCACCAAATCCTACTTCTCAACCACTGATTCTCGACAACGAGCGAGTTACTACCAACCTTTACCATTTTACAAACCTCTACACTTAAACTTCTCCATCCTCATTAACTAAGATCGCGCACCAAATCCTTGAATTCAAAATCTTACCCAAATAATCAGAGCATAGTACTAACCAAACTTCAACTTCACCATCTCCTCCTCCACATCCCCAAAAAATGAGGTACGCCAAGCCCTCAAGCGCCGCCCCCAAATCCATCCCTCCCCCTCTTCCCGTCCGTTCCTCCCGCCGCTCCGCGAAAGCACCAAGAAAAGCGCGGCGAGGCGGCGCATCTCCCGCAATTAATCATACCTTCGGATACGGATGCTTACTCGCTTCATCGCCAAGACACCAGTGACGCCCTCTCCCGAATCGCCGCAACGCCCAGGGGCCCTGTGGCTTGTCGACGTCACTGCATCTTGGTATTGACGTCGAGCGAAAGTACATGCACGATCTTGCGCGGTCCGGCTGGGAGAACAATTGATGAAGTCGTGAACCTTTGTACATACTGGGAGAGAACAATGGAATTATCACAGTGTTCGTGAGTTTTGCATGAGATGCAGAGCGCTAGATGTCGCGCCAGTCGCCCAATAGCTACTGATAAAAAAAATAAAAAAATTGCAGATATGACACGCATTACACTTGATGCGAATGTTCACATACAGTTGACGGAAACAATTGACCATTTCACCCATAATATTAACACTATATGTAACCGCAAGATTCCTTGCATCTGCTCCGGCCTTCGCCGCATCGCTATACTCTCTCGCGTCGCTCACATAGCTTGGCTATATGCAAGCGGCAACCGCAACAAGCACCCCTCGTAAATGGGTATCCTAAATCATCGCAGTCCACCGACCGCACACATCCCATCATATTCCGCGCATTAAACGAATAACAAAAACACATCAAGCCCTCGTGGCAAATACTGCTCACACTTAGGCGACGTTGCTCTTGGCCCGGCGAATTTCCTTGCCCTTGTCGGACCACGGGAGGTGGAAAACAGGAACCTGGAAGAAGGAGTTGCTGTAGGGAAATTTCAATATTAGCAAACTGAATCCACATCGCGCGCATTGTGCAACACTATAGCGTGGCGGAGAGGAGAGGGGTGAACAGCGACGATGACGGCAAAGTCTAGCGTAGACCTGAACTGATCGCCGGTCGAGCGGAAAGGTGGGTGGATAGAGTGCACAAAAAACTCACCTGTCGTCCTGAAGACCAGCCAAAGCGCAATACCACGCCAAAAACGCAGCAAGCATACCAAAAGTACCTCCGCAAATCTGCAGGTTGCGCGACGCGGTCAACGCACCGTTGTTGGCGGCATAGTTCTCGCAGGCGAGGAAGAGGAAGGCCAGGTCGAGGGTGAAGAAGAGGGAGAAGAAGACCACGGTCGAGCGCAGGGTGCAGAGGAGCAGCAGCGTCGTGAAGATGAACCAGCCCGTCAGGAAGAAACCGACAGCCGAGTAATGGTCAGAGTAGTTGGCGGCATAGGGACCGTCCGCGGCGATGATGCCCCAGTTAGGGGTCAGAAGGATGCCGTATGCGATCCAGAAGCCGCCGTACGATGAGAGGGCAGTGGCACCAAAGGTGTTGCCGACGGCCATCTCCCTGTGAACAACCAACCGTCAGTCAGCATTGGCGCGGATGAAGGATGCAAAGTGATGACTGATTTGTGATGCTCGTATTACACAAGCTTCTCCACAGGTTCCCCTGGTCCTGGACGCAGGCAAGCATCCTATGGACCAAACTTCCCCGAGTCCCCCATGCTCGTGTGTCTAGCTAGAGGTCCACTCCGGCGCAAAGGAGCGCGTCCATGCTCCACATGAACGCACCGGAGCTTCCGCTTGCGGGGGACATCGTGGAGACGGTTGAGATGAGATGTTGGGGAAGTTTTGGGTACCCTGGCACGGAAAGAGGAAAAAAAGAAAACATGGGAAGGAAACAATCTGGACATACCACATGCCGGCGAGAAGCTGGACCAGACCTCCATATCCAAAGGCGAGGGGGACGGCAATGTTGGGCGCAGTCACGCCGCGAGCGTGGAGGTTGACGCAGGAAAGGACGAACGTCGTGAGGGCGAAGGCTGAGAGACCGAGTGGTGCCGGGTTGGCGAACTTTCTGTGTTCATAAGGCTTCCATACACCGGGTTGGAGCGAACCGCCGAATGCCTGCGCTTCTCCTTCAGTCATGTTCCGGTAGTCGGCAACGCGGGAGAAAGGCCCGGCTTGTCGTGAGTATGTGTTTTGGCCTACTTGAGCACCATTGGCACCATTGTAGTGGTCGGCACCAGAGGTATGCACATCCTTCTCCACGTCCTGTGGAGGGACGGCGTTGTGGTGAGCCTCGTGTGTGGCCATTGTGTGTAGTCTTCCGGGTGTAAGAGATAATAAGGCAAGTATGGAACCAAAGAGAAGAATGAGTATAGGGGGGTATCTTGTAGCAAGAGTAGGCAAACTCCACGGAAGACGGCACACAACTTTGATGAAGGAAGGTTTCTTTCGACTCTGGGGAATGGGTGGGGAGCAGTCTTTAAGTAATGGGGGAAGAACGGGGTTCGAGGCAAGAAACGATCAAGCCAGGACGAACGGAAGCCGGGGTCGAGGGTCAGCGCAAAATGCAGAATGCTGATGGGCCGGGTAGCTTCGTGAACGTGTGTGAACGTCTGGGGTATGTACAGATACGTGGGCCCCGACTGGCGCGGAGAACTGGAGATGGATGAGGAGTAGGAGGAGGAGGAGAAGCAGCTTGGAGGACAAGTGAGGAGAAGAGGCGTCGTCTGCAGGAGCAAGAGGGAGGGAGTGGGTCGAGTAAGATCGCGTAGTTGGTAGACTAAGAGGGTGTGAGAGCGAAAGGCGAGCCGTCTGCTTCCAAGGGCCGATCTTTAAAGCCCAGAGAAGAATGAACCGGGGGACGAAATGGGAATGGGGTGCAACGGAGGCTCCATAATAGATTCATTATTTTAATATTTTAGGTTGCGATGTCGGGTGGTGGTGGAGTGACCACTGACACGGCGTCGGAGCCCGCCATTGGAAGGGAAGATCTGCTGGAAATGACATGGAAGAAAAATCCGCAATGGCGCGAATAAAACCCTTCTCTCGTCTTCCCCAGAGGCCAGACGGGCCGAAAAGGAAGGGTCTGCTGGTAAAGGGGTTTCCATCGCCATATACCTCGAAGCCAGCATGCCAGCTCAAAGACGACATGCCCAGATCGTATGGAGACGGCCAGCCCTCGAACTGGCGCAGTAGTGAGCTTGCAGCCCCTGTGAGAAAAAGCAGCTCCTCGATTCATCCCCATCAACAGTTCGGCAAGTCTTTGCTTACATCCCGGCCATCCGGTCAGTAATGCAAGTAGCGGGGGAACAAATCTTTGGTTGTTGAAAGCAACTTGGTCTTGCCCAGCCCTGGTAGACTTGGTATCCAATGATGGGGAGGAAAGGCCGATTTGAGAGAAGAGTCTCGCCATCTCAAACTCTGAGACATCTTGGAACGGTCATCCTTTCGCCCATCCCCGCGGGTTTGAGCCACTGTCGAATTCCACTGATCGGAAAACCTAGGTAGGTGCGGCAGATTATGACAATTGAGAATACCTAGCAAGAAAACATGCGACGACCAAAGGAGCAATGGACGTGGATAGCTTTCTGCTAGGACCACTTGAGAAATCAGTCCACGAGCTGATGTCATTCCCACCTTTTCCGTCACCAGAAAGCTTCTCCAATTTTTTTTAGGCGTGGCTGCTCTGGTCGCCGTCTGCAACTAGCAAGTAGCGGGGTGAGTGATGGAAGGCAAATCATTATTGCATAGGCGGCCTAGGCTTGCCGTCGTCGAAAACGATCCCCTAGCACCTAGCCTCTGACGTTTGTCAAAGAAGACAGTGACTGAAATGCCATTTGGTCGTCGTTCCGTTCATATCGTCCCCAGAGACGTTGGAGGGTTCTGACTGCGGAATGCAAACTCTCGTTTCTAGATGGCGCTGCTCGTTCCCTTCACCATGCTGTCCAGCAGCCCAACGCCGACGCAGACACGATGCGTGGGATTGCGGATACATCGCTGAGCAACAGCAGCAGCAAAGGCGACCGGCCAAGACCAGATTGAGCCCCAAAATGCAGGGAGGGCGTGGCGATAACACCTGATGTAACTATCACTGCAGCGGAAATAAGAGGTGCGTCTCCCGTCTGAACGTTTTCGGACTGGCGTCGTGCTCTGCCCTGACGCCCGGCCTTCCATGAATTCCGTCCAGATCATTCCCTCTTCGCGGTCGCGCTCTCATTGGGCGATACAGCAGGACGGCTAAAAAGGTCTCTTTGAGTTGTAACTTGTAGCGGCACATCGATATTACCGTGTGTCATGAATATGGTTGAACCAGAAGGCCTAGCGGATCAAGGGTAGCACTTCGGCGGTGCTTGATGAAAAAGTCATTCTTGCAACAGGGGACCGGCCAAATTACCGCCACGGCTCTTCCCCGTCTTGGCTACGGATCGTGGGCGGGCATAATCTGCCGGCAGTCGGTATGATATTAGTACTGGCCCGGTTGGCGATGCTGCTGCTGCTGCTGCTGCTGCTGCTGCTAGGCTTCTTGAGAGCGTCCAGGAGAGGAGGTTTGACTTTCACCAAAAGACTCTTCGGGACCGATCAACTATAGTGATCTTGTCAATGACGAATTTCGTCGAGATTGGGGGTTTCCACGCCCCCAGTTTGTAGTCTGTACGGTGGGAACATAGCACCACTGTTTCGGTCCTGCATCGCATCGCGCGTTTCAACCAACCCAGCTCTTTGGGCGAGATCTTTCTGCCTCTTGCCGGTCTTTGTCGCAATACATCTGTCATCTGGTCACATCCTGCCGGTCACTGTCCAAATCAACCGTGCCCTAAAGATGGGTGTTGCGGGGAATCTGGGGGTGGACTGGCAATATCCCAGCCTATTCGAGACACCCCAAGCCCCGTTGACTCCGGCTTCAGATGTTGACGCGGATACAAGGCCGGCGGGAAGGTTCTCTAAGGTGTGTGTCGAGCGCCATTGCATTTCCTCTCTTTCTGTGTGGGAAACACTTTGAGGATGGTTTGAGAGCTCTTCTGTACCGCAATTCAGTCTACTCAGGTTCTGAGCCATCGTCCGTATGCTGAAAGCCTGCAAAGTCGAGCCAAGTTGATCTAAAGCGTCATCATGACCGTGCTGTATTGGAGTAGCCAGGTTGATCAACCCCAACAATGACCTCCATCAGAAGCGCGCAATCGACGACCACATGGCGCTGAGCTGCGGGGAAAGCTTGGGCGATTGTTGCACACCCTTTGCCGTGGACTCGATCGCCAAAAGGCCAAGTCCCATTGCTTCCGTGTATGTATGCACATACCGAGTCGAAATACACACCTTCTAGTGCGAATGGTCCGATGATGGCACCAGGCGCTGGACGAACCACGACATGTGTTCGGGCTCCCGCTGTAGTCTTCGGGGTCCTCCCTGTCCTGGACAATCAGCATGCGTGTTGGCGTGCAATTGCCTTTTCCCCAGATCTGGTGGCTTCTAGCCTATTTCCCCAGACTGCGCCGGCATTGTACGTAGCTCGACGCCTCCTAGGAATTTGGAAGCAAGCCACGACGTGGGAGTTCTTGTCTCCATGCACTCTTCTTACGTCCCTTCGTCCGGAACGTGGGCAGCCCCAGTTGATTTTTGACTTACAAGCGTCTGTCCAGCCTAGTACCTGTAACTTTGTACCTTGATCATGCCGGATGATGATTCAAAGTAGCTATTCTAGACAGACCTCGAAAGTTTGGATCGCTCTGAGGGCAAAAGTAAATTCTGGGTATCGGACGTACCTACTGAATATCTTCGCTCCGAACCGGCGCCGACAAAGCAGAGCAAAGACATGGCAAGATGCCATAGTGGAAGTCATCTGTTCTGACGAATGCCGCGCCTGTCCGTGCCCTGTCATGCAACCCTTGACGTGGGATGTCTGCGGTCTCTTCTCGCAGCGGTGACAGTGACACCACACTAGGGCGCTCATCACTGCCTTTTTCTACTGCCGACTCCGTGGGATCATCAGTCCACTAACAAAATGTCACCTGAACAGATACCCATTGGCTCTCAACTCCCTGGCCAGCTGCAAATCGCTCTTCCCTGCGTTGAGCCAGCTGGCATTTCAAAGACGGCATTGGAGCATACCGAGCCGTGCGAGCGACTTTGCTCTGGGGTTGTGTGGTGATAGCAGCAACTAGCAGTTGTTAGTGAACGACGGACTGGGGAAATCGAGGAGATCCCGAATAGTCAGCGGGAAGGAAGTCGACAGACGCCACGAATACGACCATTGCAGTGGCGGAATAGTTTACAGCGCTCGTAGATTCCAAATGTCTGACGGACGGCGTAGTCGAACATTGCAGCGTGAATGAAGTACCTATGCACTTAGACCTTTGTTGCCTGGGAAGTCTGTCAAAAGCTCGCGCAAAGGTCCCATGCCTGCTTCTTCGACCGCCCCCATCCCACGGCCTGGACGAACGGCTCAGCCAGGCGGCCTACAATGACAAACTGGCGAGAAATCGTATACCGTCGTCTTTGTCCAGTCTCTGGCCAGCACCTTGGTCCGAGCAAGCCGCCGTTCAACGGTAGCCGCGGATCGATTTTCGATGCCCAGCCCCTTGGTCCGTAATGCCAATGTTTGAGGCTCGAGCGAAAGCCGAATGGATCAGGAGACGACAGACACACCAACCTATTCGAACTGCCAAGAAGGCAAGATGCCAACGACGGTCACTCATTCTGTCTTTCGCAACCCCCTTTTCTCATGGCCAAGGCCGCTCTCGCAGCGTTTCCGTCTAGGGCTTGTGCTGGAAATACCGCAAAGACGCCCCCGAAAAGGTCCATGGTGCGATGCCAAGAACCATAGGGCTCCGTCAGCACGTTGTTCAGGACCCTGTCCCATAGCAGCCGCCTGCGGCGTGGCGTTCCAGGGCCGCGCTGTTGCACGAAGCCTAGGCTGCCCAGTGGCAGGGGAGACCGAAGGCTGCTAAGCAACTTCCATTTCTCCGAGACGCTGCCTCCTTGGGAAACAATCGTTCCACTTCGACGCGGCGTTGAGAGGTGGATTCCCAACCTTTTCGCTGCTGTTGAGGTGCAGCCCCCGTGCACTGGCCTGGCAGAAAGGAATGATTTTACGTCAAGCCTGGAGCCGAGCCGAGAAAGAATGGGATCGCAGACCGGAGTTTAAGGTCGGGCCTCCTTTTCCGTCCGTCGGCACGTTCGAATGCAGGTTGTGAAAATGCCTGGGGTGATGTGAAGCCAAAGAAGCTAAGACAATCTGTCAGAGGTCTCATCCTCGATAGGCACTCACTGCATTTCCCAAAGCTAGATGCGTTCTGGGATCCTAGCCTTCAAACTTCAAAGTTCAAACAGTTGCATTTAGCCGTTATTGCCTGCATGCCTAGGAGCGGAAGCCGATGCCAAGAAGGGAGGCGCAAACGATCACCACCGGATAACTCGGCAGCACCCAAAGTTCAGGCTACCCATGCATGCCCGTGGCATCTCGACGACCAGTGTTGATTGTTTGGCAGGGTGGTTGGAAGGGAATTGATAAGATTCCTTTTGGGGTTGCTGACGGCGCGGATGCAACCCTCACGTCTCCAATTGACTCCCCGGCGAGGCGTCCGCCGTTTCTTCGTGTAGCTAAAGTAAACCAGATGCAATTTAGCACTCTGGCGCAGGTCGAATGACAGGCGGCTCAGAATGATAATGTGAGGGGCGTCGTGTTGATTTGGCACCGAGGCATTTCGGTCGACAGCCAGCCAGGAGGTCGGCCGCATTTGCTGCGCTTCATGGTAGTATCGCTTGCAATAGAATATTTGGTGACAGGCTTGCAGGCAGCCCCCAGGACGCGCCAGATGATAGACGGGAAAATTGAAAAAGGTCATTGCTTCGCAGTCAATTTCACCGAACGAGGCCCACCAGGCGCGTCCCAACCAACAAGGCATCCTGGTGTCATCTTCCATGCATTTTGAGTGAATTCGACAGCCCTCCCACACGAGTCTGACAAGGAAGGTTTTCCTATAGCAGAGCCAGCCACTGCCATAGTATGCGCATATTTGCGAAGCAAAATGTTATCACGAACTCCATCGCCGTACTCAAAAAACGTAGTTGATCGATATTGCTTGTACGTCAAGGACAGGATTCGAACCTGCGCGACCGAAGCCACTGCCTAAGCTGACATCAGAAGACCTGATAGCAGGGCAGCCCATTAACCACTCTGGCACCTTGACTGTTGTTGGATGCTGGTTCGTCGCGCTGGAGGGACCATGTTGTGCAGCGACACCTGGTGGAGACTGGCTAGCTCTCTTAAACATGACAGGGGCATGCATCCTGCACAGCTGGGGGCCACAAAGCAGCTCTGCTTCTCGCCGCTGCTTCACGCAAGTCATTGAAGAGGAAGTCTGACCATGAAGAATGGTTGCTACAGTTTGTGACTCTACTGTAGCAGTCAGACCGCGACATTGACCGGATAAAGTGGACGGCGATTGTACTGGTTGCAACACCGTCGCGGCGATTCGATGTCAACTCTCATCATGGCTGTCTCCAGTGTAAGGAAGGCCGCGTCAAATCAAGACTCTGCAGGTTGATGAAAAGTGCGCTGAAAGGTCTCCAGCTAACAATTTACCTAGTGTGACGAAGATAAGCCAGTGTGTCGCCGCTGCCGAAAGAGGGGACGTGTATGCGTCTATCGACATTGACTGAAGTCGCAAGACACATTCTCGAATCTTTCGCTGCAGCAAGGCCGCCCTGATGAGAATAGAGCAGTCGGAATTGGTGACCTTCGGGATATATTTCTACCACATACACCAACTCCGAACTGGCCGGGCTCGGACCCGGCAGCCGACTTTCTGCTCGGCCATTACTTCGGTCATTTGGCGGTGTTCCTTGTAAGCTCGCCGAGCCAATTCGGGGTTCTGTCAGTGTATCAGCAAGTGATCGGGCAATATAGGATGGCACAATAATTCGCGTATCAAACTGTTCTTGTCTTTCCTGCAACACACCTTGCAAACGTGGAACATATGACAGGCTCCAATCCGAGACCCAGAATGCCCATATCGAAACGTGTGATGACCGGTCTTCGTCATAGGGCGCTGGCTTTGAAATCGTTTCGTCCGGCACTCGTAGGGCATTTGACGCGTTCGACTTGCGAAGCAGCGCTGATGGCTGCGGGGCTTCTAGTTGCGTCCTCTTTTCGCCGTTCCATTGGCAGATCCGTCCATAGATACTCAGGACCACTTGGATCAAGTGATTCATCGCTCGACTGTCCCAAGGTGCTGTCACGCTTTTCCGTCTGGGTCCCGAAGATCTCGATGACGGAGCGCACCAGGCATCATGGTACATCCGGCAGTCGATCGTAGTGATGTTGATGAGTGAGTTACTGTGGCTAGATGCGGAAGATTTGTTTATGAGAACTATCAGTGACATCGACAACCTCGGACATCGTGAAGCCTCAAGAAGAGCAGTTCTAGAGGATGCGAGCGTCAAGTTGCTGAAATCACCGCTGAGGGTGGACGCGGCCACCAGGGAAGACCATCATGTTGCCTGCATGTGGCTAGGAGTAATCAGCACTTCCTACATCAACCTACTGCTATGGATTCATTGGCACTTGCTTTGGCTGCACACTGGACTGTGTGTCTCCTCGATGTTCATCCCTAGCAGGCGTGGTGGATTTGTGTATGCGATTATTGGTGCAGTAGAGGAACATCACTTGCACTGTGTCAAGTGGTCTCCGAGTCTCTTTGAGCGTCATCAAGACATGATATGACATGGATGTCTGATCGCAAGGCTGTCGTGACGTTGGACGATGGACGTTGAATGATGAACGTTGGACGTTGGCAGGGGATATGGAAGACGGGGAGAAACAGTCACGTGGCACTCAGGCGGTCCTGCAGTTTTGAACATTTGAGATTCTTGTTCCATAAGGTACCTAAGGTACCTAAGGTACTGATACAAGAAGCGGCACCTTCCCTAGGCAGTTTAAAAGTCACAAGAGAAGGAAAGAGAGAGGGGAAATGGAAAGAGCTGTGCTTACCGACCTTCACCGAAGGACACCCCGCCCATCCAGGTATCCCGACCTGTCTCACCGAGGCCCACCTCAAAGTCACCGAATCTGGCCACCTTCTCTCCCGACGACATCGTACGACTCAGAATCGTCTGACATGTCACCAATTACCCACAGTACTCCGAAGACATGGCTGGCAGGCATCACTATATAGCCGCAATCTCACTCACGAGGCGGCCGGTACTTTTCTTCCATTGAACCTGCAATGTTCATCCGTCCGATCCGCCGCTACTTCATTGCTCTCGTCTTTGGCATATTCGCAGCCATCCTGGGCATGCTATACCACCGTCCCATCACCAACGCATTGAACCTACTCTCACACACCGCACGATTTTCATCATCGGGCCATATGGCGCAGTCAGCCCGCAGACCAGTCATCGTCGTCGGCTCCGGCCTCGCCGGTCTATCCGCAGCACAGGAGGCGCTCAAGGCCGGTGCATCGGTCCGGATGCTCGACCGCGCCCCGAAGCCCGGCGGCAACAGCATCAAGGCGTCATCCGGCATCAACGGTGCTGGCACCCGGTTTCAAAAAGCCGCCGGTGTAGACAAGGATGACCTCTTTTACGACGACACCGTCCGTTCTGGCGGCAAGCGATTCGCCCAGGGTGAGGGTGTGGTTCAGCGTCCGAAGCTCGTCCAGCTCTTGACCGAGAGCTCTGCGGATGCTGTCACCTGGCTTGCCGATGAGATTGGTGTTGATCTGAGCGTTGTTGCCCCTCTCGGCGGCCACTCCCTTGCTCGAACCCACCGAGGGGCTGGCAAGACCCCGCCAGGAGCAGCTATTGTGACGACCCTGCTCAAGAAGCTCGGGGAGAATCCCGAGTTCCAACTTACAAATTCTGCCGAGGTCACATCGCTCAGTGTCACCGATGGCGTTGTGAATGGTGTGCAATACGTACAAGACGGCAAGCAGCACGACCTGGATGGTGCCGTAGTGTTTGCTGTCGGTGGATTTGCCGGTGACGCTAACGGACTTCTCGCCAAGTACCGCCCGGACCTGGCAGGCATTCCATCGACGAATGATGCACGGCCGGCTTCTCATGGTATCTTGGAAGCAGTGGGCGCAGAGTTTGTCGACATGGACAGCGTACAGGTACACCCGACAGGGTTCGTCAACCCCAAAGACCCCGAGGTCAAATATAAGATCCTTGCTGCCGAGATGCTCCGCGGAGAGGGCGGCATCCTGCTGTCAGATAAGGGCCAGAGATTTGTGAACGAGATGGAAACGAGGGAACACGTCAGTAAAGCCATTATGAGCCTTCCACCAAAAGAAGACGGCGACGTCAAGCAGTGGGACATCACCTTGCTCATGGACCCCGGTGCGATTGAGGTCTCTGAGGGTCATTTGGGTTTCTACCTGTGGAAAGGTCTGATGGAGAAGAAGAAGGTCAAGGACTTGAGTCCAGCTATCATCGCCGCGGTAGACGAGTACGCCGCGACTGTTGCTTTGGGCACCGATTCGGCCTTTGGAAGACGGACATTTGGCCGATGGAGGCTTCCGGCTGGAGAAGCCAACCGCGAAGAGGAAGTATGCGTTGGCCGCGTCACGCCCATCACTCATTTCACAATGGGAGGCGCATCTTTCAACGAAAATGCCCAAGTGCTGAGAAAGGACAAGACAGCTGTCCATGGCCTGTGGGCCGCTGGAGAAATCACTGGCGGCATCCATGGCGACAACCGCCTGGGAGGCTCATCGTTGCTTGAATGCGTGGTCTACGGAAGAATAGCAGGACAACAGGCCGCCAAGGCCGCGACAAGTTCATGATTTTTATAGCCTTCCCCTAATGAGGTATGAGTATAGCCACGGGAGAATCAATCACTAAATGCCTCTAAATTCATCTACTTCAACACATGCAAGTGGTCCTTCGTTGATTAGCACCTCATTCACAAAGCACTAGAAGGGTGGGCTAGGTAAGCGCATTGGTTGTCTAATGGAGGTGTAGGCAAGTCACAGATGGTTTCTTGAAGAAGATGGTCTGTACAGATTCAAAGTGAAATCTAATCTACATGATAGAATGTCATAGGCCGGGCCCTTCCCGAGAACCCAAAGCCGTGTCGTCGTTACGTCCGCCACATCCCCAACACTACCGGGTCAGTCTGTATGGCTTTACGCCAGACTAAAGAACCTCCTTCGCCGCTATTTCAGCTTCTTCTCCGTCCACTTAAGCACGAGGGGCGAACTTTCTGTTCAGCTGTCTGCCAACCACGGAACCGTCCGTGGCCTTGGCGGTGCCGTTTCCAGCAAAGCCGTTGTTGGCGAGCTTGTTGACAGTCTGGCGGGGCACTTGGCTGATAGCACCGTCAAGCGCCGTGTCGGCGATGTAGCTGCACAGCTGGACGGGATCCGAAGGCGCCGAGCCGAGGCCGAGGAGGTAGGCTGCGAGACCGGCGATGTGGGGGCTTGCCATGGACGTGCCGGAGATTGTGTTCTACACATTCACGAGTCAGTCTTCTTTCCTCGGAGAGATCGCCATACACTGTAAACATCACGTGAAAGAAGGGAAAGGGGGAAGCTTACAGTCTTTCCACCGGGCCAGGTGCTCATGATGTTGGTGCCAGGCGCCAAAATATCAACAGAAGCTCCAAAGTTGGAGTACTCCGCCAACGCGTCAGTCTTGGTCGTCGCCCCGACGGTACACACGCTCTCCTCGCTCGCAGGCGAAGAAGTAGAAGCATCCGCCGCCTCGTTACCCGCGGCGACAGCCAAAAAGTGGCCCGCCTTCACAATCGCCGCGGCGGCCTGGTTTACAGCCGTCGAGGTCTGCCCGCCAAGCGACATGTTGACGACGACGCCCTTGGCGCAGCCCGTCTGGCCGGCGGCGTCGGTCGCGACGAAGTCCATGCCGGCAATGACGCCCGAGTTGGTGCCCTCGCCGTTGGAGTCGAGCACCTTCACGGCGAAGAGCTTGGTCTTCTTGGCGACGCCGTAGGTTGCGGAGCCGACTGTGCCGGCGACGTGGGTGCCGTGGCCCTGGCCGTCCGTGTCTGAGCTGTCGGCGAAGTTTGCGAGGAAGGTGGCGCGGCCTTCAAAGTCCTGTCGGGGAGGTCAGATTTACAACTCTTATCAGGTCTGATGTTGGGCGAAGACTCACTGGGTGCTCGATATCAATGCCGGTATCGACAATGTAAGCACAGGTTCCCTCTCCGGCACTCTCATCGTAGCTATACGTGGTCGAACCAGGCGCTGTGCTCGACAATCTGGCAAGACCCCACGGCGCGCTCCTCTGCGTGGCCTTGATCGTCACAATGGCATCCTGCTCGATGAAGTCGACGTCCGGGTCATTCTGGAGGCTCTCAAGCTCGGTCGCGTTCAGCGTGGACGCGAATCCTCGAAGGTAGGGGACGCTGCCAGTTTCGCTGCCAGCAAAGTTGTAGACATGGTCGGCGTCAGCGGAGAAGGTCTTCATGACGCTCTGAAGAGCGCCGGTCTTGGCCTCATTCTTGAGGCGAACGATATACTTGTCCGCCACGAGGGTTGCGCCCCTTGGCTTGATGAGGGGTGCGGGCTGAGCGCGGCGTGAGGGAGCCGCGACGGCGGCGAGGGGAAGGAGGGCAAGGATTGTTGCGGCGTGCATCGTGACGTTGGTTTTGGGGTGTCAGTGAGGCGTTGAGATGAACGAGTGAGTTGTATAATGAGCGAGTGGATGGTGTCTAAACGAAGGGCTGTGACCTGTGATATGCTTGAGAAGCCTAGCTGAGTGTTGAAGGCTTGCTTGATGAACACGATATCCAAGGTGCAGCAGACCGACCGGTCTTATACCATTCTTCGTCCATCTGCATGATCCCATGGACCATGATCCAGAGCACTGCAGCAACGCTATCTGAGCTGGTTTACGAACTATTCCTTTTCCCTTCCGCAGTGACCGCATTGAGTGGCCATTCACCCTTCCAAGTCAGGCAGGTGGGCAGATCCGCAGTCGATGACAGCTCGAAACCAAGCCCTTCAAGCGAGCCGCATCCATGATCCGGCGCTCTCGTTGGAAGAGACGCATCGTGGGCCCCCTGTAGCGGTTTGAATTAAAGGGACCCGCGGTGAGAAGTGCCGGGGACCAACCAGGAGGCCGCAGAGAGCCTCAAGTCGAGACGCAAGTTCACCGCCGGGGCCCAGGGGCGGGAAAATTGCTGGTGTACTAGACCGGACCAACAGGGCTGGTGAGCTGGTCGCTGTGATGCGTTGGTGTGCGTTGGTTCCAGTGTCGTGTCGGGCGCTGCGCTGCGGACATGGGGTGTTGGGATGTCGATCCCCCTCTTCCGTCCAGGAACATCTTCTGCACCTCCTCGACACGGCAGTGGCTTTGCGGATCGGGCGAGGTAGCAGCTGCGCTAGAGACCCATGTTCCATTTTCGAGAACGAATCCTAAGGACAACTTAAACGGGGAGGCAACAACAAGTCGCTATTATCAGGTTGCGGGAATGGGGCATTGCTGATGGTACGGCCTTTATTCCCCCTTCTCCCCTTGATCTCGCAGCAGCAGAGCCTTATGCTAAGTCTTAGCTGTGCTCACATGAGTGGTTGATTGGGTTATATCGCCTCAAAATTAAGCATGAGCTGCCACAACGCTGGCGGGTCTCTGGGGACATGGGGGCGCGAACCAATCCTAGCCAGGGAATAGCTTCAATGACCTTTTACCCACAAGACTTGGAGAGGCGATCACCAGGGGTCCTTGAGGCTCTGATTCGCCCTGCGCCAGACGCCGCCCAGAAACGACCTGACATGCGGATCTTCGTGTCTCACCTCTTTGTGTAGCCAACCAACGTTTTCTTTTCTCTCAAGTAAGAGATGGTGCGGGTTAACGGGGGTTGTGCGGTGCGGTTAACTCCGCGGCGGGAAAAAGAAGCATAGCCTAGGGTGAGCTTTATCGGGCGGTGCCATGTAGGGACCAGGTCGTTACCGCATGCTTGTATAACGGCTGGGGTTTGTTGGGACGTCTACGGGCTGTGATTTGCGTAGCTTCGTCCGACCGTCGACGGGTCTGTCTTATTGCGAATCTTCCGTCATGTTACAGGTCTTCTTATCGGATGGTTGACGGGATCCAAGCGGATCCTCGCGAACCGTAGATTGGCATCACGTGGAAATTAGGTCGCGGCCAATTGTATCGCCAAACTTCTGTTTGTTTCTCGATGAGATACTTGATAGACATCTGCCAAGAAGAATCATGTCGCACCTGTCGATGGTGCGATTGTTCCTAGCAGAGGGGACTTTTGCTGAGGCGGGGATCTTGGTGAAAGATGGACCATCCAACCCACATGATATTACCTCGGTGCCATCGCTAAGCTTGGGGTTCAATCACATAGGTTCAATTCCAGTTTGGACCTGCCAATTGTGGTAGTATCGGACGGTTCGGTGCTGACTCGGTGTTGCACGTACATACACAAGGCCGATACGATGCGGGTGGCCGTGATGCCCGGAGCCCGGAGCCGGCGAAGCGTTGTCTCACGGTCGATACACCGCAATTCAGATAGATTCATGTGAGACAAGATAAGAGGCCAAAGCAAGATCGAGCCAGTCGGTGCGACTCTCACTCATCTTTCCGCTATCATCCTACGCCGCTGTTGGAGTACTTCAGAGCATTCTCGTCGTATCTCATTAATCTCCCAATTGAGCTCAGGGTTCCCGCATGAGATCACCGGGAGCATCGAAAGAATGCTGATATTTCCCAACTTGCACAGAGGTTCCAGGAATTCTTTTCATTTTCCTCTAAAAGAATGACAACTACTAATCTGGAATGACAGACAGTTCCTGGATGGGGGTACGAGCAAATGCTCGATTGAGTGAAATCTCACATCGAAACAGAACCTAAGATGTCCGTAGTATGGCAACTTCAGGCCTTGACAGCAGACTGAAGCTTCAAGCGGCGGAAGCCACCGCGGCAAGAAACCTCATTCTGAAGCTCAACCATTCTCTTCTGGTCACCGGTAGGGTCCGCAGAGTCCTCATCAAGAGTCCACTCGAGGAACTCATTGGTGTAGTTGGGCTTGAAGCTCTCGTCCAAGACACCAAGCCTCTTGCCGTACTTGGTAACCTTGGTCCAGTCGCGCTGAACGTTCTTCAAATCATGCGAAAAGTAGGCAAAGCTGCGCTCAAAGATCTTGCGGTTCAGGTCGGAGCCCATGACGGGCTTGAAATCGACGTACTCCTTCCAAGCCTGCTCCGGGTCCTCCAGCACAAAGTCGGTCGCCTTCTTGACGGCCTTCATGAACTTGCGCACCTTGTCCGGGTTCTCGGCGATGAAGGACTCGTTGCCGATGTACAGGATGGTGCAGAAGCAGCAGCATCCCAGCTCGGCGAGCTCGTCGATGCGAAGCATCTGCACGTCCGTCTTGGGGCGGCCCTGAGCGGCGAGCCACTCCTCGAGCTCGACCATCTGGACGTTCTCCAGACCGATGCCGGCATCGATGGTGCCCTCGATGATGGCCTTGGAGACGTTCATGCCGCAGCGCACGGCGGTGTACTCGTCGGGCGTCATGCCGTAGTGCGATGTCAGCTCGTCGATCTGGATCTTGCCGAACTCGCCGACATAGCCGATGCGCTTGCCCTTGAGGGAGCGGAAGTCGGTGGTGATGCCCGAGTCCTTGAGGTAGACAACTCCGGTGAAGGGCTCGTCGAGCAGACTGCCGATGGACAGGACGGGGAAGTCACGAGCCTTGGCCTGAGCGTGGAGTTAGTTTGGTACACCACCGGGTAGATGAGGGTAGAGCATACGGCAAGGGTGTGAATCATGGCCTTGAAGCCGAGGTCGACTTTGCCGGTACCGATGATCTCGGTGACATCCTGCGATCCGGTCAGCGGGCACTCTTGAGACATCCCGGTCAGGAGATCCATACGCTAGGGTCGTTGGGCTCAAGAAGAGCGACCTTGATGCCTTCTTCTTTGAAGTAGCCCTTGGCCTGAGCCAGGTACAGCGGGGCGTGGTAGGGCGTAGCGTGCCTGACGACTTCGTCAACTCACATTCGTAACAGACATCACGCGCGGGGCAATCCTAACCAGTTGGTGAGGAAAGTGATCTTATCAGTCGACATTTTGACAGATCAAGCGTGATGCTGCACGGGTTAGTACACTCAAGTTCTCATCACTCGTGCATGGGGGCAGGGATTGCCAAAGAAGCATGTCCTTTCGCTGGTATTATCCAGATCAAGTTCACCGGTATTTCTCAGATCAACTCATTTCCCATGCCCGGATCCACCCAAGTGCGCTCCTCGATCGATGAAAGATATCGTGAGCGACTTGGGTGCCGGGCACGGTAGATGAGTTGAACACCCGGATGCGTTCTTCTCTTACTTTACCTCGATCTGTAGATGTTTCCATTGCGATAGATGCCATGGCTCTTTGACGCGAGCGTCGTACCAGGTCTTGGTTTGGTGTGTGTTGGTTGGTGATTGATGGATGTGAGAATATCAATCGAGAGTATTTTGACGAAGGCAGATTCAAAAGCTCGTGCGAATCGCGGGGGACATCAGCGTGATATATATGCCTCGTCGGGAGGGGTAAGTTCCTGATCGCTTAGACAATTGCATAATCCCCTCACTTGGCCGAAGCTAATCATGCATTTCGGCCTGGCTTCCGGTTTCCCGACCTCCAACTGCGTCATTCTTTATTCATCGTGAGTGACTTTGAACTGGCGCCGAAAAACGGGCGCTCATGGAATAAAATGGATCATGGTGAAGAAGCAGTGGCCTGATCCTACGTCTGCCCAATCACCATTTAGCCATTCCATTCGAGTGACGATCCTCTTGCTGCTAGAATGTATCACAAAAGTGGTCTCGTAGGCTCAATTCTGCCCCAAGGAATCAAGCGGACCTGAACACGGTGCCGCAATTCGTCAATGGATTTCCCAACAAGATCAACTATTCGAGGGGGATAATAGGGCGCGCTGAGATCCTACCCACAAAACATGCTTTGGATACGTAATAGAACATGAGCAAAATGTCTCATTTTCGGGACTGCTCCGCGCGTCCGTGTCTGCCACCGTGAGCGCCGGGTGCTCCGGGATCGGAATGGAATGGATCCTTCAAGACCTCCGGTCCCACACCGAGCCGGCTTAGGCCGATGTTGGCCGTGCTTCGGCTGAGTGTATTGCATAAGAGCGCCGATGAAATTGTATCTGTTGCATAAGTCTGGATAATTCAGAGCGGTAGCCGGGCTGACGAACAAGTAACAGAAATGAGTTGACTCAACATTTATTACTATCAAAACACAAGCATCCCTCACTTCGTCGGTCACTTTGTAGGCGTTGACGGCGCAGTGGACTCACGGCCCGTCCCTGGCCGCTGTTGGCTCATCTCAATCATCCCAGAGTCACTCGTCGCATGATAACGCTGCTCCTCCATATGCAGGTCATACAATCCTCCTTCCTTGGATACCAGAGTATCGCGATAGATCCATAATGACTTATACCGTGGCTCACCAGTGGATCCCTTCTCACTGGGCGTGCTCGTCGTCCGATCCCGAATAGCCATCGTCCTCATCACCTGTGCCATTTCCACCGCACCACCATCGGGCACCACGACCCGGTTGGCCCACAACGCAACTCCAATACCGAGAACAAGCTGAAGTGATGCCGTAAGGATCAAAATCAGGTTGATCATCCCCCAGTGTGAGACATTGAGCTTCGTGCCCTTCATGGGCATGTCACCCTCAACGACCAGATTTGTATTACTGTCGGCGCTGATTGCAACCACCCCGATAGCAAATCGCGATAGCATTGCCTCCATGTCCGAGGTGGTTCCGTTCATAGGTGTGCCAAATACCGACTCGGATGGATACATCTGATACTGAAAATTGGTATCATTGACGAAAGACGAGGCAGCGTATCCCTGCAGAGCGATGCCGGCCGAGGCTAAAGACGTGAGGTTGGCGCCGACCTGGTGCTCGGCACGGGTGGCGTTCGCGACTTGACCGATCGTGACATTGCAGCTGTAATACCAAGGCGAGGTATCTGATGCCTCAAATGCCATGATCATGGAGCATCCTGTCCCGCAGTCGAACTGGCTGTAGGTCATGAAGGTCGTCTGGTCGGTTCCGCCGCGGTTCGGGATGAAGATATCCCAGGACCGGTTGTTTTCGAGTGCTACCGTCACGTTGGTAGTATTGCCGTTGCCGCCGCTTATGACGGGCCAGGCTGTGCATTTGGTCGTGGAGTTGACGCTTCGGTCTGTTGCGACGGTGACTGGGTTGGCGTCAGGATCCTTAATGGATGCTGTGGAGGTTTCGTAAAAGACGTATTTGCACACCGTTTCTGTGCAGAACATGAGGGGATCGCTCGGGACATGGATTGCTCTGGCCAGCGGAGCAGCTGATATTTCCGCCGTGTCGTATGCTAGAGAGATTGTTCCGTAGCTTGAAAAGTGTCAGCTATCAGTTCGTACATATGGAGGATCTTGGAACTCTAAACAAGACCGACCTGTTCGCTGTGTACTGCAGAGCACCTAGAGCTTGAGTCTTGGACTTGACGACCCTCTCAGTTTCGATGGACGCCATGTTGGCGATAGACACATTGCCTGGTACCAATAGAGCCCGCTTATCGGCTGTATCTGTCGAGTAGCAGAGGCCGATTGCTGCGAGACCTACTTGAGAGCCCTTGACGGTCTGGTTAGTGACATCGCTCCATAAAAGACTTCAAAACTCCCTTACGATTGTCAAGATGAGCCATCCAACAGCAGCAAGATGGATCGACCACCTTTTTGACCTCGCTGCCAATGCAATGGTGTGCTTTAGGTTGTCGGCCTGCAAGATCAATTCCACCTTTCTCTTCGACCTGTACCGACGGCTCAGGATCCACCATCTCAGCTCGGCCACCATGTGGTTGAGACTACTCGCCACCGCGAGACCCAGCGCAATCGAGAGACCGGTGATGAGGGCGTTGTACTGCCGCTTCGTTGTTTGTGTCATGACAGTCTTGTTGGAGTATGTCCATATGACGACGTAAATCGAGATGATGATGACCATCGTAATCGCCCACCGTGACAGAACCTTCCCTAGCACCTTCATCTTCGACTGTCGGCTTGCAGGCAGACCGCGGAAGTGGCCATTGTCGGCATCGTTGCGGAGAATCGAGGCATTTTCCAGTTCATCCTGGGCTGTCAGAGTTGGCAGCGCTGGAAGCCATTCACGTTAGCAGCCGATCTTTACATGGCGACAGGACCCTCGATGACATACTTTGCGCTCTTCTGAAGGGGTAAGGCATCGTGTGAGCCGTCTAGAGGACTGGCCTCCCAATGGTCGAAGCGGTATTCACGTGCACGCGAGCGATTGCCTATGAAGGCATCTGCGGTAATCGACAATGTCCACAAGACACCTCGAACGAGAAATGCAAGGTTAATGTCACGAAGGATACCGTAGGGAATGACATCTTTAAAGCTCTCCCGTGTGGATGTGGATACAACCCCAAGATGGAGACCAAGTCCAGCCCACTTAGTCTGGCTTCTAAATTCCTGAACATCAAACAACAGGCCTGTTGCCGGCCGGTTGCATCGACCGGGGCAATGCCGTTCGTCGAGAACGCGCCCCCACAGGGCACGCCAAGTCCTCTCCAAGAGGCCGTGGTATTCAAGGGAAATTTCGAACACGCAAACTGAGACATGCAAGATCTTGATGGGCGGTATAAGACCCCAAGACCTGGCCACTGTCAGCGCACATTCCCACAACAACAGATGCCGTCGAAGAAGTCACTGTCTAAGAATTGTAGAAAGCAAGAGCGCCTCCGGCGACGATGCGCCAAAAATATCAAGGACTCGGCAGAACCCGCGACAGTGGTCCACCACAGCCGCGATTGACGATTCATGCGCTTCAGGGGTGCCAGGGCTGAGAGTCAGGCCGACAGCCCTGCCAGCTCGAAAACGGACAGCCCGAGATGACATCTTTGCTCTTCTGGGAGATCCAGGAGGCAAGAAACTAGGGACCTTTCGCGTGGATCCGATTGCCTGATGGGGCCTTAGCTGAAGTCTTGATCCTAGCGATTGTCCGATGAGTCTAAAGTCTAAACTCTCCTGAAGGAGACCCGCCGTCCACAGTTGACAGGCAATTGGCCCCAGAAAATATCTTTTCCAGCACGCAAGTCTGAATTTCCCGGCCTTGAGAATGCTCCAAGCTTTCGTAATCTTAACCGACTGTCGAACATTCCTCTGGATTTGGGACACTAGCGGATGCGTTTCAATGCCAGTGATGTGTCTTGCTGTTCAAAAGACGCGCTCACTCAGCCGCTGAGTACAAAAAGCAGAGCTATCGCCACCGATGCGCCGTCCAAGAGTCCGGCGTGAGTGACGCGGGGACTACAGCAACCAAGAGGAGCCAAACCAACAAAGGCCACCCACCGGAACACCGCCAAAACGCTCAGCCGGTGGGATTTGTTAGACGTTGACAGATTGACATGGTTTTGTCTCCCGCTATGTTAGTGCCCCGTTCGGATGAGAGAGCCCGAATGGCTGGGCCGTATTGAGGCGGGTGTCTCGCAGCCCGCGCGCGCCGTTGGCAGGGCCGACCTTGTCCAGAGCTGGCCCCACGTGGCCGGCATATGGTACTCCATAATCATTTATCGATCAGCTCAAATACTCTATCTTCATTTTTGCAAATAAGATACGGCTTGTATGTCAGCAGTCGCGGAGCGTTACCCTTTAACTCCGTGGCAATTGTGTTGGTCCGGAGACTCTAAGTAACGCAAATTATTACTCAACTTATCCTGCAAGTTGTTGAAGAGTAGACAATGTCAGAGTGTGTTTTCTGTCTGCGAGATTGATTACACCTCATATCTTGTACTTACTGTCGTGCGCCTCAGTCGAGGTGCCTTCGCGGGATCGGCTCCCAAGGTAAGCTACTCCGTAAGGTATCTCGAGCTCGCATGTATATGTAGCCTTGACCTGAATGAGCGCCTGCGAGATCTAAGGCTGGTAGATGAGTAAGATCCAGTCATGTGACGGATTACCCTTGGAAGCGGGGCCAAGCTCCTCTCCACGTTGGTTTGCAGCCTGACGATAACCGAATTGAGTCCACTATGCCTTCGAAGAACATGGGCTATTACTTCATGATATATCCGCTAACGGAACGTACACTTGACTGTGACTCGAACATGTCTACGGACACGACGTTTCTATGCTCTGTTTGCAAGCAGGTAGTTCAGCCAACATCGAGCGACTCCACCTCCGAGCCTTGGATCACGCCACCAGACCAAACTCTCGACGCCTTTCGAAAGGCAGTATTACGAGACTGCTTCATCTGCTCAAAGTTATGGAACTTAAGTGAGCTGCACAGAATAGGGTGGGAGTCCTTAGATCCCCAATTATGGCGGCCATTGTCGTTCAGAGTCGACAAGGAATATTATCAGGGTAAAGATATTCTCCACCAGATCAGAGTGATGATCCTATTTCGAGATCCCACGCAGATCCATAGCGAACGCAGTACAGAATTACGACTCAGGCTGATTCCCTCATCTGGTATGTTCGACTACCTTACTCAACATATCGATGCCCAATCCAACACTCCCAGTAAAATGCACAGCAACTGTTAACATTACCGACAGAGAGAGAATACGAAGATCTTTTCTCGTTCAACATGATTGACGAAAGCACCGGCTCCACAGGAACTCTTGACCTAGCTCGTTCCTGGTTTTCGGAGTGTTTCCATGGCCATGATCAATGCAAGCGGCTGCCTACCTCGGCTGTCAACTGGCTGCCCACTCGCCTGGTCGACATAGGTTCCAGGGGGGAGACAACCTGGAAACTTGTTGTAACGTCAGAAAATTCAAAACTCAAGCGCTATCAACCGCGGCCTCAGTATATGACCTTGAGTTACCGGTGGGGTACCGAACCTCAAAAGTTGGTTTTGTCATCACACAACCTGGATTTACTGGGTCGTGGAAGTCCCATTGTGCAACTACCGCAAACATTCCAGGACTTGGTTGTAGTTGCACATCATCTCGGCATCCGGTATGTCTGGATAGACTGTTTATGCATCATACAAGACTCCAGGAATGACTGGGAAAAGGAAGCGCTCAAGATGAGAGAAGTATACACTAATGCAGCGTGCAACGTTGCAGCATCTGCTTCGAGTAGCCCTGCTGGCGGATTATTCCGATCTCGTGTCACAAAGGACATCCGGCCGGCCATCGTCAAGTCAAACCTCTCTTTCCAAGAACCCGGGGAGTTCTACATGTTTGACAAAGGATATTGGGATCGCCACCTCCTGAATGGTGCTCTGCACACCAGGGGATGGGTGTTCCAGGAGCGGTTCTTATCACCGCGACAGATCTACTTCACAAAAAGTCAAGTTATGTGGGAATGCTTAGAGGAACACAAATGCGAGGGATTTCCACGAGGAATTCCACTTCATGACTCCTCGAAAAGCATAAAACGCCTCCTTTCACCACAAAGAAATGACGATGAGACCAAAGTCGAAGGCCTTATGCCATTTGATACTTTGGATCTTTGGATTGATATCGTCGCTACCTACTCCAAGTGCGAATTCAGCGTCAAGGAGGACAAGCTTTACGCCCTAGGGGGCATTGCCAAGCTCTTCCAGGAAGTTACAGGTGATACCTATCTTGCTGGCTTGTGGCGCTCACGTCTTCTACATCAGCTTGATTGGTATACATTGATGCCACACCCGAGGATCATGAGCAAATACAGAGCTCCATCCTGGTCATGGGCATCTGTTGATGGGCCAGTACAGCTAAGACACCCTGCTCATGGATATCACTTTCTAGCAGAGGTAATGGACGCAAGTGTGACAACGACGAGTGCGGGAAACGACTTGGTCAACGTAATCGGTGGTAGCATAACACTGCGAGCGAAGGTGTATGATGCAAATTATGAGCGAGAATACCCACTCACAAACGATGGGCTCATCCATTTCAGCTCTAAAGACAAGGCCTTCCCTCCATTTACGACATGGCCTTACCTTGACGCAGTTGAGGACAATCTGAAAAAGAGCGGTCACACATCACTACTGCCCTTAAGAAATCAGGAAGTCAGTTGGGAGGAACTTGGAAGCGACCAGTCTGGTGAAACAAATGACGTTACTTGTCTCATCCTGGAGAAAGTTGGCGCGTCCAAAAACACGTATCGTAAGATCGGATGGATCTACCTTGGGGGAGAAATGTCTCATGGTAAGGAAAACCAAGATATCATAGACGCTATTCTTTCAGCCCATGAGAGTGATCGAGGGTGGAAAGAGATCATTTTGGTTTGAAGGGTGAACTAAAGCAGAAAATTCCTGGAGCCTTTTCGATAATACCTGCCGCTTTCTCCTGAACGATGTTTATTAATGCAAAGCAGAGGCAGCGCATGCCACGACTTTACATGATGAATCTGAAGCAACCAGGTGGCATAACATCCGGTATGAAACTGTGGCACGACATGTTCCTAGTCGTTGGCCGTTCTCTCCTTAACTTGGTGTCCCACAAGCAGGATGTTCTCGCCTGGCGGCATCCGACATAATGTATTGTTCTCACATCATGTGCGAGGTCAAAAGGCCAGTGCATTATATATGCATCGTTGCCGTCTCTGAACATATTGCATCGAAATCACACCATTATCCGTTTGCTTCACCTGTAAGTCCTATTTTGAAAGCATTTCGGCCCTAATGGTAAATACTATCTCTGGATTTCAGAAATTGGATGTATGAACTCAGAGATTTCAATCGCGTGGGGCTTGTTTCGAAAAAGTTCGATGCCATTTCTTTTACCGTTGCAGTCATCCCAGGTTTTCGTGCTCTGCGGATGATCATGGTACATCAATGGATTCGATGACAATTGTCATCATATAAGACTCGAGACATTGTTCAATACGCATACAGACATCGAAAATCTATAGTCTTGTTCTCTATAAATACTATGTTCCACTTCAACGTAGCTTTGGTCTGATAACGTGGTATTTGAAGCCGTCGAAAGACGGAGCTTAGGGGCCGATATCATATGATGCCGTGTAAGAATCTGCAAGCATACTTCTGATCTTCAATCTACCTTCAGCTTTGCTTTGACGATTAAGAATCGATTTAACACAGCGGATGCAGCTGAGAGTGCCTTGTCTCACTTTAATACCTAGGTAGGTTTATGATCAACCAAAGAAGACATTAATTCTAAATAAGAATAATGTGGAGGTTTGATGTCGTAATGTACATTGATTCTACGTATTAGAGTCCCCGTAGCACTCTTCTATTTCGCATCTATATTACGCGGCTTAAAAGATACGTACTTTAGTGTTCTATCGGATTCGTGCAAACAAATCCAAAACCAGGGAAGCCTACACCGTAGCCGCGTCATGGACACGCTCATAGCATACTGAAACAGCTATAGCAATGAAAAGTGATTGAAACTAAAATCGCTTTCAGCCAAGTTATGCCATGTCACTGTTAGTGACAAACAGAAAGCGATGGACTCACCAGCATATAACGGCTGGTTCAGTATTCCTCAAGACCTATCCCATGCCCGCGGCTGGTCAAGCGTGTATCCCCAGCACATATCATCCATTGACGAGCCGATTTTTGACGCAAACTTCATAATTAATGGGTAATTATTTGCACAGAATAGGCAAGAAATTCAAGCATTGAAATTTGATTGACTTTAGGTCAGTTCCTGTTAAATGCCGTGGGTCAAGGACTCACCTTTGTTTTAACTCAACCTTCTTTCATTCTATAAACTACCTACTTTAATTACCTTGAAACCTCAAGGACAGCTACATATCGTTGTAATTGCACAGGGCGAAAAATCATAAAATTGGTAGATACTTAGGTTCAAGTCCAGTTTACTGTTGTTTCTTCCATCCACCACTTAATCTGTGGAACACTAACGGGACTGGAGCCTCTCTGCCGAAACCAAGTCAAGAACTATGACCAACTCCTGGCTTAGCCGTACCCCTGACTTGTCAGAAACAATCCGTGATCCGCCGGCCTAGACCGCGGGAAAAAGACGATCATAGTTCCTTAGTCATTGTAAGTACCCCAGTCGGGCGCAAATAAGCTTACTGCCAAAGCAAATCTGAACGCCGTTGCGAGTTAACGCCCCGACATGGAGTTCCGGGAGGAATGACTCGGCCCAGGGGTAAGTCACGAATCGCCGTTCCTTGTTATATTGGTTGATCGAAGCTTCCTTGGGACACCCTTCAGACATGAACTTACTCCGAATTGGACATTCGGCATCTTGGCCATTGGAGAGCATTCAATTATTGATCCCGGGATTCGGCAACTGAGTAAGGGACACATGTCTCTGAAGCCTGCCATCGACCCGAGGCCAAGCTCGACCACCCCCGCCTTCTGTTTTCTTACAGCGATCGAATCGGTTCTTCCCCCCTTACCCTCGATTTCCAGCTGATATATCACCCGATGATCAATCATTCCAATTCCTCTTCCTCGCATTCCGTGACAGATGGTTGGGCTGAGCACACCCGCAGACTGGGCGGATAGTGACGGAATGGAGACCGACAATAGTAACTGCCAACTGATCACCCGACATACCTGCGTCGGGAGACTTGCCGTCAATCATGCAGTCCGATTGGCAAATTCTAGTCTTTTCGTCACAGATCTAGACTTCTGGGGCATTCGGGTAGCTCGCAAGTCAGATTTTCCCATTCGGGAACACTGTGTACCGAACCCCTGATGAGCTTGTTAGTCGGCTGTGCCGGGCTATCCTGTGTCGTGGCACTGCATCGACTGCAACACGATAGGTAAACGTCCGAACTGTCAAAAGGGCAACCCTTGAATCCGAAGTATTGGTGGTGGTCTGAGACGGATCGTGTACCAGACCCTCCTCTGTGCACAGGCACACGGCCCCAAGGCCGAAATGGGGGGTACGACAGGGAATCGCTCTCGCGTTCTGTTTCTCGTTGACCGTTGGTAGCACACACAGATTATGGCGATCTTAATGAGTGTTTTAATGGATCGTCGAGATCATGTTTGCCTCGGAGTGATCTATACCACATGCACATCGTCGACCCCGGCAACGAGACGTACGAGCAATATGCCATCCATGGGTTTCCAACACCATTGACCGCACGGAATAGTCGCTCGATATGGAATTGAAATTGCTCGTATTGGCTGCCAGTGAGAAATGACCTAGACAGATGCGAAAGATTTCCCAATCGGGCCGGCGATATTCCCCTCTGTTGTCGAGAGGTCGGAAGACCACTCTGTGCTCGGCAGGGGGCTCATCGTCTGAAGTTCTCCAACGCCTCATACTAGCGTCATCGGCTACTGTACGAGAGTTCCCGGTCTTATCTGAAGAAGCCGAGAAGAAGCAGGTACGGCCATTGAAGGAGCCTGATGGGGGATTTCACAAGGGCCCTCTCTTCATGACGCGACCAAGCCAAATTAGGATTGAGGGGTGCAGATTTGACGGATTAGTAGCCATTTGACGTGATGGACCGTCAAACAACCTCGTAATCCTTGGGAATGCCAATAGAAGCAAGTCGTTGTTCCAGCATCATATTCCTAGGCGACGCCGCGTCCAAGATTTGACCCTGAGTGAAGGGCTCATTCACAGTTCTCTTTTCGAGATGATGGACGGAGAGACTGGAGTACATGGAAGGTAAGGTACAAGTAGTCATGTTTAGTTGATTATGATTTGAACCTGAGATATGAACGTTGGAAAGTAAATTGCTAGTCTATGCTGTATTATTTGAACGCCAAAAAACGCCTTGGCTTGGGATATCTTCCAAATCTTCTACACAACGCTTGCCAACATGCCACACCATTTGTACAATTACAACTCTACAGGCTGCGCCCCTTTATTTGTTGACTTGGATCAATCCGGGACCTGCCAGGGTTGCCTTGGGAATGTCATCAGGGTTGGTAAACTTGCCCTCGTACGTAAGTGCAGCGATGGACAGGCCAAACATGCTGTTCTTGTCGAAGGGAAATTCGGCCTGGAATGCGATCCTCGCGCCGTCCCACTGCGGGTTCATGACTGGGACGCTCAGGGGAACGTTGAGTCCACTAAGGTAGGTCACGAACAAAGGTGCCTTGTCCTTGCCGAGGAAACGGCCTGCTGTGACGATCTCCCGCAAGTCGACTTCGAAGTTGAGCATCTGGTTCTTGGCCTCAATTTCTCCTCCTGCCATCTGCATGACGTTCAATGGCGCAAAGACGGGGATGTCGATCTGGTTCATCTTGAACGGGCAAGAGTCCTTCACAACGAAAGACTGCAGCGCAGAGAAAGCGAATGGCGCAATAGAGGTCGTGAGGAAAGGCTGCGACGACGGCGGGCGCGAGAGAATGCTACGATAGAATCCATTTTGCTCGCCCTCTTGACCGATGACGGCACTAACGGCTCGGACGGGTCCGGCGTCGCCATTCTTTGCCAGAAGCTGGTTTGCATCTTGCAGAGTGCCGAGCACCACAGAGGTAAAGGTTTCGGCGAGGGCCACGGCTGACTTCAAGTCGTTTGTCGGGAACTGATACTTGCAGGGCGGAGGTGAAAAAGCCTTGAAGTGGTCCAAGACCCCCTTAGCGTCGAGCGCATGGAGCTTTTCTTGCTGTCATAGCTGTCAGTGCCAGTTCCACGAATCCCGAAGACAACCTTCTTTTGCATCTTCGCTGACCAAAGGTGAAAGAAACTTACAGCAACAACAACCTTAAGCGCGTCGACCATCTTATCCTTCTCGGTTGTTTCCCAGCCAGGTCCTCCATTGGTGACGTTTTCCAGCATAGATGAGAAGAAGGCGACCTCGAATTGTTCGTTGAACTGAATAAGCTGAAAAGCTGTCAAACTGCTCGGCTCCAACTTGGGCGGCGGTGCAGAGTTGGGAAGCGATCCTCGCGCCTCTTCCTCTACAACTTTGATCTGCTCCGGGCTGATCGGGAGTTCGGCACTGAAGGCCCGGCGCTCGAGTGGGGCCGCTGCCGAGAAGCCGGCGAGCATCACCGCGGCGGTCGCGAGAGTTGTCGTGAGCTGCATCTTGACGTTTTCTGTTTGTGTACCACCGAGTTCAAGTTTGTGCAGAGAAATATCCTTCAGTATTGGAAAAGGTGTGTTAAATATCCAATAATTTACACGAAGAAAAAGAGGTGAACGATAGACAGGGGAAGCGAATTAAAGTAGGCGGATCAAAACGAAACAGGTCAACTTGGCATGAGATTCAAGAGCTACAGTGACATGGTTGGAGCGACCGGGACGAACTATTATACTCTCGAGGAGTTTGTTTCGATACATGATCTTGAAACCTGTTTGTTGCTTGGCGCACGTGGACCTGCAACTCTCTTGGGTGGGTAGAGGAGAAGAGCACCGCACATACTCCTCCACGACGTAGGTACATACATCGCGACACACCATCCACACACTTACACACAGGC